TTCCGCATGCGTAATATTCGAAAATTAATTTCTACGCACAACAGATAAAACCATAAAAATGCTAATGCAAATTTTATATTTTAACAGCATTTTTACGATTGTCCGGCTATTAAAAAGAAAAAAAAAAAGAAAGAAAAAAACAGCCGTAGGGCAATTGTAACATTCAGCTACATTTTATACATTCTGCGTACTCTATACCCCTTTGCACACACAGAGCCATCAAATTTAATGGCATTTAACTTGATTGCATTAGGTGAAAAGGTAGGGGAAAATATAACCGCCAACGTTCTACGCTTTTCTTTTTTTTCTGCTACAATTTTATTTGTTGCTCCAAACACAAATACACACACCCACACACACAGAAACAGAAACCAATTTGCTGTAATTTGCCATTCCGTTTCCTATTCATTGTGTTCTATGTGGAAAACCCTTTGCCGCCCGTTTGTATGCGTTCATGTCTATGAAATCCATAAATTATTTTAAAATTAAATGAATTTCATGGAGAGACATACAAATATTAAATTAATATTTTTTAAATTTTTATTTTTTTATACATAAATTCCACCAATTGAGATAATATCTCTAACAATTTGTAATTCATATGTATATATTGTATATATATGTATATATGAATAAATATATATACATATGTCGCATATTTTGACTTCACTTCACTGGAATTAAGTGGTGATCCCATGCACCAGTTTGAGATATAACTAGCCGCTTTTCATATTTTCTATGACTCTTGGCACTGCCATGCTTTTTGGCGCTTTGTCAAGAACTCTACTAGGAATGTTAGACCGCGCTCAAGTAACCCAAGTGAGCTACACTGAAACAAAAGTGATGTACATTTCAGTGGCTCCCGAAAATTGATATCGATGGTTTTTTAATAGTCATATACTTAGAATGAAAAAAATAGCTTTTAATAAGACTTAGCATTTGTGATATCTACATAACCGTAGAAAATATCATGTTAATTATTGGAATGGAGATTTAAAAACCACTTTAATTTATTGGTTTATTATTTAAAAGAACATGTTTCAAGTTCGTTTTTCTATGTGAAATGCTTTCCATTGCATCCCTCTTCTCTGAGTGTACGATTGAAATCTACCTTGTCTGTATTTTTTTAATTTCTGTCTGCTTATTTGATATTCCAATTATACATATTTATTGTGTTTTTTTTTATTGGCGATATCAAAGAATATGTTTCAAAATTGTTTGTATGATACTCATTTGTTTTTGTGAAATGCTTTCCAAAGCAAACCCCTTTCTCTGAGTGTATGATTGGGATCCAACTTGTCTTTATTTTTTATTTTTTGTCTGCTTACTGTCGGCTGGTCGTAAGTGCAGCTCACAGAAGGAATGTTGGCCGGGGCTGCAAGTATGACATGTTGATGGCATCTACGCGCCATTGGCTGGCATGCACAAGCACACACACACAAAAACATACACACGCACACACACACACACACACATACCATATATGTTTGCGTGTGTGTCATGGAAATTATTAGTCCTTTCTGCGATTCGCAAAACGCAGCCAAGCGACTGCAGTCTGTGCTCTGCTGTCAGCATTTTTCGAGTGGCAGCCCATAAAAGTGTAACAGCTTTTGGCACGCAGTTTTAATTGTTGAGCAGAATTTGAAATTTAAATGAATTTTAAACGCGCTGCGAAAAATCTCGATTTCGCAATCAAAACAATGCAATTTTTATTTACGGCAGCAGGCCGCCAGGCAAGCATAAATATCAACAACTAGGAATAGCTTAGACAAGACCGCTCAAAAAATATATACCCTGAAAGTGGACCGATTTTGATCGTACTTTAGTTAACGAGTACTAAAATATATATGTGTAACAAATTCCCTCTAATATCTGTACAGGCAGTAGTTGATCAGATCGTAAATTAATTTTTCAATAATATTATTGTTTTGGGGCTTTTACTTTATAATTCATGCATTTTAATTTGATATATCAAAAAATATTTATCCCTAACTTATGTAGCCTCGGACTAAAAAAAGAGAAATTTTCATAATTATTTACTTTTGTTTTTAAAATACATCGGCATACTTGCACCGTATATACCCGTTTGTACTCGTGGTATGGGTACAGGGTTAAATAATCTAAAAAAAAATACAACAAATATTTAAACTACGTTTGCCAACATTTTTGCTTGGAAAAAAGTTTTAAATCCTCGAAAAATGGGTGAAAAAATCTATAAATATGCAGAAAAACTTCGGCATACGGGAAAACAGGTGCAGGTGAATTTGAACGTTTCAAAAAAAGACAAACACAGCATGCGAGAGATACACATTGAATTTTCAATGTACTTTTTATCACACGCTTTCCATGTTTAGTTTTAAATATTTGAATAAACTCTAAAGGGGATTAAAATGATAAATACTTCGTTTTTTTTCAAATATTGAAAATAAGTAAAAGACGGAAATAAGTTAAGATAAACTGTGTGCCAATACATAGTTTCTTTAGGGTATCATAAAGACGAATATACATTGTTTTAGCAAATGAATCTTTTCATTTTTCGACAGCAGCTTTTGTTGGTCACACAGAAGCACAGCCATGTGTGGCATTTATTTGTGCAAACGCTTCCGTCACAGGCGGCAGGACAAGCAAGGACGTTTCGCACGAGACTTGTAATTGTAAGCAACGCAGATGCCCGAACATAGAGGCAATTAATTTCCGCTAGACAAAGGCACAACTACTTTTGCACTTAAGTTTCACAGGGAGAAGAAGAAGAACAACAACAACAGCGCCCCGTGTATGTCCTCAATAATGGGTGTGGCCCGAACCATGCCACTTACAGTCCATACATAGAGCTGTATGATATATAGCCATAGGCAACAAAAGCAGTTGCTTTAAAAAGTTCGAATTCGGCCAAAGCCTTGGTCTGCGGTCAAAAGCAACGTAATATGCTTTAATTTATGGCCTACAGGAGCAGAAGAAACGCTTTAAAATAATACCCCTTAATTCAAAATTTGTCAGCTGCTCCAAATGTCCCGATACACTCCCCGGGAATGTCCATTAAAGCACAGCAGTCGTCACGCTGCGAGAAGTCCAAGTAAAAGTTTTTCGAAAAATGCAGAATGAAAGGAAAAGTTTTCTTGTCGCCTCCAAGGGTTTTTTGTTGTCATACCCCTGGGCACGTTTTGATTTCTTTCGTTTAAGTTATGAGCACAGCGAACTTTTTCGCTTTCACTACTTTTATGGCCTGCGGCTAACTCGACATATGCTTAACATGCATTGAGTATCAAAATAAGTTCAGCTATCAGCTAATGTGTATTGCCCATAGCCCTAATAGCAGATCAATTAGTTTGTCTTTTATTCTGCTTTGATACCTCAAAGTTTGACACTAAAACAAGAAAAATGTGGAGTATTAATTCGCATATGGGCATATTTACCTCGAACTTTTATTCGTGAAAAGTCTGTTCCATAAACTGTGTATCTCTAAATAGTCTCAAACATCCGGGTCGGCTCAGTTATGCCTGCCTGCTGTGATATCAGTCGACTAACTATTGCCAAATCCTTTTATTGTTAACAGCCTGACAAGATAACAAGTAATTCCTCGAAATGGTGCTACTTTCGACACAAAAAAGCTTCAGTGAAAATTTCAACTTCGTAGCTGTTAGGGCTTGAACTGTGCGCTAATTACCAATCCATCAGGCAGTCAATCAATCAGTCACAAAATTTCTTTTGTATACAAAATTGCATGTAAGAATGCATTTGTGATATGGTTCTGGGTTTCATCTAGTCGGGAGCCAGAAGCTAGATCTTTATTAAAAATTCTTTATTCATTTTTCCTATTTATTATGTTCGAGGTACTTTAATATATTTGGCGTCTGCTTCTAAATAATCTAAAAATGTTTCCAAAAATTAATTTCTGTTGACATGTGTCAGCGACGCAACAACAACAGACAGGAGACAACAGACAACAAGTGCCATTGTTGGCGCTGAAAAACGAGCGACATTCAGACAGACGGACAGCGGGACAGACAGAGTGTAAAATAAATGGGAAAGGCTGCGCAATTATTTAACATACAAATGGCGACCTTTGTGTTTATGTTTTTGTTTCTATTTTCTAACTTTAGCTAAACTCCGGGCCCCAATTAAATTGTCAACGAGAATATTTTGTTGGCGTGAATTAATTTCTGTGATTGCAAAAGCCGAATGCAATTTGCAGCCGTTTGCTCCGTTTAAATTCAAATGAAAATTGACATGGTAGCAGAATCTAATTAAACCCTTTGGAAAATTCCACCCGCAAATAGATTTAATCATATTACCTATTTAGATTTTTTTTTAAATTAATAATACACTTTCATTCGAATCTAAAGTGACATTTTAAAGGCAACTAGACCCAATCATTCTGGGGCCTATTTTAATGGCATTTAATAGAAATAGTCCTGAATTTGTACAGCAAGCCTTAGAAAGCTCAAGGACAGCTCGACCTGTACGCGTAATTACTCATAATTGAACTTAATAAGTGAGAAATGCGTTTTCAAGGCTGTCAACATGACGTGGGCGATTTTTAGTCATAATTTGCTTCGCTCTGCGACTCAAGCGTATCCTTGGCGCCAAGTTATTTAAATTATTGCCTGGGGTCATGTGTGTGACCTTAGCATTTAGCTCTAATGCTGCCTATGCTGAAGCTCTGATGGAATTAAATTTGCCTCTTACAATATTAGTTTTAGTCACGTTCCAAAATATTAAGCAAAAACTTTAACTTGAGTATACTCACATGCTTACATATTTATGCTGAGAACTCAGCAGCTGACAACTTCTAGCTTCTGCTAAAGCCCAGATCGAGAACGATACGCAAATCCTAATCCAGCGCTGACAACTGCGCGAAGACCTATCTCCCGGACATATCAGAGCAGAGCAAGTCCAGCACTGACAGCTTATCTGTTGGGAGATCCTACACTTAGCAATAAAGAGAAATGACAAACATTAATTAATCACATTTTATATCTTCAATCCACATCCCATTGCAGCTCATATGGCTGCGCCTGTTTTCCCGGCTTCAGTGGCAGCGATTGTGGGCATGGCCCACTCTGCACGGATGCGCACACAAATATTTGCCAAAACGGTGGCACTTGCAAGTAAGTACACTCAACATAAAACATACTCAAGCCAATAAAGATGACAGTTTTCGGCTGGATTGGTAAAATCTCAATACCCAGAAGACTAATACCAGAGCAGAGTGTAGCAGTAGTTGTCAGCAGGCATATTTTAAAAAATCAATAGATTTAATTTGAAAATTCATCGTATCTATGAACGATATGAAATACGACATCAACTTACCTAACTGCCTAAACATTTTTGGATTCTTTGTTAGCCCTGGTGCAGAAGGTGCCCTTTTTCCTAATATTTTCCTGTATTTAATAGGCCAATACAAACTGTTTGAATTCTATTAGAATATTGATTTAATTAGGCATTTCATGTTATTTCATATTCATCCAACTCCAAAAGGTTTTTTCAAGTCAAATCAATATGTTTAGTTTTTCATAGATGCTTACTATAATCATCATCAAATCTAGAGGTTTTCTATAGGAACGTTTCATCTATAGCAAGTAGACTCGAGATCTTTAAATAAACAATAATCTGAACTGATAAATTTCTTTGAAATTACAGGCACATTGGCGATGCGGCCATAACCTGCCACTGTCCAGCGGGCTACAAAGGAACCAAATGCGAAATACCCGAAATAATCGAGACAATTAAGGGTAAGTGGGCCCACAGAAAGTAAATGAAATTTAATCAGACGTAACAAGCAATAATAAATTGAGCATGAGTGGCAGAAAAACAAAAGATTATTTGTTAAAATAACAGTGCAGAGGAAAAAAGGAAGCGAGAGAAAGAAAGGCAGGCAAAGATTGCAGCAAATAAAAATGAAGCACGAGAAACAATTTAATTAAGGCAATAATTAAGCATTTAAATTGCACTCGATGCACGTTGTGAAACATTAAACGTTCACAGTGCAAGCAAAGAAGCTGGAAGGGCCGTTGCAGGGGCACGACCCAATCGGTTGTGGGCTGTGGGAAGGTATTTGCCATTTTGCCTGACTTTGTCGCGCCATTTAACGGGCAATAGTACACAGGGTTCAGGTTGTCACTTGCCCCTCATGCCACACCCGCTGCTGACATTGTTTTGCAACTGCAACTCGCAACAATCTCGAGCTACGGTTAATCAGGGTGGGTCCCATCACAACGTGGCAAACATTTACGTGTATTAAATTTACTAAGAGTTTTCAAAGTTTAATCAAATAAGACGAAAACGTTCTCTAAGGGGCTCCAAAGCATGTAAATTTCATTGTTATTTAAACATTTCTTCGTACAGGCTTTTAATTATTGTCTCCATTGGTGATATTTTATAAAGTAGTCTGATATTGCTTAATCGGATGTTTTGTACACACAAAAGCTGGCCCATTGCCCACTAATTGGGCATGATTTTGCATTTCTGTTGGATTTCAGATGAGGGTCATTTGGAAAATCGCACTGATCAACTCTTTCCTTCCCATGTACTTTATAACGAAATGGAACTATGTGATCAAAATAGTATATCTACAGTTACAGGCAGTTCATCATAGTCGAACGAAATAAGACTGAAGAATATCAAGGAAAACTAAAAAATATGTATACTGGTTGTGAGTTAGGAAAACTATTTTAGGTGCAAAAAGTAGGAGCTGTCGTTAGTTAGCTCTCACTCTACTGAGATACTTCCAAAATATATGGGACTTTACTTATAAGCAAAAATCTTCGAAAAGCGAATAATTAATTGGAAAATTGGTTTAAAAATTCTCCTAAATGTTCATCGATCTATTGAATTGCTGGACTGACATTGTATGTTACTCTATCTGTTTTGACTGAATTTAAGCTGGATTTATCTAATAAGCAATACGAACTGTTCTTCAACTAGATACGTTCATAAATAAACAACAATCTGACATTTTGATGAAGCAACTATCCCACTCACTTTTCATATGTCATGAGAACAGAACTCTGCCTAGTGGCATAAGTGTTTGGTCCCCTATTCAGTCCCCAGGCAAAATTTTTTTAGAATGGCAACGTCATCGAATTTGACATTCACTTTCCAAGCTCACCGAGGGTCAGGTGGTAAATGCAAAGTAAAATGGGCCACAAAAAGGCACGTGGCTGGACGAGGGTTAGCCCTGCGTGTGTTCAGCACTTGGCGCAAACATTTCTCGCATTTTTCATGCGCTGTAATGTCTATTATTGCATTTTTACAGACCTCGAGGTGGTGTGGTAGAAATCTTTAGCTCTTTGTGTGACTATGACAAGGCAGCTTTACTGGGTGGCCATTATTAAATTATTACGCTTGGCTGTCTCTGTTCGCCCTATGCAGAGCATTTAAATGGTTGAGCTCAATAAAACTAAAGCGTTCTTTGGGCATAGCACGCATTTAAATTTTATATTTCAAGCAACTGAGCTATATTTCCAAATAAATTGCTCCATATACTTATCATATTTTTTTCCACATCGTATTTTTTCCTTAAGGCTGCATTGGAAATGGCAGTGCCAGTAATTGCCAACGTGCATGCGAATTTGACAACAACATGGCCAGCTCCAGCACCAGTTCTAGTGGCACTGGCATTGGCAGTCCCGGCTTCAACGTGAGAAGCAATCGCAATGCGGCACGTAGTGGCAAAACGCGCTACGAAGTGACCATGCGACTGGGCGCCAATCTGACCGGATACTATCGCAATTCGGAGCGCGAACAGTTGGCTGGCGTCATGGAGCGACAGGTGAGTGGGTTATAAAAGCATTGCTACATATAATGGAAAGCACTTTAAAAATTAGATTAGGATACTTGTAACAGTTAACAGGCCCAGTCGCCTCCCTCGCGCTCTCCCTGTTACCGACGACTACGTGACCCACATGGGAACACCTATTTAAGAATACATATACTGTGTAAATTTTCTTATTCATTCGCCTTTGCGCTTCCGCCAGCATTATTGATGATAATTCTTCTTTGTTCGAAATTCGTAAACATTTTACTGGCAGCGATGTGTATATATTGTGCCGAAAGACGATTACAAATTTAATATCTCAAATTAAATAATTATAGTAAAACAATTTCCAGCATATTTTGCCTTTGCAGGCTCTGCATTTCATAAAAAACGGCAGAGTGAATGGCTGCACAATATTCCAAGCGCTCACTTTAATTAGCGTCCACTTACAACTAAATGGCAGGCACTTTTTATTTTCCCCATTTTTCACACTGCATTAGAATTTGCAGGCCTGGTAATTTTATTATCATTACTGCCCGACAACCGCAACGAGCAGACAGCTTCAAACAGCTTCATTATTGTCTTCCCCTCAGCCCCAGCCACATCTGCTTTGAGTGCCAGTCCGACCGGGGCTGGGAGCGGTATCCATAGTGCTTGTATCTCTGATGATGACAGGCTGCAAACATCAACACGAAAATCATCATCAGTCAACGCTGGGTGTGACTCGCCCATCCTATTGCCGCCTGTTCTCCTTCAAAATATTAACTGCTACAGTCAGCCAGTTGACATTCTGGGCGGCCAAGCGGTCCTTGCCCGACACTTGCCTCTTTTGCGGTTGAGCTTGACGTAGACTCGGTGAATTTACTTATAAATATTTTAAAATTTTAAAATTTAAATCAATGGAAATTTAAGTGTATGTGTTTTGAGCCTACACTACACTAAGTTTCTTTTGAGATAAGTACAGGATATAAACTGTTCTCACTTTCAAATATTTTTGCAGTGGTTTCTTATTGTTGAAACCTTGCTAAAGCTCGGTCAGTCTTAATTGAACTTTTTTTGCATTAAATTTATCTATTGTTAGCAGATTGATGAGCAATCCTAACAGGATATTTATATTTTATGTGGGTAACTATTAACGGAAATTACGTGGCCTTGCCGGTTGATGTTCCATGCTTCATACCGTGGAAATTATAAATCTACTTATCAGAACTCAGTTACTATCTGAGTCAATTAGGACAAACAATTTACATTGTTATTTATTTGTATACCTAATAATTATCATTAAAAAAAAAGCAGTAAAGGGCTTATCTTTTGATTAATGATTGTTAATATCAATCAAAATTAATTCTGGTGCAATTGATTGCAGCATTTAATATTTAATAACAATGTACGATATTCTTTATATGTGTATATTAATATGTATATAAAATAGTTTTCGGTTAGCCCACATAATTCTGTGTTAAATTGAGCTGATCCTCCTGATCAGCACCATTGCCTGCCTGGCTGAGGCTGTGCAGCATATTCCGAACAGCGCCTGGCGTGCGCTCCAGTGAAGCAGTCCATGGGTTGTGAGCCGCAGGCTGGGTATTGTTGGGCGCCGGGCTGCCGGCACTGCTCTCCATGATGGTTGGCATGTTGGGCGCATGCTGGGCTAGCGGCGCTTGTGTCTCCTGCAGTTGCGTAAAGTTGCCGCCCGCATGGTCTCTGCCCTCGCCGCGCTTAAAGCTGTGCACCGAACGGGACAGGGGACGCCAGCGATTTAGTTTCTTGGACGGCTTACGTTGCACGGGTGGCGTACGGCTGCCCGCTTCTAAATTGAAGGCGGCGTTGTTGCCACTGCCCGCGCTAGCCGCATGCTGCTCCAACAGGCTGCTTACCAGCTTATCCAAAGCTTTAAGATCCACATTCAATTGAGAATTTGGTATGGAGTTCATGCGACTGCCTGCCACGCTGCTCGGGTTTGTATGCATCGCATCGTCGCGTTTATTGAGTCCAGCCATTTTGGCCAAGCGTTCAGTTAGCTAAAAAAAAAAAACGATGTATTGCTATCGGGAAACACATCAGATATACTATTGAAATAAGAAAGTGGACGATGATTGTGCTTTCTAAATTAAAATAAATTCACATTACCCTGGAGCAAGTAGGTTTAATTATTTTAATGAAAATGATGAAAAAATGTTTCGTCTGCGATAAAGATGTAAACCTTTTTTATTCAAAATTGTAACACTCATTTCTTGTTTTAATTTTTATTTTATTTCCCTGCGTTTGCTTCGCATATGTAATTATTCTTTAAAAAAAACCTCACACAAAGTGAATTTTAAATTGTGACTTGAAGAAAATTTCGATTCTCTTCAATTTTCGAGGCGGCTGTGGGCGTGGTTGCCATATCTTTGTACAAATTCATGTGTAATCGACTTGCCAAATTTGGTTACTAGCCTACTACTATACTGAAGAGCTATATATTTTGATGGTTACCCGCCCTTGTGGGCGTGGCCCAAAAAAAGATAACAATTTATATGACGCGGAAATAATCGAGTATATTTTTAAATTTTCAAGTTTTTTTCACAGCTAATAACGACAAAATTATGCAACAGCTTTAACGAGAGTTTTAGTTAAAATACACTACGATACAGATTTGAATATTTGTATTTGTTTTAAAATTGTTTAGCCAGCTATTGACAGGGAATGTTTTCCAATTGTTACAAAATATTCATCCCAAATATATTGTTTATCCTGCTGTCGTGGGCCAAATAAGAACATGTATGGCCATGCCCATGCCATGCACTGGCTTGCAATTAAGCCGTAACCTAACGAAAAATGGGGCTTTGCCCTTGCGAGATTTGCAGGAACTTACAACCCACGGGGTGGCTACACTCAGGCCACCCGGCCCGTGGCAGTTCTCGTGCCGCTGCTGGCCTCAATGGCAGCGACTACCGCAAGGATTAACAATGGCGGCATTGGACGAAAGGCAATATATTTTTGGCAGCGAGCAGGGTTGCCAGCGTATCTCGTGCGGCCGTTGAGCAGTGCGCCACTTTAATTGATGTTTCATTTCCGTTGCAAAGTGTTTCCGCTTTCCTGTGCTCAACATCCGACGTTTGTTTTGCGCCTCTGCTGTTCGCGGTTCCCGCTTAAGTTCGAGTGGCAGCGGCCCCGCAATCCGTGAACCTGGCAACCCATTCACTGGTAATTGAGTATCAATGCGGTTTTAAGTGAAAAATTCTCCACGAACGCCGTTCATGCCACGCCTATATAACATGCATATATCTATCTATAGAAGAGCCCCCCTCAAGCCCACTTAATGTCCAGCCATTTCCGTTTGTAATCTTTTGCCTTGATTTCTACGTTCTTTTCTGTCTGTGGTATTTTTTTTTTCTTCTTTCGGCTCTCTCTTTCCCTCTAGCCCTCTTTTTTTGATTTGTCTTGCCGTCTCTGTCTTTTTCAATTGCCTCGTGCTGCGTCAAACGGGGTTAATTGAGTTTTAGTGGCCGCGACTCACTTTAAATAGATTACAAGCCGTTCAGAGTGTAACCCCCCAACTGTTAGCCCCCGGAGCAACTTATCAAGTTTGTTTTGGACTCTGCTTCGACTGAGGCCTTAAATATTTGGAGCATGTCTTGACTGTCACTCACTCAAGTGCCTGCTTGACATTCTCGTTCTCGTTTTGATTTTTGTACTCGTTTCCCATTTGGATTTTCATTCTCCACCTCGGCTTTCATCTCTACAAAATGAATTAATGTAAAAGTTGATTTGTGGCAATTGACGCTTGGATGCCTCCCCGGTTCCCAGTAACTTTTAATTGGGACTTTCGTCCCTTTGCTAAACGGGAAATTACGAAAGTTTTTTTTCCTTTCCTGCGTAGCGGCAGATAATAAACTCTTTGATAATCATCTAAATTCGCGTGTATCCCATGCGTATACTTAACCTTTTTAACTTTGTTACACTAAAAGTTTGCTACTCAGCAGCTATTGTTCCGGCCTGCCAAATCCTAGACTCTTATCTTTTAATAATGACTCTAACGCATCCTTCATTATCCAGGTTGGGATACAAAGAAGAACTTTTAGTTCAATTTTTACTTTAAATCTCCTCCAAAAACTACTTTGCATATCCCTGAATTGACATATTTCAATTGTCACTCAATTTCCGAGCAGCACGTCTTCAATTCAATCTCCACATCGCAAGCTCGACGTCCGCGGCACACCCAGCGAAGAGTCTGGATTTTGGGCCAGCATGCGAAGCAGTTTTTGTCTATGTTGCGACATCCTTCGTGGAAGGACTCACTGCAGTCGCTTGCAGACATTTGTTTTTGCTCGCTGCAACGACTTTATCTGGATCTACCATAAATCTTGGCCCATTCTCAGCAATAAACATGCAATCCCCAGTTATTTCTTCGCGACAAAGGGCGCGACTGGGGCTGACCTTTCCCTTGCACTGAGCTACGCATTGATTTATGATGACCCCTCACTTGGTTCATATTCTGTCTTTCCTTGGAGTGTCTGGGCTGGCATCTCCTGCTCGTCGCTGTGGCTCATGGGTGGCTTGTACATTCAACTCTTGCCGCGCTTATCAACTAATGATTGAGGTCAGTTCTTAATGTACCGTAGTCACTCGCTTTTGCTCGTAATTGCGGGTAATTTACTTTAAAAGCTGTCTTACCCCAGGGTCGTGAAAGGGTCTTGACAAATGCGATAAGCAGATACTTATTGTTATTCTAATTGTTATGCTTGTTGCAATTACAAATATCATTATTTGTATCAAAGTAAATGTGCTGAGTTCCAAGACAAATTACAGGTATACCCCTAGCTCCCAAAGAACAGTAGCAGGGTTTGTGTCGAAGGTCATAGAGTTTGAGTTTAAATGCCTTCTATTTTTTAGATTATTATATCTTTTCACAAAGCAATGTAAAATCCTTTATGCTATATCGGAAAGATATATTCTCTAAAGGAACCGAAGTAGATAAAAACATCTCTACACTAATATTAATTCCTAATATTGCTCTGTTCCGAAATATTACCTGATTTATGTTTATTATGACAAGTACTTTTAATTCATTCACTCTATTTTCTAATTAAAATATCCATCGTCGATCGTACAAAATGTAGACTGAGGGTTGGTATCTAAGGCCTAAAAGTATACTTGTCAATATAAAAACCTGTTTTATCCATTAACTTAAAAAGATGGCAAATAGCTAGCATTCATACATATAAAATATTTCAATAGGAAACCGAAATGCTGATTCCAATGCACCTGTTTTTGGTATATTTACACTGTCGATAGATAATTCTTTTGTGTAAATAATCAAAAAAAAAAAGCCGGTAGATTATTTATATTGTTATCTGAAAGTGACAACTGATTAAATACTCAGATGTACATCCAATTCAAATATGACGTCTTCTTTTGGAGCAAATGTGATATACGAGTATTATGAATCGGGAATGCCCGACTAAGAGATGCCCTGAATCTATCGCCGAATGCGAGATATTGATAATGATATATAGCATATACTTATATGTAGATTTTCATACTAAAATCAATACTGCTATATACATATGTTTTGAATCAAATATTTTTCATGTCTGTAGTTTTGAAGCTCCCAAGGCTAGATCGACCTAGGTCGTCGCCTGTCACATACATTCGCTCAAGCCCTTTATACTCTTTTTACCTATTCAAAATTAAAACAATAAATCCACACGCAAAGTAATCAAGCGACTGGATAAACTTGTCCAAATATTCAATTGATGTAGTAGATCGAATTTGAAACTACCTATAAAAGGCGAAACCTCTGCTTGATTCTTATCATTCGCCATTCGATTGGATTAAGATGAGAGTCAAAACAATTACTTTGAGCTTCGTTATTCTGGCGCTGTTTATGGCCTGCGTACCGATGGGCAGTGCGGAAATTTGCGACACACCTGGCGATCCCGTTGGTTGCATCGACTGTGACGATCCAGCCAACGAGTCCGATCCAGAATGCGCTGATGACACTCTTCCAGAGGATCCAACAGAGGAAGAAGAAGAAGATACGACCTTATTACCAAGCGATAGTGAGACATCAACTCCTGTGGCCGGTTCAGATTCCACGACACCATCGACATCAGGTGGCAACAAGGGTGGCAAGAGGAGGAGGCGCGTCCGAGTTGTTGTGAGGAGGCGGAGAGGAGGAGTTCGACGAGGAAACAGACGCATCAGAAGAATTGTAAGACCAAATGGAAATGGTGTTCGAATCGTTGTACGCAGAAATGGAGCTAACATCAGAAGACGAAACCGTGTTGTGATACAGAATTAATTGCTGACAGCCACTAAATCCCAATAAAATTAAATTGCATGAAAGAATTGAGCCTAAAACATTTGATCTGATTTTAGCCAGCTTCTAATTGAAGAAACTCGTGCGTAATCCGTTTCATATTTGGATATATGATACGCGTAGCAGCTAACAACTGATTAAATACCAAAAAAAACTAATTTTTACCATTTTGCATATTTAAATCAGCTGGGTAAGCAATATAAATCTTGGACCCAAGCTTAGTTCATACCTTTTTTTAATTAGTAAAACTGAGTTGGTTACGATGTGCACTGCGAAAATTAAGTTCGACTGCGCCCTTTTGGACATATGCCGTTCCATTTGCCGCAGGCCAATGGACTGGCATGCACAGCCACACCCACTCCCACCTGCTGTACCGCCATGGCTGCAACGTAGGACTGCGTAACAACAACCACAGCAGCCACAACTGCGACTGTAGCTAACGCCACAACGTCATCCGATACCACCACATCTATTGCAAAGTCAACGTGTCGGGCAGGTGCGAAGAGGAGAAAGATTTACATTAGTGCGACAAGGAGAGGCTGGCAAAAGAGGTGTAAGAAGGAGAAAGCGCGTTAGAGGGATTAAATCGGAACAAGAGAAAGCAATAATTTAGCTGCTGCACCCAAATTTAAACAATCATTTAACACATACCTACTGGGGAAAGATTAAAACATAACGGTACAGAAATTGTTAAGATATATATTAAAGGCATGCCTTTGGTTGCATGCCAAAATATCATTTTTGGATAAATTTATCCATGTGGGAGGCGCTTATTTTATTTGAATTTATATATTTCTTATTTGATACTTACTCCGCCCGCCGCATTGCTCGAGTAGCTCATCCGTTTGACTTTCCTGAAAGTAACATCGCTTTCGGCCTCTGCTAGGGCTCGCTCCAGAGCTGTGTCCATTTTGGCACTACGGGCTTCATCTAGGCCCTGGTAATTGCCACCACTGTTGGATAAGATAAATGTACAAAAAAGCGTTAATTGCAAAAACACGCGTAGAGTAACGCGCCGAAACTGCTTTACACTTTCATACTCAGAAAGTGAAAGAAGGAGCTTAGTTCAAAAATCGAATTTTCTCAATTCTGGCAATATGTCACGTATATGCAATTATCATGTTAATTGGCTGTTAGCAATTGGCGCTCTGTTAATAACAGGAGGGTTGCTTCCATGAGGTTCGTTTCAAAACGAGTACACGTTACAATGTAGTTGATATTAAACTTTTAGCAAGCGCCGAATAAGTACTATAATACCTCCTCTGCAAATTTACATTCAGCGTTAAAATGAAAAACTTTTGTGGAAATTTTGCAATGCCCTTTGTGTGGCCAGGCCATAAATTTGTTGTAGTTGTTGTTTTAACAAATAGCGCGGTCACTGGGCGTTAAATTAAAAACGCCAGCAGCTGGTTGCTAATTTGGAACATGAATTTCAAGTGTGATATTCCAATTGTTTTTATGGTAATTTATACAAGGAATCGTTTACCCGAAACCCGCTTCTGACCCTAATTGAGGCTTAATTCTGCTTTGATCTCGCTTAACGAATGTTTTCTCTTTTTGTAATTGAAAAAAACAATAATATATGTGGTCAGCCTTAAGTGTTCTGTAAATTATAATGTTGCTGCTTTAATTTCTGTGTAAAACTGTGGACGGAATTGTCTAAGGAAACCTCAAATAACTTCCAATTTTGTATATCATACGGCGCAGTAATGTTTCTTTTACGGTTTTTCACAAAAATGTCATAAATTTCTAGCAATGATTTCAATTATGCGATAAACATTTTGTACATTGCCCACTTTTCTTTCCGCCATCAAAATTATTTATATCCTTAAAAACAACACAATGCCTTGGAGTGGGGCTGAGACATATGAGTATAAATACTTTTGTTATTTACCTCTCGAAATTGTTTTGAGACGTGTGGCTCCCATTCCTTTGAGCAAGAAGTAAATTGCGCTGGCCTCGGGGAATATCAAGAGCACATACACACACACAAACGCAAGCACACACACGCATGCACACACATACATACGCACGCACACGTGCTCAATAACCGCCATAACAACAAACAACAATTGCAAAATATAAATATAAACGAATCCGAAAATCGGAATTTCATGCATCGCGTTTTTCATCTACACTTACCTTATGAGCTTGTCAACAGCCCCGCCTCGGAGCGTTCCTTGTCGATGACGGAACGTGGAGCGGTTCGTCTTGCGTACAGTACGAAGATCAGTTTCCCAGAAACTATAAATAGATTGAAGGATTTTAGCTAAGGGTATAAATAAAATATACTACGTTTTTTCATGGGTTTTAAATGGAATAATATTAAGCGAAGCGCAGCATATCAAGAAAATTTGGGATTGCAATATTTTATTCAAGATAAAATTTGTTCTAGCTGGGTTGCAGAATCCCTGCATATCCTTATTTTATCTTGGTATTCGCCAAGTTATAATAGTTTACAATTGGCGACTGATCGCAAGGGAACCGTAAAATATAGAGGTCCGATTTTGTACGATTCTTCTAATTCTTCCTATGCTAAGTCTTATTACGATGTATTCAAACAGTCTACTTAGCATAAATAGGATATCCAGACAGATGGCTAAATCGACTCTATTGATACTGTTCATTTATTTACTTGGAGATGTCCTTCATCTTTGCGTTACACATTTCATGAAAAAATTATAATATCCTCCACCCGGGTAAAAACAAAAACTCCACACTTGAAACAAGAACATCTCCCATTTCCCAAAGCTGAGCAAACAAAGTTTCAATAAATAAATATAAATGCATGCACTTTATGCGTATTGCAAGATTTGCCCAGTCGGAATGGAAATCATTGGAAATAGCCCCGGAGCCATATGGACGAAAGAATGATAAAAACTTTGCCATCCATGATATTTATTTGTGCAGTGCGTTGCCCTCCAACGAGGGCTGTCGCTAGTCGAATGCAGCAGAGCAAACACAAATATTGCATAAACAACTGTTAAATGTGCACAGACAAAGAGATAGTAAAACAATAAGGCGTCCGCTAGACTGCTTAACTATAAGATACCCTGTGACCCCTTAAATAATAGTAATAATAATATTACAATTAATATTGTGATAATTATACAATTATAATTCATGATGTGCATCCCACAAGGCTGATTACTTAATAAGTAGTTAAAATTATCTATTATAAAGCACACGCATCCCTTTGAATACCCTCTCTTGGCCTGACTTTCTAGGTGCAGGGTATAACAGAGGCATGGCAGGGGCTATTGGGTGTCAGGCTGTGGAGCGTGCGCTTGCCTTAATAGGCGACAAAATGCATACTGCAACAAAAACTGTGGCGTGTATAATTTTGCGAGCAGTTTATGACGCAAGTATTGAAAGTGTTTTGCAAGAAAAAATTATTTCACACAACTGAATGCGTCACTTTAGCAGATTGAAGGCCACGTAGCAGACCAGACATGCCCCAGCCAGCAAGTGGGCGGGCATTAATGCGCGCTGATTCCCAGACTCATGTAGAGGATATAGGGTCAGTGGCGTCTATTCGACTTAGACGGCTATTTATTATAGTAGAGCGTGCAATAAAACTCATAAAACTCATTTATTTCCATTAGCCAACTTCTTATGAAATGCAAGCAATAAGCCAGTTAATAATGCGATTTGTCATCTGCAAAATGTGCTCTGGACCTAATGCTTATTAAATGTATTATATGCACACCTTTTAAATCTGTCTATACCACTCTGATTGTTGATTCGGTCTGACAGACTTTAATATATTTACTCTGAAACTTAAGTGTTACTTAACATTTCGCTAAGCGCTAAAATTGACTTGGGCCAGGTTTTTGTATGCTTGTATGCTTATGTGTTTAGAGCACATATTCAGTCTCCCATTTTGTCTCTCTTTCCCCCTCTCACTATCTCTCTCTCTGTGCCACCTGTGTTGACAAATAAATTAACATTAGTCAAATATATAATTTGCCTTGGCTTTTATCAAACTCTGAGACCATTTAATAAATGTTTGGGTTGTTAATTCATGAAAATGATTTTAAGGAAAACGTCAAAAAACAGTTTTCCGCTCATCATGCTCTTTGGCTGCTTCATGGCTCTGCCCAGTCAGAACTTATATACTGATTAAACGACTGAGCACAGAACATTATTTTCGTTCAGTTTGCTGGCGGTTATTGCTGCTGCAGATGCTATTATTAATTACATTTACAAATGGTCGGTCGGCTGGCCATATAACGGACGCACATACCGGAAATGATAAGCTTAAAAGCAAGTATTCTGCTATTAAGAACACTTCAGTGCATATCACAAAGTTGGCCTGACTTTATTGGTGGCACATATCATCGTATCGCATACACTCGTATGCACTGAACTCCCTTGCTTTGATATGCAAAATTTTAATCTTTGAATCGGCGTAGGGCCTCCACTTACCGCTTTAGATCCGGACTGGCCGTATATGGCGCCGATACTTCCTTGATTTTCAACACTATTATGGCCGTTATAAATATGCAAATTACATTTACGACCGTCAAACAGGCGGACACAATGCCATTGATCAGGAACTCGGTGGGCAAATAGTCCGTATAGAGGAATGGGTAGGCGCTGGTGGAGTTCATCGCCTCGTTTTTCAAGTGGGGTATACGCTTTTCCGGATAGATGAGCCATATGCAGGCGATAGACCAAAAAAGACCCTGTAAAAGATAAGTAGCAGACAATGTCAAGCACTGGCCAGTACAACTGAGTTAACGTTTGGGAGGGACTCATGGGCTTTTGAGGTCATAGGGTCATTGCGGACGTATTGCCAAATTCCTATTGAAAGCGGCACGGGTGTTGCCTTTAGCATATTAAGTAGCGACTTCGGCCGTGAATTGTTGTAACTCTTACACGCACACGCACATACAAACAACTTTACTGTCGCATTGTTTGCTCTGTGCCTTATTTATATTTTTTCTTGAATTTTCGCTCTTTCGTTTTTCTGTTGCTCTTATAAATTATAATGACTCAGCGCTTGGCCAAGCATTCCGGAAGTTCGTGCCTCGTGCAAATGTGTGTGTGTGTATGCTATATATTTTTTTATGCCACATGTGAGTGTGGCCTTTTTCTTATGTTGGCATGTTTTTTTTTTTTTGTTGTTTTATTTTTTTATTTATGGCTTTTTAGCTAATTTAATGTTCTTCTTCATTGCAAAAGAAAGACGACCAATTCTTTTCCCTCTAAGAAAAGTCTATTAAAAGTTAGCATGCAAGTAAATAAAACTGCCATTATTCATTGTGACTATGTACCCTTAAAAAGAAAGTCGAAACTTCCGGCTTTAACTAAAAAAGACAAATTGTAAATAATTTGATCAAATATACGCCACTAATATGAGCAACATATTGCATACTAATTGCCATTGCGAGCTTATTATTTAAAGATAAACATAGGCATATCTGAAAACAAGAACGTTTTTTATAGCACAAATGTAATAATTATTTAAAATACTATCTATCTATTAGAAAATTGTTATGTTTCTGCGAACCCATAGTGATTGCAGGCGGACAACTTTGCGTATGAGTAATGAGAGAAGCATAAATGTAATTACTCATACGCGCCGTTGCCTGACGTGTCTGCGTGCAATTAATTGTGGCACGCTGTTGGGCGATGCAGTTAGCAGATTTTAGTTTAAAAACGTGCAAGTGCTGCCTGACATAGCTGACAGCATCAGAGTTTTAGTGCGTGTGTCTGATTTATTCAGCTCATATAAGCCAAAAAACGATGCAGCAAGCGGTGCAATGCAGGGCGTATTCGGTGGCGACGGCTGGATCGGAAGCGGGGGCGGTTGCGATGCCAAAGGCTTAGCTTGCTGGCTGGCTTTGCACACTTGCTCGACCACAGTCGTCGGGATGATAAAGCGATCTCTGCCCCCATTGTTTCAGCACATGCAGCAAGCAAGGAACGACCAGGGAGCACGGCCCAAAGCTCAGTGCCCGTTTCCATAATTTGCTCTCTTGCATCATTTTGTCATGCTCGTGGCCGCCTCCCGACTGCTTGCCGACTTGCCGCCTTGTGCCATTGTCTTTCTGTCACAATTGATAAATGTCAGACAACCTCGTGTCGCCGGGGGTTTGTTTGTTTTGGCTGTTGGACTGTCGTTTCCGCTGTGCAAGTTTTTGCATGCATTTCCCCCCAAACCTATCTGCAGGCCAGACCACTGAGCGTGCTTGCTTAATAATTTAACGCAACGTCCGGTAGCCTGCGTGCTGGGCGCAATTCGCACTTGAAAATTGGGTCGGAATTTATGCACTCGTTGCGGTTAGCTGCCACAAAATAGGCAAACAGCTGGACCTAAGCCTCAGCTCCGGCCAGAGACAGTGCTTGAGCCACGGCTAAGTTACAGCTCGGCAATCGGTGGGATAGATTTACGAGCAAAAGTTTTTGTGCCCTGCACTTCAGATTAATCGAGCAAATTGTATTTTTGCCTAATTTATGTTCGAGTCACAAAGCCTTCCCACAAGGAATGCAATGCCGATTTACGCTCTTGCCCTAACCTCAGTCAAAATGCTTTCAGACTTTAGGTCTATTTTTTAGTAAATATATTTCTTCCTTTTCGTTCTAGCTTTTCCTTTCTGGTCAGTATGAATTTCTAGAACACAAATATTTGCGGTAATAAAATAGAAATAAAATTTCAAGAATATATATCGCAGTGGTAAACAATAAAAAATAATTCAAATAAATAAGAGCATAGCAGTTGACAGCTCCCGACTGCAAGATGCCCTGTTCTTTTATCTTAATCCAACTGAAATACTGCGGTCACCCAGTGTATCGCCTTAGTAAATGATTTGTACTCAAACTTAGATATCAGCCTGAAAGAATGAACACAATGAATAGGATACCAGAATAGAAACTGAAATTCGGTTCTAAGAACGAACTGTAACAGCTTTAAGCATTGAATTGTAAACTAAGCAAATATTGATTCGTTTGAATAGCTTAGTGATTCTAACAAAACTTGTGTATATTCAAATTTTGTGTGTCTAGCTAAAATAAAGTCATAGAGTCCCGCTCTAAGTAAAGTCAAAAATATCTTGTTCAAACGGACATGCAGCAAGACGTAAACTGTGCAAACAATTTTTACTGTTTGTGAGCACCAGCAAGTAGGATTTTAGCTTCAGGGAAGCGCTAACAATGGTTGAAGACAGGCCAATAACATATGTTGCCACTGACAATCAGTACGAAGATTTGTCGTCAAAGTCTCTTGTGCTCAAGCATCGGCTTACCAATTAAAAAAATATATTTTGTATACCCTGTGTATGTTAAATTGGTAAATGGCAAAATTGTATAAAATATGTAGCTTTGCAAATGTATGTGACACACAGCAGATCCTCGAATGTAGGTTTTCCCATAATAATACATACTTTATTTCCCCAAAATTCGAGAAATATATATATTAAATTAATGTTGAGCATAAAATGCTAGATACACACATAATTAGGTATAGTCGACTCGCATTTTGTCTTGAAATTTGTTTTAATTATATTCAAGCATTTAATTCAACGATGGAAGAAGAAACAAATATTTTTAGAAGGAGTTCAGTTTTATGTGTGCGCGTTTGTGTTTCATTAAAATGTTTTTTTTTTTGTATCTGTGTTGCAGTATACGGGGTATTTAATAGTCTGGCAGACTCCGCTCGAGGATTTATATTTGTTTTGAATTTTGTTATGCATTTCGAATACTCACACAATTGACAACGGGCGGCAGCAGCGATGCTGATATGGCAACGCCAATCAGCGGCCCGGCCGAGCCCTGGAGTAGGGCCACAGCCACGCCAGTGCCAGATGTTAGGGCCCAGAGCACGCCCATCCACAGTGCGCGCACGTTGCCTCTGCAAGTTGAAATGAAGAGTTTGATATATTGGGAAGGCAACTTTGAAATAAAACAAGAATTAATTAAAAGCACAAAAGACAAGTGCCAGCTGTGAGCGACCGGAGCGACGCTGGCACCGAAAATTGAGTTATATTCGGCTGGGAGCTGGGCAGCGGCTGTCCGTGGCATTGCTTATCTGCCCTGTCAACTGGACACGCCCCCAGGTGGCGCTGATTTTCACGCTGTTTTCCCTCTCTTTTTGGTGTGTCAACTCGCAACTTTGTCAAGTGTCAGCGGCTTTTGTTATCACTTCCGGTGCGCGACCTTGTCGCCGGTGAAAAATTTCGTTGTGAAAATGTTTTGAAACTTTTCATTGTGGTGTTTTTTTTTTATTCATGCACCTCATTTGCGCCTACGGGGCAACTCGCGCTTTTATTTTCCTTGCCTCAGGCCAACTTTGCTTGATTAATGGCGCTTGACTTTGGTTACACTTCGCGGTAGCTGTAATTTTTCCTATAACTTTCACAAAAAATTATGCATCTCACTTTTTATCAAGCCACAACTTTATTATGCGCCGCAATTTGCGCTCAATTATTGTTGAGTTTGAAGCTTGTCCCATAAATTAGCAACTGCATAATATCACCTTTGTCAATAGCCCCAACAGTATGGAAAAAACTTAGGAGGGCTTCATTCCGGACAGTCTGGCTGTCGTAACAAATATGTGCACCGACTCAGAATTCGAATTATACAAAAAGTAAAGAAATTGTCTTAAAAAAACTTAAACAAGTTTTTACATTGTTAAAAACCTGGCGACTCACAACTTAAGACGCACAAATGACCCATAAGGCAACAGCGACCTCAAAAGCTAGTTAACAAATAAAATATCTAATAAAAAAAAAATAAAAAATAAAACTCTTCTTTAGATGAAAAATGCTTCAGCTTGCTTGTCATGTTTTTGTTAATCACACAATAATAATTTATTTTTCACGTTCCATTAATTTATGCTGGATTAAATGTTTAAATTTGTAGCATATTTCATACATTGTGGGAAAATGTAATATAATGGAATGAATCTGAAATACTTTTGTATATTTTCGATAAATATTAGTGTTGGACGAGAAGGGTATATATTAAAGTTTAAAAATTCATTAGAAACAAGAAGAACTATCGATTATTTGCAACTAACTCAAACAGCGCGGGCATTATTAAAATTTCAAGGCTCTATCATTTATAAAATCGATGCGTTAGAGCATACGTACAGTAGATGAACACACATGGCCAGATTGACTCGATTATTTATGGTGACTGAGATGCTTTATTCTGTATGTTACACACATTTTCACCAAACCATTATACCCTTTTTACCTATTTTGGGTGATGAGCTCAGGGTATAAAAAGCCAACCAAAACAAGAGCTGAAGTACATAAAATACAAAAAAATGCTATCTAATAATACTAAATTTCCTGAAATTTCTGGTACAGAGTCGCCAGTTGCTGATTTGCCAAACAAATTACCCTAATTCTGTGGGCAGTGACAAAGCTATTTTCACGCGCAACGTGCCACAATTAGGTGCCCCCAAAGGCACCGATCGAAGCTGTTCGGGCTAGAGAATACTGGCCATCGGAAACGCATGCACAGGATGAGAAATGTGGGGTTTCCAGCGTATGTATTCAGGTTGAGGCAATCACGCAATCAGGTCCAATGCCAGCGCCTTTCTTTTGTTTATTATTATTGTGATGATTTGTGTTTGTATTTGTGCATTGGCCATTGTCTGCTGGCCATGTTCGCATACAGAACTCAACTCGTGCACACTTAGCTGTCAGATTTGGCAGCCAAGTCCTTGTGTCTCTATCTCTATGACGCGCCGAGAGTCTGTCCTTTTGTATTATTATTTTAACAATTTATTTTGCGCAATTAACACAATTGCCGACACACATTCATTACGCACAGCTGCCGGGGAAGTGCGTCTGAGCTTAATTTATTGTTGTTGCCGCTGCGCGGTGTGGTGCGATGTGGTGTGGTGTGATGTGGTGCGCTGCAATTCGGTGCGGTGTGGCTGCGGGCGTGTCTATTTAGGGCCTAAGCCTATTTGGCCCACTGGCACAAAAGATTTACGCAGTCGGCGCGTGGCAGCTTCAAGATTTGCGCTTTGTATCGTCTGGCAAGCTGGCAAAAAACGATGCTATAATAAATGTGCGTTCATATACTTGCCAAGCGTCTATGGTCTATAGTATCTGCCTGAGTATCTGAACAAGGAAGTTGAGTTTGAAGGGTGCGGGTAACCTAGGGAGTGTTTGCCTAATGAGCGCACGCCTCACATTTCGGTCGAGCGGATCAGATTAGTTGAATTATTTGCAAGTAATTTATTAGGTTTTCGCTCATAGATTCCCGACACTGACTTAAAGTTGCAGCCAACTTTGGCATTTGCTGAGCCGACGCGTAATTAGCATACTTAATGGATTTCCATTGTCTCAAAATCAAAGCCGTTCAAGGCTCCGCTCCGCTTAAAAAATAAACAAAACTTCTAATTCCTTCTTTAATTGCCTGAATTAAAAGCGAATTTGTTTCAAAATATCAGTTCATCATTTTTAAGTTTAAAAATAGGATTATTTTGTTTAAGAATTTATTCATTACTCTTTCAATGTCAAATAATATTCCAATGTATTTATAAACAGTCAGGCCAACTCTTTGGGCTTCTATTACATGCGTCAATGAAATTTCAACGCCTGAAATTAAACCCCGGAAACGCATTGTTCAGATTTCCTAATGACATGGTCGCTAGGCAACGCATCTTCTCACCCATCATTTTCTAACTTTTCTTAAGACACGAGAATCGTCATTCTACAATTTGACTCCATAACAAAATATGCCACCTGTCAAGCAGAACTCAATTAATTTTAAAAGGGCAACATCCGCTGGCATTTTAACGCAGCCTTCAATCAACACATTCAACACAATGCTCTCCTAAAGAGCATCTCAGTTTTCCCTTTGATCGACTTACATATGTACTCTTGAGTTCAAAGAGTAATGCAAATCCCCAAAGACGAAGACAAAAATATCCCAAGCACATGAGCATTTGTTGGTAATAATGGCAATCAACTGAAAGATTAAAAATGCTTCTGTGGACCCAACTAATTTACTTGACATGGTTATTTGCTCGGCTCTTATTCCAAACATAGCACAAGACGTGACAAATTTTCACAAATCTGTCGCAATTGTTGGGCTGATTAACATTAATTGTATTCGACTTTCCTTACCTGCCACGCATCTCCTCAGTAGGCCAATCTGCGTTTTGACCCCACGGCATTTCGGTGGTGCCGAGAATTAGACCAAAACAGAATCCAAAAACACAGGAGATCAACATGCCCAAGGCCAAGCTCAGAAAGCCCACGCGCTGCGAAGTATTGACAAAAAAAACCGGATTTAACATAATATTGATATCTGCCATTCGTAAGTATACCTTAAGGATAAACAAAATTATTAACTTCGTAGACATGTGAGGGAGTTAGTGAAGTTAGTTATTTAGCTAAAGCACCAAACAAAAATAATACACTTACATAAGCCTGGGATATGTTGCTTAATAGATATTTTATGAAAAAAGAGGTTTTGGGACCTAGCATTCCAGTAGCTATGTGATATAGCGGTCCGATCTGGCCAACTTCGATATATAATGTAAATGTAATACCTGCTTTAAAACTGAGAGACTTACATTAAGCATTGGAATATAGCCCATACTTCATGGGGCCGGAACTGTCTCAGTCTATGCGGTAAATAGTTCCTGAGAAAATAATAATATCCTACAAGGCATTTCGTCTCTGCTTTGGCTTTAGATTAAAAATATATGTATATACAATTTTTTATTTCGCTGCAACTTGCTGTAAGCAAGACGGACAGCAAGAAACACTGACAGGGATAGATATATGGAATGGAAGAGCTGGCGGTTTGCATGTTGAATGCCAACTGACGCCAGTCAGCGACACTTTAAGCGATAATGTAGCATACTTTGCAGCGTAGCTGCAGCATAGTTGTCAAACGCGATGCGGCAAGGGGAGGGGCGCGAGCGAGAAGCGAGTGGGTGCGTGACATGTTAACCCAAATTTGCAGCCACGCAGCATAAACTGCTTTTGGCAGCTGCACACAAAAGGAAAATGTTCTAATGTCAACCAGCTGATGTCCTCGCCGTCGCCGTCGTCGTCGTTGTCGTTGTCGTTCTCGTCGTCTTAGGGTCCAACCTCAACCCTAAATTGAAGCGCAACGAATACAAAGAAATTGTCCCCAGCAAGCTGACAACTGCTTAAATTTTTAGAGCTGAAAACTTCAAATTGAAGAAAGTAAATGCAGTTTAAAGAGTCTACCACAACAATTTGCCAACTGGCATTAAAGTTAAGTGAAAAGATAACTTCCAAGTTTGTGTCTGTTTTGTTTTTGGCTTGTTCCTTTGCTTTTCACATGCAGGCAGGTACGGGAAATGCAAACAAGAGGGCAGCTCACTGGGCGTATGAGTAATGTGTAAACCAATTGCATCAACTTTAAATGGGCTGCAAATATTTTATAGCTCACATTCAACGCATACGCAACATTTTCCAAAAGTCCAAGTGTGTGTTTGTGTTGCCCGCAGCTGCACAAAAAGTGCATTTCAATAACATTTAACGACTTTTGACAGATGCTGCCATATACATATATGCATATAGACGAAGCATTTAGTTTTCATTTTGCAACTTTATGATTATTTTGTATTTTTTGTGCTTATATTATTTATGTTGTTATATTTTTTTTTTCACATTTAACTCATAGCTCTCAATTTTTATGTGCCTGCTGATGTCGGCACTGGGCTGAGTAATTGACATTTTTGTGTGAAGGGTTTTAAATGCTTTTCACAATATTTACAAAATGACTTTGCCAAATATTTGCCAAACTAATATTGCTATCTCGCTCGTCACAAAAGCCCTCTCTCTCTCTCTCTCTCTCTCTAGTGTTTTTATACCCTTGTAGAGTGTCTAATAATTTGTTCATGAAATGTGAAAATATAGCAGGAGACATCTCCGACCCCTTTAAGTATATATTATCTGTCTATCTGTTTCTATACGAACTAATTTTTCAGATTTAAAAATATCGCAGCACACTTGTCGGAACCAGCCGGATCGGACCACAATAATCGGTCCAAAAATAAGTTCTTGTATAGAATACCCAAGCTGCAAGAGCTGGTAAACAGTGGCATGGTTAAGGTATTTGAAGGTATTTAACTCTTAGACACCCTACTGTGGCATAGATGCTACAACTGGAGCTACTTCAAACCAAAAAAAAGCGACAAAATACAGTCGTATATTCATTTAAATTAAAATTTAATTGAAGTACACGACGTCACCCAAGACATGTGCTTAGAGAAACACGTGTGCTCTCAGTGTGTGAGTGCGGGTATGTGTGTGTGTCTCGTCTGGAAAATTGTGTCAGCAGACACCGAACTGGTCCCAGGGCGGGCCCATATGGACCTGACTCGCACTCATTAAAAGCGGTTGCAAAAATGTTTGCCGCAGATTCTTGTGGAATCTCCCTTTGTTTTTTTTTTTTTTTTTGGCAGCTTCTGTTTACTTTCTTTTTACAATTATGATGTCTTACACGACGTGAATGTGTTTATCATAAAGCACACCTGCGAAATTTATGAAGCGCAGCTCAGTTTTGAAGTACTTCAGCAGACAAATCTAAATTCTTATCAGTGCCATAGAATTCGACTGTTGTCCTGGCTGCTGTTGACATTTATGGTACTCTTGATAGCGACGGGAACAGAAACAGAAACATAGACAGAGCCGAAAGCGGGCAGCGGGCAGGGGGCAACAGTGGAAGCAACTGCTGCAGTTGACGTCAAGTTTTATTTGCTTCGAGTTTGGATAATTCGTTGAGTGGTTCTTTCTTTTAATTTAAGTAGCTTAAGTTTGTTTGCCGACGCTTCTTGTTGGGTTTTTGGTCGAGTGGACGGCAGATGAGGATGATGAACTCGTGGACCGCTTTTATTTATAGACCGCAAACAGAAGTGAAGTTATATAAATAGCAACATTTTCAACTTTTGCATTCAAATATAAAGTGTTGAGAATCTCTGAGAATTTAGAGCACAGCGTCGTCTTACACCAGCAAGGGTGATGCAGTTGAGATAAAACATTAACATACCTGAAGGCTTAAATTTAGCCCGTTTTGAATGGGCATTCAAGAGGGGAAGCGGATGTGCGTATGTGAAACCATGTAGAAAAGTCAGAAATAAGGATTAAAACAAGGAAAAATTATAAAGGCCTACTTTAAGATTAATTGAGTCATGAATAGAAACCATCTTCTTCGCAAGTAAATTAATTTTCAAGTTGATTGAGGCAACATATAAGTTTCGGCTAAGCATATAAATATTTATAATCTTTAAGATACACACATAAAATATATAATATTTGAAGTTATAGTTAGTGGAATATTAAGTTGGTATTTTAGTCAGAATTATTTTAAAGTGACTCAAATAACATTCAAGCACCTATTATATCGACTAAGCTTTTTCTGAGCATTAGCTTTTGTGTTCTTATAAAATTCTGTAGGAGTAGATTATAGATATTCCTTAGAACCAAATGTTAAAATGTTTGTACTTTGCTCCGATTAAAAATACATAATTATTTTGACCAGATAAATTTGAATACTTAAACATAAAATATCAACATTTGCCAACAGTTTTTACCAGCAGCTTATCTTTGAATTTTTTCCTCATTAACTGTTTTTTATCCAGTTTTACTTGAATACTCTCAGTATTAATAAAGGTTATAAAAATATATGACTTAAATGAAAAAGTATTTTGTTTTCCTTTCCAAAACGACAGGAAAATTGCCAATTCAGTTAAGTAGAAAAACATACTTATGAATTGGCCTCCAGCACTGCAGTTGTATACATATAGGCTTCAAAGGAAAACTGTGCATGCATTAGTTAAGCCCATGGAAAAACATATTTTTTATCAAAGTCGAAAAAGCCCATTTATACACACATCATCAAACTGTCAATAAAGAACTCAACGGCTCTCCGAGTGTTACCACAAAAGTGTTGAAAATGTGTAACAAATTCGCACAAAATACGGTCGTCAGAGCTGTGCGTTTGACTGCTGCAGCGGGAGTGGCCTTTGGGGGCGTCGAGCTTTTCATTTCCATAGGAATTTTCATAGTATGGCAGAGGGCAAACGAACTGCCAACGACTGGCACAACAATTTTCGGCGAATGGGTTTTATTATTTTCATCTGTCACTTTCTCATACATAAATCACTCCACAAAGCGCAAAAGTGTGCTGCCAATGGATTGTCGGGCCGCGACTGCATTCAATTTTTGACTCGAGCTATTTTTTTATGCGGTCCATTGCAATGTTTTGTCGGCAACGCTACTGGAGCGCTGCACAATTTGTTGCCCGGCAAACACAAACACACACGACACACACACACACAGAGAGAGAGAGAGAGACACCCACATACAAGTGCACAGCACAAAAGCAAGTCGAAATGGGTTTGGCTAACCGCATACACAGCAGCAATATCAGCAATAGCAACTGCAGCAGCTGCTGCACCACTTACCATTAGCTCCCTGTCCGAGATAATTGCGCCAAATGTAATCGACATAACGGGACCCATAAGCGGCGAGACCAACATGGCCGCAACAATATTCGGTGAATTATTCTCGACAAGGCCCAGAGCGGCCAGAGAGCTGCAAGACACCCATGGAGTCCACAGAGAAATGAAAACCATCGCGAACTGTACTCACTCGGCGGTAACAATTAGCAGCAGGTAGTCAAAGGATAAGGAACCACCAGCTCGCACACCGTCCACCACCTGCTTTACTGTTAGTTTCGATTTAATTGATTCCACAAAGTTGTTCCACTTGGAGGTTTCCTCGGCATCCTCGCTGCAAGGGATAAAATAAATAAACACCATCTTAAAATGTAATGCGAAATAAAGTGGTTAATGTGGGAACATACGAAGACGTGAGCAGCCGTCTAATTGCCACATTATTTTAAGAATTTTTCTCTTATCTATATGTAATTGGTTAGATTTTTGTAAAGTTCGCATTTGTAAAGATTCTTTACAGAAGAGAGTTTCTGCACTCGGTCGATTTATCAATTTCTAAAGGCTGCCTTCTCATTCTATCAAATTCGTTTTTTAATGCTGAATATTTTCTTAACTTTAAAACGATTTTATAATTAAACGGTTTTTTTATCCTTTTATCGGTATCAACAGCTGAATATAACTATGTAACTAAATATATTTTGCTACCAACTACTTAGTCTATCAGTTTTAGCTTATCTTCATCAAACTTTGCAAAGATTTGTCTGTCTATTGCAGTCAGTACACGTGTCAGAGCCAGACCTTCTTGATATATTGACGTGAGTTTCATTTATTTAGATATTCTTTTCTTCTTATTTTAGGAGTGAATATCATAGGAACAAATATCATAGCACTCCCAACAACTTAATACTTTCGGCTTTTACGTACAATGAATAGTTATTTTAAATAGTTTCCCATGGATAAAAAAGGACAACAAAATTATTTTATCGCAATTTACATCTCAACTACTCCAAAATTGATTTTTCTGCAAAGAGCCAACTTGTCCTTAAATCTTTAACCTAACCTCAATTAATTGTTTATCTTATAAACACGTCACTCTATTTACCTATTGGAAATCCCAATTACCTGCAAAAGTATAGAACACACATAGAGACAGATCAAAAAAGAACAGAGAGAGAGAGAGAGAGAGAGAGAGAGAGAGCTCAAAACGCCCACATTCCGAATAGCTTGAAAACGGACGAAAGTCATAAATTATGTGCACTAGGCAAATGCATTTAACCCTTGATAGGGTTAATGTCTCCAGCCGCTGGCTTTCATATGTAAATGTCATCATTTTCACTTTTTGCACGAAACGAGACAAAGCCCAGAACAATGCACGTAGATTCGACTAAAGCTGCAATAAACTTGGACACAGGCCAACCACAGTGGCTCCATAGTGCATGTGGCATATCTATGAGAGAGCAGGCCCAGTGGATAAACGATGCAAACAATGCAAGTGCAAAAAAGGGAAGTCAGTAACCTACTTGTCACATTGCCAGCAGCTATAGAAAAATAATGGCACTGAAAGCGAAAGAAAGCAAGTGAAAGTTAATGAAATGACAGACGCCTTTGAAAGACGCGTACAAAGAAAGATGCTCAAATTAGTTTTTGACAAAGCAGCCGTCAGTTCAAAAGCAAAGCTAACCACACGTATCTTTTCCTGACAAAGGTGCGTAATTAAAGCTAAACTAGCTGCTAACACCCACAAGCATACTTCTCTTGTTAGTAAGAGAATCGTTCTCATGTTTATACTCATACTCATACTCATACTCATACTCATACTCATACTCATACTCATACTCATACTCATACTCATACTCATACTCATACTCATACTCATACTCATACTCATACTCATACTCATACTCATACTCATACTCATACTCATACTCATACTCATACTCATACTCATACTCATACTCATACTCATACTCATACTCATACTCATACTCATACTCATACTCATACTCATACTCATACTCATACTCATACTCATACTCATACTCATACTCATACTCATACTCATACTCATACTCATACTCATACTCATACTCATAGTCATAGTCATAGTCATAGTCATACTCATACTCATACTCATACTCATACTCATACTCATACTTATACTTATACGCATACTCATACTTATATTCATATTCATATTCATATTCATATTCATATTCATATTCATATTCATATTCATATTCATATTCATATTCATATTCATATTCATATTCATATTCATACTCATACTCATACTCATACTCATACTCATACTCATACTCATACTCATACTCATACTCATACTCATACTCATACTCATACTCATACTCATACTCATACTCATACTCATACTCATACTCATACTCATACTCATACTCATACTCATACTCATACTCATACTCATACTCATACTCATACTCATACTCATACTCATACTCATACTCATACTCATACTCATACTCATACTCATACTCATACTCATACTCATACTCATACTCATACTCATACTCATACTCATACTCATACTCATACTCATACTCATACTCATACTTTTACTTATTCGCACTTGTGCTCATACGTACCTGTAATCATCGCGCATGTTGGACGCATCTGTGATGGCATCATAGCTCACGCTGCAAGGTAGGACGCTGTAAAACAAACCAAGAGAAGAGATTGAAGAGCTGCCGTATGTGCATTTGAATATGGAAATATTTTAACTGTGGGAAAAGCAAGTCTGTGGCATTGTGCACTTAGTTGACTTGCACGACTGCTCCTGGCATATAGCAATCTGACAGCTCAGAAGCGCTTGCTGCTGCTGCTTAATCCCTACAGCTGCTCCGAAGAACTCGCAGGGCAAAACTTAATTGCATTCTGTGCACATTAAACAGCTTAAATATCACTTTTCTCATCGAAACTGCCCGCCCCCCATAGAGCTGCCACTCATTTCAAGGTAAACAGATGCACTTCAGCTGGGCGCCCCTTATCCTCTGCTTTGTCTTTGCTGGCCACACCTTTGGCAGCATTTTAATGCACCTGCTTAATGCCATTAAATGATTATCACACCTGCTTGCCTCACAAGGCACTGCTGCCTGCTTACTCGCCAGGCATATCTTGGTCCTTGTCAGTTCACCTTTCATTTGTTTCGTAGGGCTACTTAAGACAGTCCATTGTTTTTGCTTAATTCCAGGCAGTCCTGTTGTTTAATTTAATCCCAAGAAACTGTCCTCCAGCAGTGAGAAGACGAATTTCCTGTCCGAAATTTATTTGGCACATAATATAGTCCACTGCTACTTTTAATTAGCTCAATTCTCTAGACTTGGGTTTCGAATCATGGAAAGGAACTTAAAGCTTTGATTGTTCCAATATCCTCTAGATGGGAACCTTTTTAAATTTGAGCGACATATAAGAAAATATTCTCCCTCCAGTTCCAGAATAAATATATTCATAAATGCTTTCTAATAACAAAGAAAAAGAGATAGCAGACGGTGATGAACTAAAGGAATACCTTAAGATATTTCGACTTCCCAGGCCAAGTTTTTGATAACCTAATTATATTTGCATTTCGCTGGCATTACGACTTTTTTTATCATCGTCTAGCTTATGCTGAAACAATGCTTGCCCTTGCACTTATCCCTGATGAAAGCATTCAATTTTCGGTCCTGGTCTGTCCAGCTGTTGCGTGGCGAATCGATATGAGCCACACCCATTGCAGCCAAACCGTCAGCTACATCTCTAGCTGCGCGTTCTAGCAATTTTCGCCTAGAGGCAATCAAAATATGGACTTACCCGCTGCCACCCACCGGTTGTTGGCAAGCTCTTAAGACCCTAACAACTGCATGACCCGGTGGCTGGGCCTGGAGCTTGATGGTGAGCTTAAGCTGCATTTTTTATTAAAAACTAACCGGGCGGATGAAGTCGAAGCAGGAGCTGGGGTGGGAATCTGAGCAGCTGTTGCGTGGACTTGTTGACTTGCCCGGCACGTTTGCCGTTTGGCGGTGCCTTTCAATGTCTCAACTTACCTGACACTGGAATTCAATTTAGTGCCAATGCCCAGCTCCGTTAGACAGTGGAGTGTTGTCTCGCAGGATTCGCCGGCTTGCAGCGGGAAAACGACGTGATGGAAATAACCTTTTTTGCTTGTTGTCCAAGTAACGTGCTCAATTTCAAGCTTGACAAGTAACTCCTCAAGTACCTGGCAACGGAAAGCAACAACAAGAACCTCAGCCGGGGCTCAATAAACGAATGCACAGACTTTGGCTATGGATCTAATTGGATTGCCATCAAGCCGAGACTTAGTCCCGATCCCACTCCCCGTCTGTGGCTTAATGCCGACTTTAACGCTGCATCCATCAATCTCTGGTCGCGCATCTTCATCTTGATGATTATCCGACTCGGACTCGGACCCGGTTGTCGCCTAGCGCTGCTGTCTGCTGACCCTCATTCATCAAAATCTGCGCTTAGGTCGAGCTTTGACCAACCACACACAGCCAAGACAATTTGGCATTTTTACATTGTTAAACCCCTCTTAACTTTGCACAGTGCTTCAGTCACGTTCCGTCCAGTTAAGTGCATCCACCGAGCACAACAGAACAGTCATTGAGTACCCTTGTCCACGTCGCTATACCGCACGAAAGTCAACTTTAAGTGTTACGTTAGCCCAGTCTTGGGCCAGGGGGAAGTGGGGTAACTGCCCAATGGACTCACCTTTTCAAGCGGCACCACTAAATTACGTCTGTCCAGTGGCACAGCCCTCGGACCACACGCTCCACTATCAGTTCCGGTAAGAGCTGGCGCCCCTGCTCCTCCTGGGATGGCCCGCTTCGCAGCTGCCGCTGCAGCGCCACGTCCTGGACCGGCACCACGCCCAGCACCGCCCACACCGCCGCGTCGATACTTGGGCACATTCTTGTCACGTAATTCAACTTCGAGTCGTAGTATTGCGTTGTTATTTTCCGGAAGATTGATGTTCAGATTATTATTACCACTGCCCGTGCCGGCCATAGGATGACGGCAGTGGCCACCTAGGTCGCCAGACTGCGGCTCAGTTATAACATTATTTGAAGGGCCTATAAGTAAATGAAAAGGTGAAAGAAGTAATGGGAGTCTCTATATGTAACACTGTTTGTCCTGACTGACTGATTGGTGATCAACTCGTTGCCCGCACCGTAAGCGGTAAGAAGCCGCAAATTGCATTGAAGTTACCTTATATGATGAAGACGTCTGTTCAAGAAATTCCACCCGCAAATGGCGAAAAGCCGCTTACCGATCGGCTTCAAACTCGTTTTAACCGATATTTGTACAAATTAATTCAAGATGTGTTTCTCATTTTTCGGATAATCCACCCATCGACGAGTTTTAAGTCTTGTCCGATTACCTTTAAACTTATTTGTCAAGTCCCCATATAATAAATTAAAAAATATGTGTTTTAGGGACTTGGGAGTTCCACCCGTGACCGTGGTAAATTGGCGGACAACTGTTGCCATTCATTCAATCGTCTTTCATACTCGACAAAAATTGCGCTTCAAAAATTTTTTGTGGGGGGTCTTTAATTTAAGTTCGACTGTCTTCAAACCGACAACTATTGCTAAGGCTTATTTTCCCGCTTCAAGCTAAATATTATTCAGCTCAACTGGGCAAAATTGTTGATTTGGTTTTTAATTCAGCGGACTTCAAAATCTTGCTAGATTTAGCAGGTATATAAGTTTTCCTCGGCAGGACGATTTGGACGATTTTTTTCTAATTAGCGAGATTTGATGCGACGTAAAGTAACGCATTTTCTAAATATTTGCTTTCTGGTCGGTTGGCCAAAACCAACAAAATTTTTCGCTTTATTTAAATAGCAATTGACCACAGAGCTCAAATAGCTGTAAATTGCAATAATTAAATTGATGGCTTAGGTTAACAAATGGCAATTGTTAATTATATAATTTATGCAACAGTTGGCAGCACAATTTCTCGATGCGGGCCAAATACAATTTAATAGTTGAATTATTTAATATTTGCGCACGCTTTTTCTGGGCAGCAATTAACAGAGGCCCACAAAAGGGTATGAGGACCAAAGCTGCACTTGAGCTAAATAAATAAAATGGCAGGCAAAAATCAAATCAAAGCCTACATAAAAACCTTACAAAGAATCACAATTTATTAGGCCAACACACACAAGAGACAGCGAGAGGGAGAGACAGACATCGAAATGTTATATAAATCCCCGAGCATTGACAAATGCCAAAATAAAGCTTTAATGAGCTTAGGTCAGGGCAGAGCATTAAATTTTGCTATGAGCCGCCATGTCTTTGTTTCACTTTTGGCCACTTGTCCCACAAGTAACTATGTGGGACAAGTGGGCCAAAATAAGTCCAAAGCCTGACTCTGCTTCCTACTTTCTCAATTTCTCTCTCTTCACGTGAAGACTGCAAATTTCTAGGAACGCTTTGGCATGGCATTGAGCCCTGTGATTTATGTCTGACACCTCTGCCGGCTTCTCAATGACTTGACACAAGTATGTACATGTCAAGTTCTTCTATACATATATTTTTGTTGCCAATGCTTCTTCTCTTTGGTTTGCCTGAAAGTTGCTTTCGCACTTTTTGAGCTGCTGCCAACGCATGTTTATTGCCTATTTTTGCATTAGAAAAAATCATTTATTTAACTTTGACTTTGACTACGAGAAACTTTGTTCACGCCCTGCCGCAGCTTCCGCCGGCCCCTTCCTGGGCTCCGATACTCATAAGCTCCATTGTCATTATCAGCTAGGACCTCTCCATGGTGACAGGCAAAATTAATGATGATGCCTTTTGATCGCTTTTGCCTTGGTCTTGTTTTATATGGATGTATTTAAATAAATATTTGATTAATAATGGAAGCGGGCCCAACCAGTGCTTCACTCATTGCCAAATCGAACCTGATAAGTTGACATATTTTTTTTTTCATTTCTTTTTCTTGTTTTCCGTTTCATAAATTATGGTTTTTGATAGGTTTTTATTGTAGGCATTTTTGTCTTTGATTATGATAAATTAAAACCTAAGTGTCCCAATGACAGATGATGTTGTGGCAAAAAATAATCTCTGTTTGCTGGTATTTCGCTTGCTTTTCAGAGCAACAATACGAAAAATGTTAAATTAATTTAACATTTAGTTTAAATTGAATAAAATATGATGATATTTCATGAACCTATCACTATATACGTCTTCTGCAATATTTATCGTTTGAAACTTAGAACACTTGATAGCCAAAAATGTTAAATTCATAACTTTTTCTATTTAAATACATAATAACAATGAAGGCCTTTGGCCATTTATAAATTCATTAAAATACATTTCATGATGATTTTTGAAGTTTCTTTATAAAAACCTATTTAATAGCTGAATATAATATTCAAAGAATGTTCTTATAAAGAAAGTTTTATCTACAAAGCGTCTCGTGTGTTTCATTTAAATTAAATGAAACTCAAAATAAGTTGTGCTGCATTGCAATAAAGCAACAAATTGTTAACTCACCTCCTCACCTTCTCTAACTAAACTTTAACTTCCCACATCCCTGGCAACTTGATGTTTACACATCCAGCTTGCGAGTAAATAAACATAACACAACCAGCCCCATTTGCCGCATCCATTTCACATGCTTACACTTAACCCCACTCGGTCTGGCTAATTAAAATTTAATATTCAATATTTAGACAGCAAACTGTTGGTTGTTGAAGCCTCTTTAAGCGGACAAACAGAGTATCAAAAAAAGAGGATATAGCTCGCATGTGTGCGTGGGTGTGGTGTGTAGAGGTCTGTTGTGGGCAACATTCGGAGCATGCTTTTAGGCGCCGAGAGCAGTTTTACACTCTAACGATGTCATAAAATAATTAATAACGCCACTAAACAACATAATTACGCGCCTAAGCACCACCGCATGCAGCCGCTGTTGGATGTGAAAGTGGTTGCGGATGTCGATGGATATGGAGGGGGCCACCAGAAGGCATGCCACAATATTGTGCTGCAAGTGAGCAGAGCTGCAAATTTGTAACTTTCCTATTTAATTAGCTCTCAGCGCATATTCAATTTCTTGTGCTTTGCCTACTTACCGTAAATCAACTCCCGTTCAAAATTCGCTGTCGGCACAACGATTAGGAAGACAACGCCTGGCATTTTGTAGACGATACGCCTCCTGGTCCGCCTGCTGCTCCTGGCTCAAGGTGTGGCCACCGACGCAACTGTGAATGGCAAAAGGCAGACAAGTGGCCATTTTAGTTTACAAATTGTGTGCTTTAAAGCAGCTGGAGAGGGGAAAGTAAAGGGAGCAAGAGCAGAATAATGGCTGGCTCGAGTACATTAACATAAAAACATCCTGTTGGTGGGCCAAAATATATACCGCGCCTACACTGAGACAACACAAAAACTTGGCAAAGCTGCTACTCCCAAGAATCTTCACAGCCAAAATGCATTCCTCGACGTTTTAGCTACCGAGGGCGGATCATTTAGTTTGTGGGAGTATTCTACATTATTGGAAAGTTAAAAAAAAAAAACAGGCTAAACTAACCAGAAATGAGCTGGATCGACACATTCAGAGTTAAAGCGGTTCGAGAACTCGAATGATTTTAGATGATCACACAAAATTGCCCCTATATATTTATTTGCTTGTTAACACTTTGATCCGTTTAAATGCTTGCAACAGAAAGCATATCACATCTGTCATGAATAATGTTAAAATAGAAACCCGAAAGTAACTATTATTTTTTCATTAATCAATTAAAGATATATTGAGCTTGTACTCAGACATTTATTTGGCTTAAAATCGTATTTTAATGCCATTAAAAAAACTTCTGTGATCAAAGTTGATAACCAACTAGCATCATTGATGAGAAAGACAGCATCATTGACTAGCATCATTGATAACGAAAGTTAACTACACTAATTAAAGGACCCTCGACAAAGTTTCCCCCATTGCCAGCTCTAAACTGTTAACTTTTGAGCAGTTAAGCCCTATTAGTAGGTAGCAAGTTTGCAGCCAAAAGAATATTTCTCAGTTGGAAGAACCAAAAAGAAGTTGGCATCAGATGTCTCACTTTTCTCTGGTACTTCTCGACTGTATTGTTTTACGAATGTTGCCAGACTCCCGAATTGAGGACGAGATTGCTGATTTTTTCTTCGCAGCTGCGCTGAGCTGGAAAGCATCTTAATTAAAATAGCCGCCATCGTTTAAATATGCATTTGGTGCCGTTGCCACTTCACTCTTTTCTTTATTATTTAACTTGGCATTGGTAATTTGCCTTTATCAGTTGCTGACTGAGTAAATATCCTGCTGCTACGCACAAGCTGCTTGCAGCTTTTGCCACAGCACGGAAAGCGACGCCTACAAGATTTTCCGCTCCCCCACGCTCGAATGTGGAAATTAAAATGCCATTAGCACAGAGTTAAGATAACAATGATACGAATGAAGGCAGCCGCTCAAAAGACCATGGGCAAAATGTTCTTCAATCTAGGGTGAAACATTTAAGCCAGCCGAATGCACTTGCAAACATATAGTTAACACGGTGTGTTGCTGAAAAAGCCAAAGCATAGGACAATACTGAAATTCAGAAAATTCAGAAAAACAGAATTTACAGGCATATTTAAAGATGAATATCTATAAAGTCAAATGAAGTGTCGTAGATGATTTTGATTTCAGCCGAAACTAAAAGTGCAGCCTGAACAAATTATTACATGTACAACTGATTCACCGCAGTAAGCCCAACAGAGCCACCCGATAAATATATATGTAACTAACTAACTTATATGTAAATTAAAGGCTTAATGCTAACGCAACAAAATCTAACGTTAATATTGGCTCTGTTGTGCAGAATGATGACACAGCAAGAGGTACTTTAATCTGATTGTCATTTTAATTTGAGAGCCGTCCCCCAAAGATAGCGTCCCTCGCTGGACCAGCCGTCCGCCAGCCGTTGTGAAAACTTTTGAGCAAACAATCAGCGTTTTTTTCCATTCTTCAACTTGAAACATTTTTACCAACAGGCGCAAACAAACGTACAGGCCGAAGCTGAAGCTGAAGCCGAAGCCGAAGCCGTCGCTCCCCCGCACCTTCAGGCAGGCTCTTGTAAACTTTGGACGCCACTTTTCAGCACATTGACTGTTGCACATTTTTTACTCAGCACTTGCAAGTTTTCATTTTATGGAATATTTATTAAAAAACAACGGCGAAAATGCACAGTTGCAACGGAAAATTCTTTTTTATTTTAACCGAAAATATTTATTTTTGTTGTTGCTGTTTTTTTTTCGGGTTTTCTGTCTATTTTTTCTGATGCATTTTTTGATTAATTCCTTAACTATATATTGACATAAGCTGAGTGAAGTTTTACCTCGTCGACGACATTGCAGCGTCCGCTGAAGTGGGCGGCCGGAACCATTCCGGGCTTTACTTTACACTACAGTGTCACAGCATGTTGCATTGTCGAACAATGGAAGCCCGAGCAGAGCTAATTTCTTCGAGTAGCCCGTAGAGCTGCGCTCTAATTAAAGCAACAAAATTGCATTACTCTCGCACTTGTGCAATATAATTACAAAGTGCAGAAAAACAAAAAATAATTAAAATAATAGTAAATATTATAAAGCCAAAGTACGGAACCATTCAAGTGCCTCCGTGGCCGGCGGGCACGTCTCGAAGGCGTGAACAAAAAGAAAACTATTGTAATAACTACCAATAAGCGGATGATTGCCGCCACGTCTCGCATAGTTTTAAGTTTTCTTTACTTTCCCGCTAGGCGTCTCTCCCCCACCCACTGGCTCTGCAAGCCTTAAAATGTCCCGGAAAAACCTGCCAAGGCCAAAAGTTTTCTTGTGCTGTCAGCTTTGATTTCATGGTTTGCCTCTTCCTGCACGGGTCTTACGTATTTTTTCAACTGCCACATTTTGCAATGCTTTAATGTTGTGTTAATTAAAAGAGCTAATTGGTTACGTCTGTGTGCGTGTGTGTGTGTGTGACGAGTACTGCATTTGCGCTGGTTTGTTTTGCAGCTTAAGTAGTTTAATGTGAGAACGTTACATTCCAGCATTGAAAACCTTGAGCAAGAAGTAAAACTGATCAAGATTGCTTGAAATAAAAAAATATTCTTTTCTCAGGCAGAAAAAATCTAAATGTATTTTATCAAAGTGACAACTTATCAAGAGGAAACCCGTCTGTTTGTTTTTCTTACTCTCCCTCGTTTACTGATGAAGATCGAATTTAATATTATTTTACATTAATTATGTATTAACTCGAAATAGGGTATGCCCGACGCACAAAGAATGACTAAATGAATAGACAAGCGTATTTTCAAAGCTTAAACCCTTTCTAGAAAATAAGTATGCTGTCAAATATCTCGCGTAGAACACCGCACAGTATAGGCCCTCAAACTTAAGTATTTAAGTTGAATCTCTTGCATTTCCTTTTTTTGGCCCTTGAAGCACCATTTCTCTTTATTTTTAAGGTGGTTTTGTAGTTGGCCTGCTTTGTGTGGTAAATGTTCACATTTTGCTCACCGAAAATGCCCCAAACTGCATTTGTGTCCGCTTTGGCTTCTCCTTTTTGGCTGTCCGCTTTATGCCGCTCTGGTGGCAAATGAAGCGTTGCCGAATTGGCCTTAACTTGCCAAGTTAACAGTACTTCTAATGACAGTTACCAGCTTGAAGCGAACGTGTGCAACAAGGACTTTCATCCTATGCTTGTGCCGCAAATATTTGTGATAGTTTTTCTTTTTTCCACCGTTAGTTCGAAAAAAGAGTCGTTGACTTTAGAAGCCTGCGCCATGAAGAGGATATAGCTCAATAATATTAATATTTAAGTAGACAGTTGTGGTCCGTGGTGGCGGGCAAATACTGCAAAAGTTTTAAAAAACTTTTGGCCAGAGCAATGACCCTCCGAATGGGGCCGGCGACCAACAGGAGCAAACGACTTTAATATAAAGAATAATCATTTAAATAAGGATAAGGCAGACACTGCCATCACACTGGTCCCACATTATGACACACGGTGGTGCAACAAGAGCTAAAAAAAATATGGAAAAGTTTCGTTGGGCAAAAGCAAAATTGCATTTCATAGCCAATTTCTGCGGGCCAAAGAAAAACTTTCAGCTTAAAGTTGGTCAGATAAGAAAAGAGCCAAAGGAAAGGAAAGCTGAAACTACTTTAAGTGGCCTCCTCTGTACAAGAGTACCTAACTATACTCTAAAAATAAGACTATTCGCCCTTACTGATTGACAGATTGGTGATCCACACCAGACCCTACAAGGAAACTTTTACAATGGTTAGACCTCCCCAGGTCGGGGCTTAGAAAATTACACACGCAAATGTAGAAAATGTATGAAACAAAGCTGTACGAAATTCGTCAGCTTTAAGCGCATTTTCGACGAGTGACGTATAAATTGTGGACTGACACTCCTTATTTATTTTTTGTAACCTGTACATTTTCAAAAATGATGGTCAATGGTTGGTTGCAAATTTGTTATCTGAATAATTCCAATATCATTTGACTCGTGATTAAATTCGATTCGATTCCCGATATTCACAGATTGCGTAAATCCTCCGCTGAACGCAGAGGTTTTTCTTTTGCCTTTTTTTTAAATGATGCCTTACTATGCGATTCTCATGAATTTTATTGGGGCTTACAGATGTAGATGCTTTGATTATAAGTTTCCTTTTTGAGTTGGTCTTTGACAAATGACTATATACCATATGTATGCATGTATATATATTTTTGTATGTGCGGAAGACTGTGTGTATGTCATGTATTGATACAGACTTAGGCATGTGATATGTATGTTTGTCTATACGCACACTTGTACGTATATTTCGTACATTTATAAGTATGTTCCCATGCTTTGTAAGCTTGTAAATGTTACCCTACCATACGATTATCATAAATTTAAATAAGTCTTTCTTACCTACATACATACATAATATGTTTGCATATCTGCATCTGTTATTTTGGTTAGGGTTTTGTGTTGGTGCCTCCAATATTAACATGTATGAAACCCGATTTTCTGAGAACGAACATGTCATGTTAAATCGTGCGTTTTTGTGTCACGACACGCGTCAAACGCTACTGCGATTGCGGCTTTCTCACGGCTATCTGTTACCAAGTTAACATATTGTAGGGTAGCAACTTTTTACCTTTAGCATTGACATTGTATTTTTTATGCGTGCCCAATGCTCAATGGTGCCATTTACTGGAATAAATTATCATTCGTTTCGAATGATAAGCAACTTGGCAGCTGGCTGGGAAAGGTAATCCCAAAGATTTTGGCCTCCAGTTGGATAAGGACCAAAGCTAGTTGGGTAATAAAAATCAATGCCTTGTGCTTGGAAATCGAAAGGCTGTCCATTTGATTTAATGACCCCTTAAGTGGTCGGCGTATTTTAAGAATCATCAATCCATAGCTTTGATAAAATCCGTTTTCTATTCAATCTATTGCAGCTCACACGCGTTTTGCGCAACTTTAATATTACCAAAATAAGCGATCTGGAGTTAATTTCCAATACCACAGATCGCTTGGATATAACATTTCACTTCTTTGGCATCAAAGGCGACTCCCAACGCATTCGAGAGGCCATAACCCGAATGGTAGAACGTGGACGTATTGGAAACTTTACGTTGGTCTCGAATTTTCATCATTTCGACGAGAATCCACCCCTCAATATGCTGGTAAGTGTGGAAGAAAGGTGTACCTCTGATAAGTTTCAAAAGTCAATTTGCACCATCATCGACAAAGAATAGTCAAGAATAAATCTTCATAGACACATTAACTGTAGTTACAAGACAAGACTTCATCTATAGGTTTCTCTGGGACTCGATCCGAATTAAATTTTTTTTTTGTATGTCCTGGTTATCTGCATTCAATTTTTTGGAATTAAACTTTCGAAAAGCATTAAATAAGTAAATTTACAATTTGACATTCAGAAATACATATTCGACATCAGTTAAATGGATCCAATCAATCAGCTCGAGCATCACAACATTGATTTCTGGTCTCTGGCGTTATTATTAATAAATACCATATATGACTGTAAAAGCGGACAAGAGATAAAGTATTATAAAATATTTGCAGGCATTACCACATGCATACATGTGTGTATCCGCATTTATTTCCGTTATAAATTAAACATTAATTTATTTACTCTTGTCGCACGTGTGGCAGCAACACGGACAATAAAAACACTAGCAATAAAACAATAAAAGCAACAAATGAGTGGGCATAAATGTGCGCATAAACACGTCAACAATGCGGCACTCGCCACTTGCCGCTTGCCGCTTGCCACTTGGCTTACAACAACAAAAATAATTATTTATTAATTGCGGCAAGCACATGAACAATTGGCCTCATCAGGTGGCCATCAAGCCTGCCACTGCCTGCAATTAGGTTGCATTAACATAACCGACAAGCCGGAAACCTCAGGGTGCTCCCAAACGACGGCACAGAATTTGCGTCGCTTGACAGGAGCCTAGGGACCGGAACTTCCGGACAACTTCTCCAACCGCCCCTCTCATTCATGCTCTACACATGGTCGTCTAATTAGTGAATATTGTGGCCTGAAACTGCGGATCATTTTCGTTGCAGGACCTGAGCGTCAATCAACCGCAGGCAGCTGTGCGAGAGGACAACGAGTTTATCATATCCTGCACGGCCCAAGGCTCATCACGCATGCAGTTCCAATGGTTCAAAGATGGCGCCAATGTGAACGCCTCCAAGGCAACGAGGTAAGTTTAATCTTAAGTTAGCCCGGCTCTGAGCTGGAACTTGGGGTAAGCGTCAAGTAGTCGCAGCTGCCTCTTACAGTTGACCATTGAATTAGAAAAATATAAAACAAATACTACGCTTCGAATATTCCAATTGATTGGAGAGCATATATTGCACTGATCGACTGCAATATACCCTGCAGCAGAGAATCAGCAAGTTATTTGCTTAGAAAATGTGTTTATAAATATTAAATGAATCAGATGTTCGCTAAAAGAAACTGGTTTTTATTTTTTTATTATTTTATTTTAACAGGGTATTCACACTTACTCTGTTTTTCGTCTGCAATTTTGTTAAAATGAAATAAAATATAGATTGCTGTATATGAAAAAAAAGACAGTAATAGCATTCCACGCTGAGGGTGGCTGGAATATTCGGGGGCAGAGGTTTCGGCTGATTTTCCAGCACAAGTGTTCAATTTGACTTTATGACTTTTACACATCAATAAACATGACATAAAATGCCCTGGCAAAATAAAAATGAAACGGCCAAAAAGGATAAATAAGTCAGGGCAAAGATAAAGATTTGTCAGACGAGACGTCGAGCAGCTAGCTAGTCGAGCCACAGCGAGAGGTGGACCAGCCTAACCGCAGTCAGCCAAGGCGAATGATTGATCATAAACCCTAGAATGGGCACCCAGCACACATCTGTATGGCGCACACCCAACTCTGCCCCATGTGCAGGCCGGAATTCGCATAACCTTTGTGCTGCTGCCCCTTCTACCACTGTCCCAGCCTCTGCTTCTGGTGTATTACATAAAAAGCATATGGCCGTAACTAACGAGGGGTTGTTGCTTGGACGACTGCTCGACTGCTCGACTGCTATTGGGGCTGTCAGAGGTTTCTAGGGGCTTAGGCCCAGCCGCATCGGAGGGGCCATGCAGCCTTGACAATTTGTGCACAATAAGAGGCACTGCGAAACTTATCGGTAGCAACTTGGAGGGCGCAAGGGTCGCGTCAGGTGGAATAACAAATGGATTGAAGCATGGTGCGAGTCGTTTCGCGTGCCGCTAAAGGTTATATCTGCAAAGAGAATTCATATTTAAGTGTACCCAAGGTTGTATCCTTTAAAAAATGAATATAACTAAATATTTACCCATTTGAAATCGTTCTCAAAATCAATATGTTTGAGTTAATATTTCAAACATTTAATACCTGCAACGAGTTCTACAATTTACTATCACACATTCGTATGAGTGCGCCTTAATGCATATTCCAATGTCTGCTTTCAATGCTGTTTAAGCAAATATCTTGTTTAATTCTTCAAATAACAAGTTCGCCAGTTTATGTGAACAGCTGTTTTCTAAATTGACTTGCAGAATGTATATCATTCCCATGCTACACACATTTGATTTTAACTAACAACACAGTTAACTCTTCAAAGTTAGACATTAGTTATTAGTTGGGATTATATACCTGCATAGCTTTATTTTTGTATTAAGGGTTTATCAAACTGAAATCATTTCTCCTTTAAACGTGACAAAATATTTGTTTGTAGAATTTCGCTGCATGTCACAGTGAAAAGGAATTTCTAAAGCTTTGTAAATTTTGATTGGCAGAGTTTCTATTCATAGATTGACGCATGTGCCCCAAACTTCTGATGGTCGTATTTGGAATTCAGAGTATTACATGTGTTCGCCTCCCTCCCCCACCGTCGAAGGGGAACTGAGAACGCATTGATGTGTAAAGTATTACAGCTGTACAAAAGCCACAAACACATGTTCCTTAGTCGACTGGGTGCAAAATATGAGTAAATATTTTAACTAAAGTCAAGTGAAGTCATTCATTTGGACATTTACTAACTTCGCATTACACAAGCGACTAAGCATTGGGTCACTCCAGGCGTGGCCGGCTACTCGTCCACTGCCTCAGCTTCTCGTTAGTGGCCGACTTTACTTTGCGTACTAAAATAACCGGAAGTAAGTGAATTTTGAATGCTTGATTTCACTTTGCTTAGGGGCAGTGCACTGCTCCTACTCCCCTTGGCTATGCGTCAGGAAATGAGTTATAAATCAGCGCAACTAAAAATGAATGCTTTTTTGCGTAGCCTCAAGATACACAATGCACCAACTAAGATGTTCTTAATCCTAGATTTGCGCCGCTTAAGTCTACTAGCAACAACCCGATTTTGACCCGGTAAGCAGCTGCTTAATCAAAACTAGCCAAGGACACCGCCTCAGCATCAGATGCGAGTTAATTAATGCAATTACTTTCCAATCACGTCGCTAACGCATCCCTGAGCTATCACAACATGGTGAAGGCCAACACCTTGATTAACGAATCCTAACCGACCCCTGCAGAGTCCCCCTTCCCCTATAAACATGTTCGCACATGTGCGTTCAACTTAGGTATCTCAAGTAATCTATGGCAAACGCCGAAACGCGGTCGTTAATTCTGTTTCTAATCGTGTAGCCCGCAACGTGTGCGTCCCTCTGCGAGACGGTTGGTGGTGGAAAGTGTCTGTTTGGGTGTCACAGCGCTGTTTATTCTGTTATTAGTTTTAGGGCTGCCCATGGCGTTAGCAAATATTTCTCATTCAATTTTATACAATGTGGTCGTTTAGTTTATGACACAGGAATTACCTCACAGGTGCAAAATATCGATTGTTGGATTGGCTCCCGCTGGCGGTTTTTGTGATCAGATTTAAATTTGTATAGACAAAATGATTGGTAATTAAATTTATATTACGCTCACTGAAATATTTGGCACTTAAATTTCGGGTATTAACTGAAAATTAATTCAACTCCAGCAAACATTGTTAGAATTCACTTTTGGCACTCACAGCAAAAACCTTAAACTGATATTTCAGTTAAGGCGAGCAAACTTTATCTGAATCGCTTGGCAAATCGCAGCAAACTGAATGCGATCTGCTGTACCACATTTACTGGTAAAGTTAAAGCTGATCTGGGAGCCTATTTCCATTGATAGTTATTTTTATAACAACCTATTGTTAATTTCATAGACACGTGCGTCCAAACGAAATAAGGAAATTTACAAAAATACAGCGTCATTTGCATTCAAGTGCTGAAATTCACAGCATTCAGGGGGATGATGTACTTTGTGTAAGTACATACTAAGAGGAATTTCTATTTACCACTCTCATTTATTAAGGCTACATAGTTTCATCAGTGGAGTTAATCAATAAATCAAATAATAAATGAACAGGCACTTTAATTTAGCAGAAACTGGGATGGGGGTGAGCAAAAGTTTGTTTTGCTTCTTCTTGGTAGCATACATTAATAATTTATAAAATTATTTATAATAAAAACATCCTAATAAAACAACTCATTCAAAATATACAGATTCTGGCCTTATGTGAAAAGTAATTAAGGACGGACAAAATAGCACTAAACTTTTGTTAACTTATCTTGAAAGAGAGGAAGAAATGCACCATTATAGCACATAGATGTTCCCTTTTTAAGCTCAAATTTTGGTGGTTTTTTTTACTAGCACACTTTTTAATTAACTTTAAGTAAATGCTGTCCCTTAACATGATACAAGCGGTTACTTGAAAACTTTTGTCAAAGCTAATGCTTTTCGACAAACCCATCAACGCCATCTTCTGCATGCCGCTTGTGCCCTGCTGTTCCTCAACCAATCGGTATAAAAACTCTCCAGTCGCATTCAAGAACACAACGATCTGTCATTCAGCTGTGTCAAGCTGTAGTCACTTTTGGCTTGTTTGCTGAAAATTTGTCAAACTGCAAAGCTAACAGCAGAAATTCAATTTCAGCAGCCAAGCAGCAAAACTGCCTGACCCCCAGCACAATATAAGTAAAATATAGTACATACATATTTCGTTATTTTACAAATTGGCTCAACTCGGGGCCAACCAGGCTACAACAACGCCAATTCTGCTGCAAATGTCTTGACATCGCCAACGTTGTCTGGAACAATGCAATAAAATGTTTTTCGTTTTTGTTTTTTTTTTTTTTGTTTGTATCCGAATCCGCTGTGTTCTCTTATGTGGGATATAGGGTGCCGTAGAAAACCCCCGAAATTGTTCGAAATTAAATGCAATTGTAAATGTGTATAAGGATGAATAATATATTTGAATGTCTGATCAGATATAGGCGATGTATTAAAAACTAGCTAAACTTGTAGTTAAAAATTTATTTCGCACCATAATAGACATGACGTGCTGCCTGATTGGAATGAAATGAAGATAACAAAACAAAAAGAAAATGTGTTGATTTTTTAAATTTTTACCAGGAGCATACCTCCCTTGAATATAACTCGCAGCAACACCCTGTATCTGTACATACGTGTCATATTCACTCTCATATGAAAGACGTGCCGAATGGAGGTCACGATTTTCATTAGTTCCATTTGCCACAATGCGTAGACAGAGCTCATGCTCGAACGGCGCGGCGCATCTCTGAGCCAGGCGCATCTCAGCCAGGCGACAATGCCACAATTAGTTGCATAAAGTCGTTGCCGCGGCTGTCTCATAACGTTATTGGGGCATTATCGCATCGCTGTTTGGCTTGTTTGGCGCTTGTTTCCAACTCATTGGCGCCCTTTGTGCCTAAAAATAGCTGCAAGGGTTGCGCTAGACAGCACCAGAGTATTGATCAAACATTCGGGTTGGGGTTGCTCCACTTTTCGCCAATGCATGGCAAATTGCATGCCTCCCGAGGTGTGGCAAGGCTGGGGGAGCGACCATTGTGGAAGACTGCGCTAGGCACTGGAATGATTTTACAAACGACTCAGCGCAGTTGCTGCCTGGGCCTGGCACCGGTACAGTCGCATCGAATCGCATTGTATCGGTTCGAATAACTCTGCATAATTTCTCTGCGAGCGGTTCAGGCAGTTGGCTATTCAGTTAGTTAGTTAGTAAGAATCGAGCAGGGTGGAAGACGGCAGAGGACAACGGTTCTTTTGGCACCCCTTGCCAAAAAGCAACGCGTTTGCTCCGTGTGCAACGAAAAACAGCACCCCGCACAGCACAACAGGACACATACCGGAACGTTAGGGAACGAACCGAGGCTACAGCATGCCCATTCACTGGGACTGGGATTGGGAGCATGAGCACGAGCATGGTGGCGCACATTATCACTGGCCACCGCGTAGGCACTGGTCAACGGGCGAGCCGAAGTGCCGGCAGAGGCGCTACTACCTGGCCCACGAGATGGACGTGTGCGCCCGGGAATTTCATTTGCGCGTGGACGACAGTGCCTGGTGTCACGGCTCGTGCCTGGTGGGCCGTGTGGTCATAGAGACAGGCGCAGAGCCGGACTCGCTGGGCCGTGGCACCTTTAAGGTAGTGCTGGACGTGCATCACTTCCAGCTTGGCGAGCTGACGGTTAAGGCCAAGAACAGCGACACCATCTGCGTGGAGGGCAAGCAGGCGGACGATCGCGCCGAGAAGGGCCAGCTGTGCATCACGCGCGAATTTACGCGCTGCTACAAGCTCCCGCGGCACTATGATGCCACACAGGCGCGTGCCACCTTCTCGGCGGATGGCATACTCATGGTGACGGTGCCAGCACCACCCAAACTAGATGACGTTGAGCGTGTGGTGGACATCGAGCCCACCGGCAACTACTTTGGCAGCATTTCGGATCCCAGTGCGGCCAAGGCCATTCAGCAGGCGGATCAGAACGCATCGGATGATGGTGGCGAGGCACATCCTGCTGGCACAGCGACGGACAAATGAAGCTGGCGACGTCTGGCGGTTGCGCGTGCCTGGCCACCTCTCTGTAAATGGAAGAAGCGCCTCCTGCGCCGCGTGTAGGCCGTCAGAGGCAGTCGTTCAGTTTGAAAGAAGCTTAACTAGAGTACCAGAGTATGTGGAACAATGCGGAGATTTAGCAGTCGCAACAATCCTGGCAAAGCCCAGATGCATTCCTAACCATTCACACAGTCACATCCGAGCACCTTTAATGGAGTACTCCATGCATTCAAGTAATCCTAATAGTTCCATTGTTAATTTTGTTCTTGTTGACACCTAGTGAAATTGTTGTAAACGTTATCAAATATGGCCCACTAGAATCTATAACTATAGCAATATTATCTTTAAGGTTTAATGTGGAATTTGCTTTATGCCAATAAAGGACTTTATCTAAGCACACCAATCTGAACTGAGGTCTCGCCTCAGTGCAAATGTGATGATGTCGGGTTAGGCTCCCATATTGCCCAATCTTTTTTTTTTGCATATAAAGGATAAAACACACAGCTAAAAAGTGGTTCATCCCTACTTTTGAGTGTAGTTTGCAGTTTAAATAAGAACATTTTTGGTTAGAAAATATTTAATTTTCTTGTTACCTGCAAAAGTCCTTACAAAGATCCCAGAAACAATACTTTTTGGTTTGCTAGAAAAAATAATTACCGAACAAAAAGTTTCTGATTCTCTTATATTATTTATAGCTAATATTCCTGATTTTATCAGATTTTTTTTTTGTGCCAACATACTCATTTTGATTTATCTAATGACACTTGAAAGGCTTGTCACGTGGCATTTCATTAGCGTCAAATTTAAATAAAATGCACTAACACCTAGACCCTTCCGCAGGACAAAGGACCCTTTACCTTCTGCCCTTTAATACGCAGGCCAATAAAATATGAATGTGGAAAAACCAACTGCTTGTCAGCAGAAAAAAAGGAAATGCTGCTGCAGGTTTGACCTAAACAAAAAAGGAAATGCCGGCATGATAACAATAACAAAACTCATAGTATGACAGCAATATGCCAAGGGGCAAATAATATGAGAGTCCGTTCAGGGCATTTGGCTGACAAAAAATTGTTAGGATGTTCGGAGCGACGGAATCCCGACAATGTTTGTCACTTTAACATGCTGATCCCTGGCAGCAGATGGAGAGAGATGGACAGAGACTGTTGCTTAAAGCTTAACAGATACTGTAGCTTAACAGCGATATGTTAAAGTTTAATCGCTGCGTCAACAGCGACTCTGTAAAAAAGCCAATCAAGCCCTTGGCCATGAATGTCCCTATGTCCTGCGTTCGAGGCAGCCTAGTTATGTGCAATTTTTGTTCTTGCTTTCGTTTTCGCAATTTAGTTGTTGAGACACGTTTTCTTGTTACGATTGTAATGAAATTTGTTACAACTTGAAGTGAATTGTGGGCCCAAGCCCAAGTCTAAGCCTGAGTACGCAAAAAATACAAAAAATTGCCAACGTCGGCGTCGCAGTCACGCAAAAGGACAACAACTGGAACAGAAGCTGAAAATGCGTCGCGTACTTTGTCATCGTTTTATTTTTATGTGTAGTTGCGTTTAATAAAGTTTTTATATGCCCCTTGGACGTACACAGCCTATGTATCTATGTGCATATGTGTGAATGTATTGCTCGCAAATTCTTGGGTAGACTATATCGTATTTCTAATCAAGTTACGATTATGGAGCCTGCAGCTTTAATGCATGGCCGGGAGAAGCGTCCCGAAAATACAGATTTATTCATATTTACGAGCCTTACACACAGGCGCGCATAAAACATTCAACACAAAAGTAACTTCACAATTTCAATTTCCCACAATATCGGGCTCTCGGCAAACAAAAATACAATCAGAGTAAACACCTACATATAGGTCAATTTTTATGAACTCATAAAACCATTGCGACGGATTTGTATTTCAAAGCCCAAAGGCTTTTGCGGTGTTGGTCATATAAAATTCTAATCCCTGTCCTCGTCCTCGTATTCAGCCATGAGACAGAGCCGGGACAGAGGCGCGACCAAAGATCGCTCTGAGCTATTGTTGTTATTTTACGGCTCTGCTGCCAGCATATGCTTGTTATTTATGCATATTTACTCGTATATGGCCAAGAAGCTAATGTTGTTTGTTATTGTATTGCTTTTGGGCATATGATGCTTGATGCTTGAGTGCGGTTTGTTTTATGGTAACTCGCTTTTTCAATCAAAGTCGAGCGAAAATGATGGACAAGTGGCCTGGAATAACAAAACGAATAATATAAACCCAACAACTTTATTGAAATAAATCTTTACAGTCTGAAAAATCTCTTGTCTGCAACTCTGATAACATCTAGTGCAACTTGAGTTATTCGGGACCAAAGAATTCAAGAAAATGTCGACAGTTGTACTAAAAATCAATATAAATCAATATACTTGCATAATATTATTTTACGGTAAAGTAAAGTACCATTGCGACTATAAAGTACCAGGTTTGGTATATTTTTACCATATGTGGATGTTGTAAAAACTTTGTTTTATCAAACAGTATTATAGCAAGGCGGCACATTAAACACGAGGTCTAATCGCTTAAAATTAAAAATGTTATCAAGAAACAAACAATTTAAATTTCTAGATAAAAAACTTTGAGATCTTTGTAAACTTCACTAGTTCACATCAATCAGTGTCATTTCGTCTTGACTAGTTTTCGTTTATGGCCTTCCAATTTGTATGCAATTTTAGCGGTCGATGTGATTCAGTAAACTCTATTGCCGATGCCATTTTATGGATTCTTTCGTGCAGATTCCAAAAATCACAGCAGCTCCAAAGTGAAAGCATTGCCATACACATGCATACATAAATATGAGTGTATGTGAGGAGTAAGCAAAATCAGTAGAAAATTGGTTAAACTGTAAGTACAAACATTTCCACATACTTGCGCGCACACACACGCACACTTTCGATGAATGCCAATGCAGTTATCGTTCTGCCCGTACAGTAGCTGCAAGTTTACAAATACAGTCGAGCAGCACGCAAGGGCAACGCTTCTCTCTTTCTAGGGAAGGTCACTTGTTCACGTAGACAATCTTTAGTGCAAGCAAACGTTCGAGCTTTCTATAATCAAAATAGATAAGTTATCCTCTTCAATTTTAATATTGTTGTCAAAACAAGATATTTGTTTAGGGCATAGGAAATATACCCCGATTATATATAGGATTAAAGTCAGACGACAAAATAGCATTTAAGGCAGCAACGGTTCTCAAGCGATTTGCCGCTCACGCGCTCATCTCTATGGACTGCACATTCTGTTAACTGTTGCTGTTTGCTTGTTGGGGGAGGGGATATGGGGAAAGAGAGAGCAGTTGTTCGCTTTATCTTTGTGCTGTTGCTTTCGCCCGGCGCGCATATAAGAATGTATTTGCGTAACAGTTTAGTATGTAATTGTATTAGTCGAGGAGTAACAGGCACTGAGGCGACTTCCTGTGCGGCATGAAATCTGTTGTTGTATTTGTTGATGTTGTTTTTGTTTTTGGGCTCTTCGGGCTGACGCTATTGCTCATTTGGCGTAAACGAGGACTGAGCTTTGCTGTTTTTGCGGTTGCTGCGCTGCTGCATTTAACCGTTACGCACTTCCTGCACAGAATGTTATTACTTCCGTTGCCTTTTAATTGATTTTGAAGGTGCGTAGCGACAGGCACATGAAGGGGCACAGGTATAGGTACAGGTGCGGGCAACGGGACTGGCACCGGCACTAGCAAAATCTTGCGCCGTCGGCCATTAGCAAATTGTGGGTTAAGTGCTTTGTATGCACGGCAATGCCACGCCTCCATTACTGGCGCCCATTTCATTGGCCGCTGCACCTGTGCAAATTGCTTGACGCACTCTGTTGGGGCTCGGCTGTGGTTTACGGCGCTGCTTTAACCACATTTTCGTTTTGGGCGGTTTTCGGGCACTTTTTCAATGGTTTGAAGCTGTTATGCTTGCTGCCGATGTTATCCATGCGTAAAAGTTATTAGTGGAATGCACTCACTCTCTAAGCCTGCGTTCGCTCGACCAAGCAGGCCAAGACAGGCCCGCCCACTTTGCCTATCCACTCATTTGTTTGCAACCCAAAAACCCCAAACAGCACTTAAGTTGTTGGCAACTGCAAGAGTTTGGTTTTGCGTCTGGTTTCGGTTTTGGATTTCGAGTTTACTTTATCCCCTCATCAAACTGCAGGCAGCAGGCTGCTAAGTGGCAAGGTGCAAGAACAACTTGAGCACAGGTAAGCACTAAATTTCAATAATCTAAAGGCAGAACCACCCAAATAGGCTCTGAATATTTGAGTTATATATATGCCACTTTATCTAATGCTGACGAGAGCTGCTGCGATTTGTTCGAGCGAATGCATGAATTATTATCGGATGCTGTGAAATATGTATCCTTTAAGATATAATTCTTATCTTGAGTACCTATATAAGTTGTTTCCTTTTCAAATTCGCATTATGTTTTGTTAAAATCCCCAAAATTTGTAACATACATTTTTTGATTTAGTTTACACTCAAATTGCTGGTTTTTGTGCCATGATGTAATAAATCATCTGACAAGTGTAACTGACACAAGCAAATCTACTCTACTAATAAAACAAAAAATGGCAAATAATTTTGATTTTATTGCAAAAGAACAGAGTCCATTTATTTTGTCGATATTTAATATATATTTTTGTCGGTTTTGTCAATTTATAGACATTTATTTTTAACGAATTTTATATGCTCTTCAATTAAACAAATAGAGTAAATGAATTCTTCACTTAATCGGATTTCAATAGATATTGAAAATTATTGAATTTCATATATATTTAAAATAAAGTTAAGCTTCTCTACTTCAGCAATTTCCACGTTTGTGAGAATTCATGTTTGAAATCTGAGTTTCTAGAAAGTAAATTCACATTTCGCCCTAAGCCATAGTCCATACCCTAATCAGTATATTGAACTTCGATTTTTATGTTTATGTCAGCTTGATAATAACTAACATTAGATTAATAGCTTTAATTTGCTTAGTTTTTCTTTCCCCCATCTTTTTCTCATCATCCATCTACTTGCCTGACATTTTCTGCGTTTTTCTCGACGCTCCAATCTTATCTTATGAAGCACACACGTGAATAAAGAGAGAACACAGTCTTGTTAGGAGGATGTCTAGCCTGAAGCAGCCGGGCAACGTATCATCCATCAAATATTCTGACCCATTTACCCATGCTGCCATTGTCTGGTTTTGATTTTGCAACAATTCCACTGACACGTCACCGAAAACATTTTGAAAAACATTTTCAAGTGAATCATGTTGCCCGCTAATTGACTTCGAGCCGCGGCATCCGCGATTGTTTTCACATTAGCAATGATTTTTCACACACACATGCACACAACCACACACAGAGTGCATTTTTAGCCGGGAAATGATAAGTGAGCTGCTATTAGTGGGTCAATTAGCGGGGGAGCTGCATACGCTCCAATTCATTTACTGCTGCTGTGTATTGGGTGTGAAAATGAATGCATCGACTGGCACAAGTGCAAAAGCGAAAGTTGCCTGTTAATTAACTAGTCTGACTAATGCTTTCACCTATAAACAAGACATACATAAATACAATTTGTGGAGCTGACTAACTGATGAATGAAAAGCTAGATTTTGTTCAGGAGTTTGAATGGATTATGTGAAAGTTCACCTGCAAGATATAATCAATACATCATTTACCGTCTCTAAAAATGGAAATGTGAAAACAGTTTTCCTGGTCAATTAATACCGGATAGCATGTATGAAAATCGCACATTTAAATAAAGTATGATATACTATTTGCAGAGAAATTTGGACGACTGTGCTTCCACCGGAAACGAAAGATGTCTACACGGCCATTTTGGGCGTTACTAAAGCAAGTCGCATTGATGAGGGAGTTTACAGTTGTAAGGTAAGTGCCTAGTATTATGAAGTCTTCTGCCTCGTATCGCATTCGTATCTCTGCAGCTGATTTGATTTATATGTAAATCGGTGAAGCTGAATGCAGCCAATCGAGTTATCAACTGATTTATAACTTATGCCTGATCCGAAGGCAAGGTCTATTGAGAACCTTCTTCTGAATGTCAACAGCATACAATATCCCACCTCAAGTCATAAACATGTTGTTCATTCTTTGTACTAGAAATCATCTAAGGTTCCCTCCGGCTAATGTTGCTTTTGTTATTGCAGCATGTCAATATTTTTTACAGGCCATTTGCGTAATTTGTTATTTGCCAAGCCATAAACAAAAATTGCTGCCGGCCTGCAGCTTTTTAGGTTTAATGGGCTGGAACAGTTTAAAGACTTAGTAAGTGCTACTAAAACCCGAAAATACGTAGCAATTTACTCAACAGTCTGGCCAGCAAATCCTTAAAATGCTCAACAGTTAAGCAAACGTTTCAAACGCAAAAATTTATTTGAATACATAAAAAAGGCTTGGGCTAGAGAATTCAAAAGCACACACACAAATCAAAACGAGCAAGTTAGGATATCTGCAGCATGCCCAAAATTCAATACCCTTGTAGACATTTGCCTGGCGGTTTTGTAGAAATGTGAGAATAGTGAAGATCCGAAATGTTGAGTTCTATGAAATTATTTTGGAAAACAAAATATTTGCCATATAAAAAACATATTTTTTTCGCCGATTTTCCTATAGCGCGCTATTATATAGTAGTGCGATCTTGATAAGACTTGGCACATATATAAACAGCATGATTTAAATAGTAAATTCTGAGGTTTGTCAAGGTATTATGATACGCAAAAAAAAATTGCATATAAGAACCAGATCGTTTCTATGCCTATATCTATATGATATAGTGGTCCGATATAGATAAGTTTATGCATATATTTAGGAGGCAGAGTGAAACTTATAATTGCGGAAGATAATGGTCAAGATATTTTGATAAAAAAAAATTTTTTCATACAAGAACTTACTTTACAAGCGATCGTTCTTATGGCAGCTGTTTGATACGGCCGGTTCCAACATACCTAATGAAATGCAACAGAAATGCGGATTTATGCAGAGTTTCAAGACGATAGCTTTGAAACTGAGAGACAAGTTCGTGTAGAAATATATGCTGATCTAGAATATATGCACTTTATGAGGTCGAATATGTCTCCTTCTTTGCGTTACACATCAAATGACAAAATTATAATATCCTTTACAAGGGTATAATAACACGCTCCAGTCCAATTGCTCTTCTTCTCCTACTTTTTGCATATTTTAATTTGGCTAATTAAACGCCACGACACAGCGCAAATGAAGAACCTTTCAGAACAAAGAGCCAGAAAAAGTTAAAAGTAATTTTGTGGCATTTTTGTGGGTTTTTTTTTTTAAATTGTTTTTTTTTCTTCCCCAACAAATTCACAGACTGAGCGTTTGTTGATGTGGCTCAACGCATGGCAATTAAACTGATTAGTCAGCCAAGAACTTCAATAGACCTTACAAACTCTGACAGGCAATTGAAACTGAATAAACAGCAGCACGAAATGAAAGAGATTAACAAAATTGTCCCGAGACAACCAAGTTGACAATTTAATTGGACTTATGGATGGATTACCTGGCACACATGAGCACAAAGCCTTTTCTCTTTAAATGGCTGTTGAAAAAGCCAATTACTTATAATTTAGCAGTTCTCAGAGAAAGCAGGCGCTATTACATATACTTTTCTAATTAAAACATAACATTTTATCCAAAAATTTAAAGCTACTTTCTAAAAAACTAATTAAGAGAAATTGGTTTTTCCCTGTCAAAGATTGGAGTACTCAATACATGTGCATACATTGTAAGCTTTCCATATAGTGTTGAGATATTTCTCATATGTTAATATTGTTTAAAAAGATGTTCTTGATACAGCTACATTTGTTAAATTTGTAAGCTATCAGTAGAGGTAACTTTCAAAGTCACAAATATAGCTATGTACGTGAATCCAATGTAGATCGAGCTGTTGCAAGCGTAATTCGACTATCAATTTTTCCCTTTTTCTAAGTTTAATTAAATTATCCTCCCAGCTCAGATCAGGGCCTTTTAAGGAAGACTTATGCGTTCCGTCAGCAGGAAGGTCGAGCTACATTGCTCTTTAGGGAGAGCTGCCCTACATTATTAATAATAACAAGAGGTTCTAGTCGGGAGCTCCCGACTAGGGGATACCCTGAACCCTCTTCTTCCAACACCAAATGCAAATATATATAATATTCTAGAAGCTACATGTCAAGCTTGGTGACTCTAGCTCTTATTATTTACCAAAATTGCTCAAAAACAGGATTTCTATATAGATTTGTATCGATTACTTGGAAACGGGGCAAGTTATTGAATATCAAACTCGATCTGCGGAGGCACTAGGAGGACCTACAGTTAAAATTTCAAGTATCTAGCTCTTATAGGTTCTGATATTATTGCGTTCATACATTCGGACGGACGGACAGACGGACATGGCTAGATCGACTCGACTGTTGATGGTGATCAAGAATATATACACTTTATGGGGTCGGAGATGCTTCCCACTGCCTGTTACATACATTTGCTCAAATACATTATACCCTTTTTAGCATTTTTTAATGGGTACAGGGTATAAAAATGTATTGGAAAGTTGCATTTTAAAATCATAGTCTCTATAAATATTTTTTCCATGTAACTCTACAAATTATTATTTTTAAACCGAATGCATAGAATATTTGTGTAATTTCCTTGAAGACACTCGAACGTCAAACTTGATAAAGTTTTAAAATTTAGTTGCACTTTTGTTCATTTCATTTTTCATTTATTATTTTTATTATTATTTATTTATTTTTTTTTGAATATTTCGTATTTGTTAATGTGACGGCGCCCCTTTAAGCTGCAAAATTTCTCCCTGGTTGCAGCATTGCATTGAGCTGCAATTTCCACTCTGTACCATAAATTTTCCCACTTTAAGACCGCAAAGACCAGCAGCTGTTGCTCGCAGTCGCAGTCGACCGCTAAGCTAACGAGCGAACATTTTCTTAAAGCCCAGCACCAATTGTATTTAATGCTTTGTCCGAACACCCCCAGAGTATATCGCTGGGGCTGTATCCACCCCAACACTTTCCAGCGCTGTTGCTTAGGGTCCTGTGGCTGCTGTCGCTTTGTGCCTTTGGCACGCCTAGTGCCGCGCTCTTGTTACTGTCGCTGTGAGGTCCACGTAAAGGCGGCATCCGATCAAAGGCAAGCACTTGCTGGAACTGGTGCTATTTCGGTTTCAGGTTTGAGGTGGGGTTGACGGAGAGGAAAGCGCAACCCACACGCAACGGTTGCCAGCAGCTTGAAGAATTTCACGTTAATCAGCGTACTGTGCGCGCATTTTTTTCTCGACGGACGTGCTTAATGTACAGTCCCCAAAGGTTGATTGCTGCCATCGTGTGGCTGCCGTTCAGTTAAAACTGAAAAGAATAAATCCTTGCGCCTCAAGGTCCGATTGCTGTGCGGCACGTCAATAATGTGTGCCAAGCCTTGTCCATTAGACGCAGGGGACCTCATATTCATATCCTTGGCCATAAGCACACACAATCACAAAAACACCCACGGGGCAATAAGCGTAATGATTACTTATTTATCGATTTATTAAACAGCAATTACTTCATTAGCTCCTGGGAACCATACGTCTTCTTCTGCGAAGCATCATATATCAATGGATATATTAAGCTAAACTAAATGCGGACATGCCTGACTAGCAGATATCCCAGACATCTATTTCAAACTCTAAGATCGAACACGTAGCAATCAAATATCGCGGACAGCGCATTACACTGTTTACTCTCTTAATTGTGGAGTTAGTAATTATCCATTAATTATCTCATTATGACTTTAAAACTGTGGGAGGTATACATTATTTCGATTGAGTTTTGATTGATCTTTGATGATGCAATCTAGATTTCGTATTCTACCCCTTAAACTGAATTGATTCTCGTGATTTTCACGGTACCGAAAGGACATGGTCTCAAAGTCTTACAGAGTATCGCAATACGATTGCAAGAACTCGAGCCAATAAAATTCGGTGGTTTAAATACTTCGTGGGAAGAGATAGCAAAAATATACAAAATGTTGTAATGTAAGCTTGCGGGTGACTATATTTGTTTCATTTAGGTAAGGCTAGAGAGAATATGTTGTAGATATACTGAACTCATCATTAGTCGAATGCATAGACACAAAAACGTAAATTGTCTCGAGTGCAGCAGTTACAAATTTGAAACCCATTGCAGTGCACTGCAGAGTAAGCATAAAATATTTATATAGAACAAAAAGGTTCTTCTAACTCGTCTATAGTTTCTTTTTGGTGTCATGCACTTTTCAGTTCGTAAAGACACTTTTATCTAACCGACTATAAAAAGCTGCCATTTTCAAGCAACAGCTTCATTAACATTGCAAATTTTGTGGCATGAGTGTTGCTCTTCAACTGCAACAGAGCATTTTATTGACTAGAGCGAGATAAAGAGAAAGAGAGAGGGAGAGAGAGATGGTTAGGGAACTAAGGGACTAAGTGACATTAGCCATACTCGTACAATGTGCTGTTTAACGACTTCGACTGTTAATGAGAAGCAACTTTTAGCCCCAGTCGCGGGGGCAGTAAAATCACATTTGGTCATAAAATGGCTATGCTGTCACTGGGACGAGCTAGATGCTGCTAAATGAGTTAATTGCCAATTGGATTTGTGGCTGGCAAGGATTTGTTGACGTTGCAATGTTGTAAAAGAAAGCCATCGCCTACTGCCATCCGCAGGAATCGTGGCACGAATTTAAAACTCGACTCGAACTGAAATGCCATAAAAACGTGAAATCTTCGATTTGCTTGCGCCGAAAGTTCTCTCTATCAAATGTTTCCGGCTCACTTGCAACAAAGTGCCACAGCAGCAGACACTGACACAGACATGCCACACAAATGCAGAAAAGGCAACAACAACGTCAATGCCTGCCACATGCCGGCAATGAGGACCTCGAGGTGTGATCCTGACGTCGCTTCTCGTTAGTCTGTCTGCTTTTTTAAATTTGAAACGGAAGTTCACTGAGCAGCACCCCGACTGCATACAACAACATCATCATCATCATCACCACCACCATCCGCATAATCATCATGATAATCAGCATTATCCTAATGCCCGTCGTTGCCATCAGGGCTATGGCTGCCTGCTTGGTGCGCTTACATTGTATTCCTCTGGAGCATTTGCAACAAAAGTTGCGCTCTTGCTAGATATAAATGCAACATGTTTGTGCCACATGACAGTTGAAGCCTTTGCTTTAAGTAGCCACGGAATCGTGTTATCCTAGCTTTAAAGGCTTACACTCCACATCCCCATTCTGCACACAACACGCGCAATCAGCCAAAGTCATATCCAATCAGCAGTTGGGCCTGGCTAACACACAGAGAGAGCACACAGAGAACAAGGTAGTCTATTAAATTCGAGCAAGTGCTTGGAGCAGCAGCTGGCAACAATTGTTGACACATGGCAAACGTTTCGAAAAGGACAACTGCCAAGGCTCTGCACTCCACTGGCAGCCGACCGGTCTGTCAGTCTCTCTGCCGCCTCTCTGTGGCTGTGTGCAAAGCCCAAACATGGCGCTTGTTTATAATGTTGTTGATGTTTATCAGTCGTAGTGGGTAGGTGATTCCAGGGCTATCGATGCACGCTTGGGCTGTAGACGAAATATAGTTGTTGACATGAGTAATGAGATCTAGAGAGCTAGCTGGATACTGATACTCATTTCTCTTGCAGGTCAGCGATTGGGGCGTGGAACAATGCCGCTCCTTGCACATTCACATCAAGTCGCCGCCGCGTCTGCGTGTGGATCCGGCGAGCGTCACGCTGCAGCGCGGCGATTCGCTGCGCGTGCGATGCCTTTCGCCGGGCAATGATGACATCAAGCGCTATGCCCAGCTGGGCTATAGCTGGACGCGCAATGGTGTGCTTTTTCAATCGGACGCAGCGACTGCCATGTGGGAGGATCTATATCCGGACGGCAGCATTTTAAAGATCAACAACATTCAAAAGTCTGCGGAGTATGCCTGCCTTGTGTCCAACAGCGTGCGTCCAGTGTCCAGGAGTGTCTACATCAATGTCATTGAGCGTAATGCGCTCCACGTGTGCATGGCCGAGTCGAGCTATGGATTACATTGGCCCACCAGTGCACCGGGCGCCCCCATTATCACCGACTGCCCGCGCGGCTTCGAAGGCCATTCGCGCCGCATCTGTGAGCAACGCGACGCAGGCAACTCCAGCTGGCTGCTGCCCGACTTCTCAAGCTGTGTCCGCGACGAGCTGCTGCTCATTTACAACAGATTTAGGGCTCTAAGCGCCGGCTTTCAGCAGACCAACTCATCAAACATACTGAAGGCATGTTTTGAGTACACGCTCCAGCGGCGCAATAGCTTTCTGCCCGGGGAGGCAAGCTTCCTCATCGATATGCTGCATGAGGTGAGTGCGATAAAATTACAGTTGGTTTGAGTAAAGAAATAAACACATATAACAGAAATTATATATCCAGAACGGAACCTTTTTAAGTTTTCATTTTTGTGTTCTATTTTTAAAAGAAACTCCCAAGCGATGAACAAGTTTTCAGATTTATCAAAAAAAAGTCAAAAGCTTGTGCACCCTCCTCGGAGATTCTCACGATTGCCACTTCACCTGCCAAGCTACTTTGTCTTGCAAAATTGCATAATATTGTAACGAAACAAAAGTTTTTACCGCTTTCGTATTCCCAAATTCAATTTTAAGCAACTGGTATCGCGTCACGGGACAGACCGCAAAACTCTTGAACCCATTTAAGCCTCGACTCAGGCAAGCGCAAACAGCTCAAAGCGTTACAAACTACCTGGACCTTAAGATCCATCTCCAGCCACTTGAGTGCCGGGCCAAAGACTCCGCAAACAAGCTTGCCAAACTATTTTTACACGTAAATGAATGCAAAAACTGGCAGCCGAGCGACTGAGCAACTGAGCAAGTGAGCAAGTGGGCGCCTTGCAATTTTTCACACAATTTTCGGAGCCAACTACAGTCAAAGAAAAGTTTCCCGGGCCGCATGGCAACAATTTTTCATTTTAATGCGCACACAAATTTCCCGCCTAACGAATGGCTATGAAGAGTTTTCGGGAGCTGCGTTTCCTCTTCTCTATTTGGTTCTGTTTTATTTTTATTTTTTCGCAATGATTCTGGGCACTTGTCTGACGCTTGTGTATTCCTTTGCCTATTTCGCAGCTCGACACCTATTTGCAGCTGAAAGGCACACAACTGGAGCGTGAGATGGCGGCGGAGATAATACTACGCATTCTGGATAAAGTCATGCAGAATGCACTATCTCTTAACAGTCAACAGGTAAGCTGAACGAGCCCAACCCTCTGTACAGAGTATACACTTGCCTCTATGTGGCTTCACATGCTCTCAAACTGGCGGAGCTGCCACTTTGGCTGGACTCGCGCATAAATTATGCGAAAAGAGGCAGTCGAGCGTTCGGGTGCCATAATTTATAACCTACAGCCATATTCAATATTTGCCAGCCTGGCTCTGCGGCTCTTCCTAGATTTATTACACACACACACACGCAGGCACTAAATTGGACTGCCGGAAGATAGGGGGATTATTGCATGGCAGGCACATATATTTTTTCTGGTTCTACTTTTATTAAGCCTGTAGTTGGGCTGTCATTGGGCCGCAATTTACATTTGTCTACCACACATTCGCACTGCGAGTGTGTGGACTGCTAAACCAGCCACAGAATTGATGTTCATGTTTGCTGGTAATGAATACCTTCTACAAAATCTATGTATTTGAGGTTTTTCAATGGGTCTCGGCTGAAAGGCCAATTTGTTGATGGTCGGCCAGCCGCCAGTTAGTAAATGGAGCATATTTGCCATTGCCATAGTACGGAATGCATATGTTGGTAACACACACATTCTATCATGAAAGGAAGATGTGGCTAAGTGTGAAAAATAATGCATTAGACGATATAACAATTTATACAAATATACCTATTCTATTTCAATAGTCTGCAATTTATTTATATATAAATGTGTATAAATTTAAATGCAAATCTGACAGGACACAGAATAAGCACTACCTAATCCATATCTTAGGTGAATGGACCTTTAGCTCTCGTTAGACTCTCGTTTTTTCTCAAATAAGATTTAATATACTGAGTTCACAATACAATGTCTCCTTTCTGAGTCCCTGATAAAGTAAACAATTACTCGAGTTTCCCTTAAATTTGTTTTTAATTAGCGACCATCAAATTGCGCAGTTATGAACCGGCTAATGAGCCTTTCTCGGTGCTTCTCATACACCTGGCTCGGCCACAAAACAATCAACGTAGCCACTTCCTTGTGGCCGGCCACAAACAATGGCAGAAGCCACTCTTGACCCTGTGATGATAATAAAAGGTGTGTTTCCTTTTTTGTCTTAACATCCAATGTCCATTCAATGTCCTTGGACGTCGCCCCTTCCACCTGTTTGTCCGCTGTTATGGGCGTTCGTCTCACACTCGACTTACTTAAGTTTTTAAGTGGGAAGCAAGGGGCGTTTCGGTTTGCTGAGCCTCATGTTTTATTCCTTGAACACACTTTGTGTTCGCGAAGTGCGGCATAAAAGTAACAGCAGCAGGCGGCAAGGAGTTGTATGCTACATGCATCAGGCGCAAATATTGGTATGCAAATTTATGTGAGTGTTGATTGCAGCTGTTGGTGGTAGTATATGGTCCCAGCATAAAAGCAAAGCCTGCTTTAAAAGCAAAAGCCTCTCAATGTCAAGGACCTTCCGAGCCTCTGTCTGGACGAGGAGCAACTTTATGAAAGAAACCATCTATACAGCATAATATATTAGCTGTCTGCCCGAGCGCACTAGCCCCCTTTAATATTCATCTCTTAGGATCGCGGCACGCACGGAAATTAAGTAAGTTTTTATTGCGCAGCCTGCTTAGCACATAGTTGACTCGACTTAACTTGAGAGACGGCAAGTCGACTGCTCCTAAAAGTTTTTAATGCACAGAAATTAATTTTGTTTGCCCTGGAGTTCTTCTGAGTTATGGCATTTCGATATTATGCGCCATGTGAGTCTGAAAGTTCACCGAACACTTTTATGTTAAATTTTTATTAGCTGGCGAGGCGACTAAAAAATAAAACTTGCCATAATAATTAGGTCGATTAAATGCCAGCATTTCAACTTTTCTCAACTTACCAAATAGTTGGCATCGTTTTTATTGACTGGGTCCAAGCTTCAAGGTAGTTAGTGCGACACGAACCATGGCCAAGGGATGTTTAATGCACGGACTTTTAATTAGCAAAACTCAAGGTAAAATTGATTTTTAATTGCAGCTCGCTGGCTGAAGGGGTTCACTCAGATTTAAAAGGACAGAAGATTTTTTAATAAATAAAGTTCCACGATATAAAAATACTTTGAAAACTCGGGAATTAAAAGACTTTGCTAGCTTAAAAATATATTAAGAAAATTCAATTAAGCAAACGCTATTTATTTAGTTGTAATACTTAATATTATTCGTCTAAATAAAGACAGACACCATATTCCTTTCCATTTTGGTACGAATTGTATTAGAAGTCTCAAATTAAGTTGCGTGACTAGAGACCCAAAGTACATAGTCTTTTTAGGATATCAGTTAAGTCAATAACTTATGACTGACGATGGGGGGAGTGCGAAGAGCCTATACGGGGGTTGGAATTCGATATTTATCGATTTTAGGTAACGTGTCGGCCAATCAAAGAAATAATTCTCTAGTACTTATAGTCTTTGATGCTGCATAAAAACAAATTGACTTTATAGAGTTACAAATTTATTCTTCAGTTTCTTACAGCTTCAATAGTTATTGAATTTATGCAAGTAAATTAGGTTACGCAAGGGAAATGTTAAAATGATAAACTGGTCTGCAAGATAAATGGATATTAGAATTCCGGAATTATTTTCTTTGTGCGAGTATATTTTTTCTGTTAAGCTCAAAAAGTTTCTTTAAATAATTTTATAAAATAAACCTAAAATGAGAACTTTTATTGAAATTTAAAGAGTTTAATGTGAAAGGTTATTTAAATATACAACGAATCCCTTCATTAAAACACAATTCTCTTCTGGCCCTCGTCATATAATCCATAATACAAAATACGTTTTATGTATATAGGAGACATATTCTGTGCGAGAGGTTTGCATTCCATGAATGATATATTATCAATTTATTATCATATTTAAATAGAGATGTCACGCAGTTTGGCCTTTCAACGGATTGTGGACAATAACACTGCAGAATTATGATTGCATTTCATTTGGCTTAAATCGATTTTCATTTGCTCTTGCTGATTAACATTGATTTTGGCTTACATCCGTTGGCCCCTCTTGTGGGTATTGCAATTGAAAAAGTTTTGGAAAAAAGTTACAGATTTTTCAATTACATTTCCATATTAGAATGCAAAAGTTTACTAAAATAAACGAGTGGAACTTTCAATGCATATTGGCTCATTATGGGCTAAGCAAACCAAATGGCAAACAAAGTTAACTGACCTAGTTTTAAATACTTATTTACTTGAATTTACAGGGCCGGATTAACCAACCACAGGACTGGCATGCACTAAAGTTTTTCTTGTATCATTTATTGATTTAGCCGAAATCAGAAATTTGAATGCTCACTTAGAAAGTATCACTGATTTAAATACTTGACTTTCTCTTTGCTGAACCGCTCCTGATTCCATGCACTCCAAAGCTTGACCAAAAACTTTAGAAGCCCCGACTGCAGATATGGACTATTCAAAAATCAAATTTGCAAAGTTCACGACAAATCACTTAGCAAAAAGTCGTCGAATAAAAAGAACGTGCTCTAAAGTCGCAAGCAAACTTTCGAATCAGCTAAAAAGTTAGCCGCACACACACCCAGACACATGTGCCGCATGTTGAGGCAAACGACCACGCCCAAACAGTTGGACGCCCCAATGATTTGCCGGTAAACTGTTAAACGTGGCCAGGTCGGAAACAACTCGGAATTCACATTTAAAACTTTGTCCAACAAATTTTTATGCAGCATTTTATAAGCTCCTTGTCTTTAAACAAATGCCACAATTTTGCATAGGCGTAGGGGAAGGGCAAACAATACATATCACGTAATGCTTGACTGATGTTACTGAAGCTAAAGTTTTTTCTTTCCTTTTTTTTTTTATTTCATTATATTTTTATTTTTATTTTTATTTTTTCTTTTTTTTTGGTAAAGTTGCAACAGAAAAGTTTTCCAATTGAAATTGTTTTTGCTCTCCATTGCATATGTACGAGTATATAAATTTATGCTCATGTCCTACTCAAATGCTTCTTCTCGGCCCATTGTAATTTTTGATTTGTACAGGAAATTGCGCTCTGACAGCACAAATTTCATACCAAAAACAAAGTCAAGAAAAAACAATCAAGAAAAATGGCATTGTAATGGAGTTCTCATTACGAGCTACGCAAATCGAATGGTCCGTTGGCCGCTTTTCTGCTGCTGAAGCTTATTGGGTCAGCTCTTGAAGCTCCCAACTTCCTACTTGAACAACATATAATAATGTTATTTGGGTTCATTGACTGCTTTATATTGTTGTTCTTTTTGTTTTGCAGTTATTATTGTGGCCAATATGAGACTATCGCCGCTCGTGCATGGCCAGCTATATCTGGCTTTTGCAATGTTCATCGAAAAATGTGCCAACTAAAATACATTTTATGCTTCCACCTAGAGTTCTACTTCAATTCTTGTCAGGATACCTCAAGGAGAAATTTTAACCGATTTACTTCTAAAAATTCTACTCGACTTGTTACTATCTTTTTATTACCTTGAATTAACACAATGTGTTCTATTTTTACCCATGAGGCGTTTTTACTGAAGTCCAAATTTAAGAAAACATGTTATTTAAATACCATATAGCACGTGTGCAATATTGTTTATTTCCTATTCAGCTAGCTATTTTGCTTTTAAATTTGAGTATTTGATTTGCCAGACCAGCCAAGTGAGCCAAATTGCAGGGTATAATTACTGTTTGCTGCCCGACCGAAGCACACTCAGATAAACAGACAATACCGAAATGTATTTGACATCTTTCACTCAAAATGTTTAATGCATAGCTAATTATTTTAACAACAATATTTGTGCACATGAAGGCATGGCAACCCCTCCTGCCGGTGCCAACTATCTATTAAACTAGGCAATGTTTACTTGTCCAGGTGTCTTGAAACGTGATGCCGTCTTAATAGACCCTGGATGGCAAGAATGGAGAGTAACAACAATAGCAAAGAGAGCGTTGCCAGGGAAACCTTTGAAAACTCAAAGCGCAAATTTGACGAGACAAAATTAATTGTGGCAACATTTTCAATTTTTACAGCAAATTAAAAAGTTGCAACTTTTAACGCAATCTGCGGCGCTGAACCGCGAGACAATTGCGGCCTCGCAATTGGCCACATCGACAGGGAGCAGCAGCAGCGGCAGCGGCAGCCAGGCGACATCCTCGGCAACGGCTGCTGACAGCTCGACAACTTTGACCGCACAGGGCAGCGGCGGCAGCAGGGCAAGTAGCAGCAGAGGTGATGGCAACGGCGATGCTGGCAGCGCTGCGGGCAAGCTGCTGGCCAATCGCGGTGCTGGGGCCAGCGGCGATGGTGGCGCCGCGAGTATTTTGACAGTCGACGAGGACACGTTGTCGCTGGATCGCCTGAACTCGTTGCGCATTTACATGACCTCAGTGAAAACATTGCCGTTCAATTTACGCATTTACGGGTGAGTTAAAAAATGAGCAAATGTCGAATCGAATAATTTCTGCTCAATTTCTTCCATTTCCATTCGACATACCAATCATTTTCAATCGTTTAAAGTAAACTGTATTCGATAAATTATTATTCTTAAAGCTGATGAGTAGAGTTGAGAAATATATCTTACCATGCTTTAAATGACAATATATAATTTAACTATGTCACATTCAAAAAACAGAAAAGCCTCACATTTTTCCCCCATTTAATTCAATCTTATCTGTACAAAATTTGGATTTGTTGGTAACTATGTTCTTGACAACAATTTCCAATCGAGTATATACTGAAGTGACCAGGACATTAGTTAAAGAAGACCCCCAAGAATGTATACGTACAAATATTCTTAATGAAAATTCTTAACTTGTTGAAGTCAACGCACAAATGTTTTGAAATTGTTTATCGAAAACGATACTATAACATAAAAATTGGTTGCGTAAAACCATTCTTGATTTCATAGAACTGTTAAACTAACAATCACAATTTTGTATGCAAAATATATTCTATGAAAACAAATATCTTGGCTTTTAAGCTCTGTAATTTGTTGGCATCAGAAACTTTAATAAGAGTATCTTGGATATTCTAGAGCTTTATATTGCACGTGTCAAGCGCATTGCATAATTTTATAATTAGAAATAAAAAATAAAGGAACAATGCAAATTTCCTTTCGCAAGTAACAGTAAACTTCGCTTTACGGTCGCTTGATTAATATACCCTGGCAAAGGGCAACCATTTTTGCATTTGCATCTAATGGAAAATTTGCTTTATGGGCGAACATAAATAAATAAATAAAAAAAAGAAATGCATTAAATAAGCGCACGCGCTCGTTTACTATAAAATTGCTCATAAAATTCAACTTGAAGGACTTTTCCGTGGGCCTGACTGGCCAGTCGGCCCGTCGACCTGTCGGCCCGTCGTCCTGTCGTCCTGTCGGCCTGTTGGCCTGTTGAAGTGCCAAGGATACCTCGGTACTAAGTTTTCACTTCAGCAAGTGTCTTATTAGGTTAATTAAGTTAGTGGCCGGAAGGCAGAACTTGTCACGGTTTAATCTCTCCTGTGCACTTTTCTTTGGCAGTGAGGACTTATTTTCGGATCAACTTTATATGGACATTGGACTGTCCTCACGTCTGCTGCATATCATGGCCAATTCGACAATATTTGCTTCTGTGATCTCCTATAAGAATCTTAAAAGTTTTCTACCAAAAACGTATTACACACGTGGCAGGTGGGTACAAAAAATGAAAAAATAACATTTTTATTTTTAACCGGATAATGTCGCATTATTACATCAATAATATGGTAAATATATAATTCTGAAAAAATTGTGTAAAGGAAAAATATAAAATGTAAAAGGTTTAAAAAATATATATGTATATTATATTATCTTCACTCTGACTCTAACCTGTAAGCAAGAATCATATATAATTTCAATGCATTTCTAAGTTGTAAAAAACTGTGTAAAAATGTAAGTCTAATGCCAAGAGTTGCCAATGCTGGCGCATTCCCAATGACAGGAGATTTCATTTCTCATAAGAGCATTAATGCAGCTGAAAAAGTACCATCCACAACAAAACAATAACAAATGTAAAGCTGTTATATTGTAAACAAAATGCAAATGTACAACATGCAACAAAACACACTTCATATTTGCATGGCCAGAGCCAGAAACGAAATCTGGTTGGGAATAGCATGGAATGCGAACTAGAATAGTTGTCAATATGCTGACAAATGTTGATTTAATTATAATAATCCACACAGATATGTGTCTGTGTGTGTGTGTGTGTGTGCTCGTGTGCGATTGTAAGAGCATGTGTGGAAGAGCTTTAATGAACATGCTGTCCGCATTTGAATGATTCGTCCTTGAGTGCGTTAATGAGATTAGATGGCATGCTGAGCGACAGCTGCAACTGTTACATGAATAGCAGCATCTGTTTGCTATTTCATATGCACTAAATAATACTGGAAATACGCTGTACTATAAGATAGATGGCAAAGGACCTCAGTCATTTTTTGTTAATAGTTTAAGTTAGGCCACAGTAACTGCCAATATCATTTATATTTACTATTACTTATTGATAACTGAAACCCTTCCTTAATTCACAGCGATCCCAAGGACTCGGACTATGTGCTTGCCTCGCGCATCATACAGACATGGCTATTTCAATCGAATCGCTCGAACGACAACTTTCGAGAGCCACTCGATTTGTCCTTTGAGGCTGGCCATGTCGAGATCATATTCCAGCACGAAAGTGTGCCCAAAACAGGCGACTGGGTGGCTGTCTGTGGGTAAGTTTAATAGCAAACTTATTATAGAATTGTAAGTGCACTCAACTGTCCGTTCACAGCCACGACTACAAGGCTTCCTTTGACTCCACGTGGCGCTCGGATTTGTGCATAACCAAACATCTAATGGACAATATAACCCGCTGCATTTGCCCGCTTTCCGGCACCTATGTGGTCATGCTAACCAAAAGGCAGCCGCAGGTGAGTAGTGCAAGTGATTTGCGGCAATTATTAGTGAGAGTCTGTTTATTATTTTAATTTTGATTACTTTAAAGCCCGATTCCCGCTTGCAACAACGCTATGCTCTGGCTCTCTCTGGCTAATTGCCAATTTAGTTTGAATTGACTGCAAATATTTACTAACGTTTTCACGTTCTCCCTATCCCCAGTCGACGCAGTCGCATACTCCACAGCGACCTATCTTTGTGATTGTCAGCTGTGCCTGCTGCCTGCTCCAGTGCTGCTCCGCCTTTCTGATCCTGCTGCCCATCTGGTGCAATCGCAAGTGCGCCGTGACCTTCCTGAAGATGCAGTTCTGCATCTCCACGTCAAGTGTGATGCTCATATACCTGCTGGGTTTCATGAAAATGCTGCCAGTGGTGAGTTTATACAAAATAAGACTTAGCTTTTTGAAAGTATCTATTATTCCTATACCTTCCATTTTTATTGTCCACTACAAAAGAGCGTCCTTTTAATATTTGGACTTGAGCTCTTTATTGCTGATTCATAATGAATTCTCTAGCAAACCAAATAAAAACAAATATAAATGTAGAACGAATGGAATTTGAGTCCGATTCTCTCGAAATTAATCCACTTCAAACCGAGAATTCGTTGCATACTTGTAAGCGCGTCTGCTGCAATACCCGTGCGGTTCTCCTCCAACACACACATACCCTGCCGCGGCGAACGCAACCAAGGCGAAAAATTTAATTACTGGAAAATAAATATACAAATAAAGGTAAAGCCAAAAAACAAAAGGAAACCAAAACCGAAATTGAAGCCTGAACAAAACAAAGGGAGACCAGCAGAATTGTGAAAAGAATATAACGAATAAGAAAAATAGTGGTGCATGCCACAAATAAGGATTCAATTTCAATTTGGCTCTCGAGCACAAACACTATGCAACAAAGCTGCAGCTGGTTCAATGTAAAGTTAAATTGAAATATGTTTACAGCCCTTTTCTTACACCAAAATGCCCTTAGCCATTACTTGCCCAGGCCCGTAAATAACAATCATCCGTTTGTTTGTCTGCGCCCAAGAAGCTCCACAAATTGTAATTACTAATTTTCGTAAGCATTCAGGCATGAATATAATTCAACTTTTCATGCTGAAAAGTAATCTTCAGCAGTCGCAGCTCAAGCAATTCTCAGCATCATCATTAAAACAAATTAACTTGTCGTCTGGCAAGTAATGAGCCAATAAAAGCACTGACTTGGCCAGGATTTCTGAATATTATAATTTACAGTTTGTTACGGCGGCTAATACAAGGCATGCATAAAATCCATGAAATACAAATCCCGATGGCGCGCCCACCTGTTGTCCCACAGTCGCCAGCAACAGTTACTAGAAGAGGAAATTAAAAGTCAACAGCGTTGAGCCAAGCTCCTTGGAGAAAGCGTGAAGTCGCTAAAGTCGAAATAAATATTAATAAGAGGCCAAATTTTCAATTTACAGAACCTCCAATTGTACAAAATACAGGATAAGAATGTGCCAAGCTACTGGCATATAAAATGTGTGAGATCGGTACAAAAACCCGCTCAAAAACTCGACAAATCCTTTGCAACCTTTAAATCCCAAAAGCATCTGGCAATCTTTTAAATTATAAAACGAAAAATGAGCGTATAAACAAAATATACAAATTTGTGCTGTCTAATCTCTTGGGGTCTTTCGCAAGGATAAATATGAAAAATACTCCTGTAGGTCTCTAACAAGATGTAACATTTTGAATTAGTAATAAACTGGGCCGCAGTGAAAACAGCAGCGCAATAAATGAATGAAAAACAAATAAAACGCGACAATAAAAAGAGCCACAACAACAATGGAAAGAGAATGGTTTCAGCAGTTGAAAATTTAAAGAAAAGCCGAGTTGCGTCAATCTGACAAAAGTTGACAAAGAACTCGCAAAGTAGCGCAGCTAAAAACACAGACAAACATAAACTTATGGACAATCATCGGAACTAAGAGAATTGGTGAACCACGACCGGATCGGCAAATAACACGTGCAATCTTACATATTGCTGGTGGGCCAAGGAAGACAAAGTTTCAACAAATGCCGGGATGAGGCGTGGCTGGATGCTCTAATCAAGTGTGCGGGTGTCTTCTTAATGACTGCACAAACTCGACTCAAGCGCAATTCATACCAAAAGCGTCCGAGTGTGCCCCAAGCGTGTGGCTGCCACCTTTTGGCAACACCATGCAACATGTGATGAGCCACACTGAGGCGGACATGCAGCATATCCGGCAAATGTATTCAGTTTGAAGTCTTGTTTTTAATGAGCAACTTACGTAAAGACATTCGTGGCCAGCGGCCAGTTGCACAATGCCACGAAAAGGAGAACATTGACTTGATAGTGCAACATACATTTGTACATTAATCGCATGCAAACGTGTGAAAGACTTTATTAAAATGCAAAATTAAAAGGATACAACACGAGCGCGACACACCGCAAAGACATATGCAAATTTTATGGTTTAAAACACGTGTCACGGCAGGCAGGCAGCAGGCAGCGCGCCGCAGCAGCCACGCCCACACAATAAGCCACAATAAATAAAATTAAAATATTCATTTTACTTATTGCATATGTATTTGTGCATAAATAAATACAATTTCAACGCCAGTTAAAAATACATCATAAATAATATAAGAAAATTAAAATAACGCATACGCTACGGACCGAGGCGTGAGTGGCAGCAGAGAGAAAGAGGGAAAGAGAAAGAGAGAGAGAGAGAGCAACAGACACAGAGTGAGACCGAATGAGAAGACCATGTAAAAGCCGAAAGCTTTTAAGCGCACTTAACTCATAATTTGGAAAAGCAAAAAACAAAGCGCCGCCGTAAAATATTCGCGCTGAGAATTGAAAATTAAAAAGTTTACGAATTTATTATACCCTCTGCCCGCACTGGGGCATACTACATTGTGACGCGCTGCTGACCTCCACTGGCTGATGCCAAGAAGCCCAGAGCAGCTGTTCGAGTACCAAGCTCTAGCTTTACCTTTCCTATATGGCATATGTAAATAAGAACATATATGAGTGTGCATGTAAAAAGAAGAATCCTGATAATGTAATGAAGTGTGGCTGGAATATAAAGCCGCAACATTTCTCTTTACGGAAACAACTTTTGCTTCCCTGTTAAAAACCCTGTGCATTTTCGCATATTGAATCAGTTGGTCGTATACGTATTTAATGTGTATTAGCTTGCAATTTGGTTTATGGTTATGGAGTCATACCACAACAAAACCAATATTTTATAAAATCATTTTGCGGTTTCCAGTTATGAATAGAGTCGACTAGGCCACATGGCTTATGCAAAACAAAACAAACAAGAGAGCACTAGCCGACGTTGATTGGCCTTTATCCCGCCAGCCCTGAATTATAATAACCACACTTCACTGAAAATTAAAACTTGAATAACTTTTCTTTTTTTCTATTTTTATTCAAAAAAAAATTAATATTTAACATGCCATATTAAGAGAAATACTGTTAACGGAGTATACGACAACTTAATTTCGAACTAACATATAGCTTTAAGTCTAATAATCTTAGGATCGACGCATACAGACTGAATGTTTCCCGCCTATTACTATTACTAAAACTAGCAATAACCTTTACTCATTGAAAGGCCTCTTTATAAATCAACTTATTGATTTTTGCAGTTTTTTAGCTATCCCCTAATCTATTAGTTTATATAATTCCACAACCCATGACTTGCTTTTCTGATGCGATTGTTAGATATAAAACTGTTTTTCTTAAGAAGCTGGCGTTTAAAACCGTGTTTTTTCCCATTTTAAATTATCGGATATATTATTTCAATTTTGTATTTTTGTTATCTCGCGAAACCGAACAAGCAGTAAACAAAGCAGGCTACAAGCAGTGTGCAAGCAGTTCGCCCCTTAGGCATTGATTAATATAAAAGAATGATTATATAAAGAATGGATGTTTTCGGGAGGCCAAAGTTCGCATAACCTTGTAGACGTTTGCCTTACAGGTTTCCATATATGCGAAAATAACGTAGCTCGGGTTTAATTAAAATATCTCGGATAACATATTATTTTGGCATGCAAAAACTCATTTGTCGACAGATTCTTCCGAAAGTGAGTACTTAGTGTGATCTTGATAAGATTTAGCTCATAAACAGCTTAGTTTAAAAATTAATTTTGATATACAAGATTTCTTGCTATATGAACTTTTTCTCCGACAGATCCTTCCCATATCAGCTATATAATAGATTTTTGTAGTTGGCAACTATATGATATACTGGTCTAGTCCGATTGGTTCCGAAACAGACAGACACACAGACAGACAGACAGAGGTAATTCTTCTGATCTAGACTATTTATATTCTTTTCTTTTAAGATGCCTCCTATGCGTTACACATTTGATTACAATACCCTCGACAGGGTTATAAAAAGTTAGCTTATGGTTTGCTTTGTGCTAGTCCATTGCCAATTTAATTAGAGATACGGATTATGTATGATCAATAGAACATTTTCCCATTTGTCCGTCGTAAAACGAGATGCGACGGCCAAAGGCGAATGTCCTGCCTAATACTTGACAGAAAAGTTTATAACTTTTTAATAAGTAATGTCCAGTCATTGGCAGGAATTGCAATGAAATAATTTTAGCTCCAGGCACGCGTCAAATTTTGATGTCATCTTTATGGCTCAGCAGCTAGCAGGGTAAATCCAAGTAAATAGCTGTGAAATACATAAAACATAAAAAGTTAATACATACTTGGTCGTAAATGGTATTCTGGCTGCTGTTCTTGTTGCTGTTGCTTTAATGCGATGACAACTTTTTATATTTAATTAAAAATAATGATGTTGCAACGAAGTGGCCGAAGTCGCCGTTCTCCCTCCCATTGCAGCCTTAATAATGTGCCACATAATTTCCTCTTTGCAGAACTGGCATGCCATAATCAGCAGCTCGCTGGCATCGCTGCTGCTGCTGGGCATCTCCACGCTGATTGCCATTGCGCTGGTCATACATACGGAGCTGGTGCCGAAGAAGTATCTGCAAATCGGCAGCAAGCCCTCGACGCCAACCAAGCAGAACAAACGCCGCGAGAGTCTGAGCAATATTACGCAAATCAGTGCCCAGTCTCCGGAGGCAGCAGTCGTGAGTCGCACTCGCGGTCGCAGCAGGAATCATCCGCCGCCCAACAGCTTGGGCTCAAGATCCGCCGCCGGCTCGCAACCGGCCTCCCTGGCACTCCACAGTGGCTCAGCGGGCATACGCGGCGCCATTGGCATTAGCTGGCTGTTGCCGCTGCTGTTTGCAATTGCAGCGCCGCTAATCTGCAGCATCATAGGCAAGTGGCCGCGACACTGGTGGCTGGAGCTGCTATGGACCAGGCTGCCATCGGATGCCGCCAGCGATTCAAGCAGCGGCAACGGCAGCGAGGAGCCCTCGGAGAACGATGCTGGTATCTTTTATGCCACGCATACGCTGCTCAACGGCGACAATTTACTTCTCGAGTCGGAAGCACTGTTAGGCAATGCGACGGGCAGACTACAACCACCGCCCACATTGACTGAGACATCATCAATGGGCACAGACCTAGGCATGAGCACGGTCAATGCTGTGGCCACGTCAGCGTCATCAATCACAGCCGACAGCAGTAGCGACTCGAACTTGGGCGCCGTGACGGCTGCGGCATTGACTTGGCCGCAACAACAGACGCCTACCGCTTGGGACCGCGCCGTCCCTGGACATGCACAAGCAGCGGCATTCAGTTCCGGCTTGGGCCCGGAGTTGTCGTCGTCGTCGACTTCGCCTTCGCTGAGCTTCATTCTGTTCGTTTGCATCGATTTGCTTTTCATTCTACTCTTCTTTGCGCTGTTTGTCATTTTAATGAAGAAACTCTTGTGGTTATGGCACAAGAATCGCAATGTGCATACGCATCCGTTGGATAAATTCAACACGGCTCTGCAGAGGCGGTAAGTTGTGGATAGTTGATAAAGGCATAGACTGGCAGAATGGTAAGGCTCGACTTGCTGGATTCGGCTTGCTCAGGGCCAATAATCCTATCCAATCACTAGTACTATTAACTAATGTATTTAAAATGCTTTCTGTATGCCAGTCGAGTCCAGAGTTTTGTTGTTTTTGGTCCATGCCAAAATCTAATTTCCCTTTTGCTGTCCAAGCTGAAAATGGGAATAACTGCGACCAGACGAACATAAACCATAAAATCACTCCTCAAGCGGCTACACACAGCTCCCAATAAAAGCGCTTTTAATTTCCTTTCTCTCACTCTCTCTCCCTCTCTTTCAATCTCTCACTATCTCTGTCTCTGCCTCCATTATAGACTTGGCCTACTTTATCGGGCAGCCGGTTTGCTGCTCTTAAAACTCTGCAGCGATGGATGCTTCATAGTCTACGTGAATTCGACCCCGGATACTTTATGGGCGTATCCGTTTGGCATATCGTGCATAATATTGGTAAGTCCAGACGTCTCCAGTCAATTGATATTTAATTAAGCGCATATGAGAGCATAAATGCTTACCATGCGTCGTATACTTTATTTTTACCATGCAACTTTTATGGCAGTTGCTTTTATGTTGATTGAGTTATTCGAGTGATTCGACTGATTCGAGTGATTCGGCAGCTTGTCAACAAAACTATTAAGGAACGGCTGCCGTTTGGCTTGAGCTTTTATGCAAATAGACGTATCTTCTTTCTGTTTATTATCATTCGAGATTTTATGTTGTTTTCTTCCTTAGCTTTCTTCAGCTCTTCCTCGTATTGCGCGTGCATATTTCATCAAAGTGCAAAGCCTGCATATTTTTACGCCTGCCTCACAAATTATGCATGCAAAATCAACTGAGACTCTTAGAGTCACAGCAGCATAAGCCAACAGCCACGTCCCTTGCCATCCTCTTAACCACTTTCGCTGGTTGCATTAAGTTTCACCTGCTGCTCTGTGGTCGCCGTCTCCCTCTCTCTCTCTCTCTCTCTCTCTCTCTCTCTCTCTCTCTCTCTCTCTTATCAAAGTGGCCAAAGAAGCCTTTTTGTTTGTGTTTGCTTTGCACTTGACATCGGTCCGCTAAGCCTCTTCTTATGTTGTTTCTGTTTTCTTTTTATTATTTCATCTCATTTATTTTGTAAATTAAATAAGTGCGCATGAATTCTTCTTCTAAGAGACTTACTTAAAAGCACCTTCTAAGGCCAGCTTACTCAGATCTCACAGTCATATTTCAATTTCATAAGCTGCTTTCTGAGCTTAGAATATTTAAGCTACTAAGTTCGGTTTTTAGCTTAACGAAGATTCTTATCTCTAGATATAAATTTGTTCACCGTCCTTCGTTATTAATCTATATATGCGTGCCTCTGCATCGTGAGAGCTTTCTGATAAGTTATTTCCAAATACATACATAAATATTTGGTTAGACAATAATTGATAGCAAGAAGGACAAATTCAAGGTAGTCTATTTTGCTTTCTTTGAAAATCCGCACTCCTTTAAGATAATTAGAAGAAGCTCATCCAATAAATATTTAAAAAATGCTCAGAGAAATTGCATTATGCTCATGTTACTTATATCGAAATTCGGATGACCAAAACGGAATCCATTTAAACATCTGAGCACGCACAAATGGGCAGCCTTACATCCGAATCCAAGCATATTTTGCCGAGGTTTCTAACCCCCAGACCGCATTTTGCGCCGCCCACTTATGTGTTTACTTCAGTCCAGGGCTATTAATTTGGCCATCAATTGGCATTGGGCATTGTCGAGGACTAGGTTAGGCCGTGTTCTTGTTTAATTATTTATAACAACATTTAAAGGGCTGAAACACGCACTCAGTAACTCAGTAAAGCCCACATGGACTGCCAACCATATGGGAATCCACGACTTTTGGGGCGCAGCTGTTTGCCGTGCTTTGCAATATTAGTAGAACAATTGTTGCACTGGGTCAAGGGGAGGCTGCGCTAATTAAGTAATTAATTTCGCTGGAAATTGCAGCCCTCAAATGCCTCTGCCCTCTCATTTAGTGTAAGCTAAACAGAGTGGCATACATGTGTCTAGCCACATCCTTTAATATCAATTTAAAGGCACATTCAGTTCGGAAATTACAAAAAAAAAATTAATATATATAGATATATATATATATAGAATTATATATATATATATATATATATATATTGCGATTGAGCCTTAGTTGCTGTTAATGTTCATATTTTATTGCATTTATAAATTTGGTGCTTAGTTTATAGTATCGTATAGTATAGTTTACTTTGTGGTATTTTATTTGTCGAGGCTCTCATGCAACCACATCAAACTCTCTTGAGGATCTACTGATACATAGTGCGTATAACGCAGAACAATCTATACGACATTTTAAGGAACTGCTTATTATGTAACAAGAGAAATGGATAAATTTTAACAAATCACCATACAACTGAAAGTTAACAGGGATCAGCTTACCATAGCCATTGTCTCCATAGAAATGTCCAAAAATACGGTCGCCTTTAGGCAAACTGGTTTCTGAGCGCGTTGTGCGATAAAAATAAGCATTTTGTTGAAGCGCGTATCGCCGTGCAACCAATTCATCTCGTAAACGGCCGCAGTCACACCCTCACTCTATAAGAAAACGAACAAGCATTCATTCTGTGAGGCTCATCGGGTGGATTGAATAAACGACAGACCGAAACAATTAATAAGCCGCTGAAATAGCAAATTAAATAGATTTCCACCGTGGCTGAGATCAGAAAGAGGGCCAACTTCACAGTATGGTCGGCACTCAGACCAAGGGTCATCTGAAAGCCCACAAAGCAGACCATGACGGACGAGGTGAGAAAGTTCAAGAGCAAGGGCATTCCGAAGACCGAATTCATCACATCCGAGAGTCTACAAGAGAAAAATACTTATGCCTGATCAGAATCAGCTGTCCGCTTACCGGAGCAGCTTGTTGTGATATAAAATTAAATCCTGCAGCGCTTTCAGATCGTTGACAAAACCATTGTGTACGCATCCTGCCTGTATCTGGAACTCCTTGAGCGATTTCGACAGATAGTCAAAGTGCATAACGAGCTGCATATTGACGGCATATATCGACAGATCAGCCGATATGTGCCCCGTGGTGGCGGTATAGGCGCCCCAGACCTGCAGCAGATACATCACGTAGTAGCTCCAGTGATCGTGCCAGTCCCAGGGCGAAATTGAGAAGTAGGGCATTGCCTTCTCGACGTCCGGCAAGTGGAGCAGCCAGTGCTGAATGGCATACCGCACATAGATATAGAAGCTATAGGTGACAACAAGAAACAAATAAAGGCCACTGAAGCCGCGCAAGAAAAACTGGCCCCTGCGCAGATAGTATTCAGCTCGATATTTATCCTGCGCCTCACGATTTGGAGCTGGAAAGATTGACTCCAATTCGTACACCAAATCATTTAACCTGGCCTTCTGTCGCCACACGCTGACTGTCTTCAGCTGGCTGACCATGATGAAGCCGAGATAGCATATGGTCATGCATATGTCCACAATGTTTTCGGTATCCTTAAAATACAGCACTACGAACATGAACTCCATAAAAAAATTAAAGTTAAGATTTGTCACATTGAACAGAAAATTAACATAGAGCCAACGACTGGGCACTGCCTTGGAGGTAGGTGATTCATAGGGATCCACCCCGATGGTGTGATAAAAGAACACAGGCAAACTCATGAAGTCATTAAAAGTTGCAAAAGCCTTTGGCATGTCGATTGATATCTTAATCTTCCCAACTCAAGCTCTTAACTGAGACTAGCTAGCGTTATATTCGGTCCTTTATTTATCCTGCCACATTGCTTGGTAACTGGACAAAACCACAAGCTATATTATAAACGTGGTTATAAATAAGCTAATTCTATATCAACATACGGGTGTATAAAAGAAAACAATATTTAAGAATCTTAATGCAATCAATACCCTATAAAAATATCCTAATATACACAAATACGTACAAGTAAACATGGTGAGATCCCACTAACAAGTCATCTGATATCGATACTTTATAAAATAGAAATAAAAAAAGATCATTAGTATATAGATACTGTGAAATGTAGCTGTCTAGTATTTTGTTTTAACTAGAACAATTCTTTGAAACCCATAAAAAACTGAAGCCTAACATATGTTAAATAAATAGCTTAATAGAAACCTCTCCTATTGGAAGGGTACACCTTTGCGTAGCTTGACATTTGCTTCTTTTTCTGTTCGTGTCGTGCTTGCAGTCAGACAAGTCATGTCTTAGACCAGATCAATGCAATTGTAATTAGATTTAAAATAAAAGATAGCTTACATTCGCTAAGAACAATTGCCGTTGAGTGTAACAAAATACCCTCTATATAAGCCCAAGCTGATGCAATCAGAGTATTACCTGAAAAAAACCACAAATTTGTCTTTATAATTATTTTATTGTTAGGTAAAAAGTGATTTGCGAAGAAAATCCAGTTGTTGTTTTATAACCACGTAGTTGATACCGAGCTGTGGTCAAAGTTTTTCAATTATTCATTCCACAAATGATTGTTGTCGTTAAGGAACGAGTTGTTGTGAACTGTTTGCAAATAAAGTCATTTGTGCAAATTATCCGCTAGCCTTTTGATTTATGAATGTAACCAATTTGATGACACACTGAAAAATGGCAGCTGTCACAGGTGGTTGAATTCAATACGGCTTGAGATAGAAGAGCTGTCAGTTATTTGGCACACTGTGGCTGCCATTCGGCTGATGAATCCCTTTTACAATTTATACAATAAAGAAAAAGATTATGGTAATGAAATGTGCAATCCTTCTCGGTCAGATATCAGCCAAGAAAGAAGAGTTCACATGCCAAAACTGAAACTGAAATAGCGTGCATATTTTATTTTGTATATATATAAAGAAAAACAATGTGTAGTTTAGTTACGAGACTGTCTTCTAGTAGCAAAATGAGAAAAATATAATAAATATACTTATAATAAATTTCGTCTCAATATATTCGCTTCCATTACTGATACATGGTACGAATCATACAAAAGAATCTGTAGGTCATTTGCAGAAACTACAAGTAAATTCAAAAACAATACTGGATTATGTGAAATCTCACTCGTTATAGCCACGATCAACCCACCATGGTCATAGTCTGCATTGAAACATCTAAGAACACAGTGGCCCTCAAGTTGACTGGCCTCTGGGCGCGTGCTGCTACAATAATAAGCATTTTCTTGAACCGCACATCGGCCTCTATCCAATTCATCTCGTAGACAGCGTTAGACACACCAGCACTCTGTAAAGGGTACAGAATGTAGACAGATAAAGACTACCCGGGCAAATATCAATGACAGCTTACGGCATTTATTAGCAAATCACTGAAGTAGCATATGAGAAAGATTTGCACCAATTGCGCCACCAAAAAGACGGCCAGTTTGCATTTTATCTCAAGACTCAGTCCAAGAGTCATCTGAAAGCCCACAAAGCAGACCAGCAGAGAAGAAGCCATAAAGTTCAAAAGCAAAGGCAATCCAAAGATCTGATTTATTACTTCTGTAAGTCTATGGAAGAAACGAGACGTTTGCCATTCAAAATATAACTGAGCAGAGGATAACCTACCCTAAAAGCTTGTTGTGATATGAAATCAGTTTCTGCAGCAATTTGAGATCTTTGTCAGAGCCATCACTCACGCTTCCTGTTTGTATCTGCAGATCAACGAGCTCACGAGACAAAAAATCATAGTGCATGATGTCCTGAATGACCACCGCATAGATGAGAATGTCGCTGGAGGCGTGTCCTGCGGTAGCGCAGTAACCAGCTAGGGCCTGCAAAATGTACATCACGCCGTACCCCAAACCATTTTCCAAGCTCCAGGGCGATACTGGAGTATAGGGCATAACGAGCCGTGCGTTTGGCATGTCCAGAAAAAATCGCTGAATGAAGAACTGGACGAGCATGTAGAGATTGTAAGTGGCGATGAGCAGCAGGTAGAGGCAGGTGAAACCCTTCGTAAACATGCGGCAGCGCTGCAAATAGCGCTCCACTTGATATTGGCGCTGGTCCTCAACAGATGACGATGGAAATATCAACTCCATTTCACGCATCAGTGCATTCAATTTGGGCTTCTGCCACCAGACGGTTATCATCTTCAGTTCTCCGACTACGACAAATGCAATGTAGCCCATTACCATGCAGGACTCCACAAAGTTCTCGCTGTCCCTAAAGGACATGTACACAAAAGCTACCTCCAGTCCACACATGCAGTTCAGATTAACCACATGGAATATAAAGATTGCGAGAAGCCAGTGACCTCGAGTTGCCGTGTTGGTAGCCGATTCATAAGGATTTACGCCGATCGTGTGATAGAAAACGACAGGCAGACTCATAAAGTCATTGAAAGACACATATGCCTTCGACATTCCGACTTGATTTATTTTGAATATAAATTCCAAAAGTTGTTAAATCCGTAATATTTAGAAAAGGCCCAATATCTATATTATAGATAAAACGTAAAGAAAAGTAATTATATGTGTAATATTTTTGTCATCAAAGTATTAAATATATTTATTTATCCAACAAATTATTTTTATATCTATCTGGCCTGTAAATAAACACATATGTTAATTTTTGTTGTCGGCAAAAGATGTATGTTTCTTAGTGGACCACTTTTTTATGTAGGCTGATTTTGCTCTGACGCTCAGAATTTTGTATAAAAATGCAGTTTAAACCGTTTTTTTAGACACTGGCCCCCAAAACATTAACGAGAAACAATCAAACTTAAAATGGCACACATTAAATAATCCTAGCTTAAAGTATATCAATTCAAGAGTTGTATACATTTATCACAAAACATTTTAGGGTATAATTAATATTCCAATTTTTACTTAAATATTGATCCAGAAATAACTAATTATAAATATTCGAAATAATAAAAAAAAATTAATTTTCACTTGGAAATCTTTTGGATTCTTGGCTAAAAAAAATATATTCAGATACAATTTTGCAACAACTATTTCTAAGCAATTATTCCTAAATTTTTAAGTTGTATAATCAACGGATGTCAGTTATACATTATTATTCATTATAGTTACAATTTCTCGATAATCTTATCGGGGATAACAACAAGTACTCGTGTGTGCAGGACACCTCTGCCAAATGAAAACTGAAATCGAAATGCATTTTATTGTTGAGGTCAGAGCAGCTGCAATGTTAATGGACTTTTAATTGGCTAGTTTTCGCAACAAGTGAAGCCTACGCACAGTTAATACGCGGCTTCAGACTGTCAGTTGTAAATAAAACAGAAGTAAAGCAAAACTTACTAATCAAAGCCTGAAAGTATATAGTACCAAAGGGATTCAGTCTTGAATTATACATACAGGGTGTAACCTTTTCTTGTATCTTTGTTAAATTTTGTTTAAATGATTCAAATACGCACATTTTCCTGGAATATTCCATTTGTTCATCAAAAAACCATCTCAGATCTCCTGTCAAATTAATATAATTATCTGATTAATTTGCTTCATTAGAAGCATCGGTTGATATAATCATTTTAAAGTTGTTTTATAGAATTCATTGATCGTTGATTTGCATAATGCAGATCCATAAATAATATGTAGCTTAACTCTTATATACCAGTATATGCTGCAGCTTGCGAAATGTTTTTACGCTCGATATTAAGGCCGAACAATTTTCTTATATTTCAGGGCTTTGGCATTCTCTTTTGCTTTGTCATTAAGGCTGAGAGCCAACTGCGCGGACCACCCTTCTTGAGCAGCAACAGCAGCAGCCAGAGCAGCTCGCTGAAGCAGACAAAATTCAATACCAGCAGAACCAGTCTGGATGAAAACTACTGCACGACGACGACGGCTAGCATCAATAGTCCACTGAGCTGTAAGTAGCCAAAGCCAAGAGCGTGGCAAATGGGGCCACTGTCAGACCAACTCTACCTCTCACCGCTCACCTCTAATCCCCTTCCCCTTGTCACGTTTGCAGTCTACACCAATCATGACAAGGAAAAGGAGAGCGAGTGTATAGCCACATCAGCGGCAGCATCAACGGCTGTGGCAACCGGGACCAGCGCTGCTCCGCTGCAGCCCAAGCAAGGGCTGGAGTTGTCAGCGGCAACTGGAGTTGGAGCTGGAGCTGGAGCCGGGCCAGTGCAACTGCCGTTGACAATCATCTCGACGGCGCCGCGCTGCCAGGCGGCTATTGTCAGCACGGCGGAGACCCTGCTTAGTGGACATCAGCAGCTGCCTTTGACGGTGGCCGCCTCGCCAGCCACTCGCTGCTGTGCGCTGCTCAGCGGCGGCAACGTGGAGGCAGCCAGTGCCCTGGGCTATGCCTACGATGCCTACACGATGGGTGGGCTGACGGGCAGCCTGGGCCGGCGCATCTTGCACCACCAGCAGCCGACGCACTATGCGACTGGCCCTTGTGACGAATTTGTGGGCCTCGAGACGCTGGATATACTGCAGGGCCTGGCGGCAGGTAAGTGACCAGCACAGGGTCAAGTCCAAAGTGCGGCTGCATTTTTGCTACGGCTAACCACACCACTTGCAGACAGCATCATTGGCATACACACCAGTGGCATGCTGCCCACAGCCTCGCCCCATTACGTACCGCTGCAGCACAATCCGTACGTGGACTTTGTGCCCAGCCCGCTGATGCTCAGCATGCAGGGGTCGGCAATGCCGCCGCCCACAATTAGCGGCAATCTGAGCGGTGCTCGGGCAACCATATCCAGTGCCACGCTGCCCACGCCGAAGACGCAGAAGCGCGTGACCATACTGGAGCCGACATCGCGCACCACCTTCGATCCGCTGCTGCCCACAATGGTGGCTGCAGTCGTCTCCACCACAACCACAGCCACCACAACGGTCTCTGTTACGCCGTCCACGCAGAGCGCTGGAGTGGACAGCAGCAGTGCTTCAGGCGGCGATGCGACACTGGATCGCATCACGCACGATCTGGACTATTTGCTCAATCGCGGCAGTCTGGATGTGGAGACAGGGACACCACCACCGCCCGCCGTAGTAGTCAAGAAATGCGATGAGCCACAACAGCAGCAGGCCCAGCTAAGCAGCAAGTTATAATTCGTGAATCCCTCAATCTGCTCAGGGAAAAATATTGTGGCTTGATGAGCAGAATAGTGTAAATACCTATGCATGTCTACAGAAGCAAATGTAATTTATCATGTAAATAACTACCTAAAAATATTTAAAATTTACATACTCAACTCGTTTACGATTGCAATTGAAAAGAATTATTTTTGAAAAGTCGAAATCATAATTTCGTAAGTTTTTTATTCATTCATTCATTTGTTTGTTTTATAAGAACCATTCACATTTAATTTTAAAATCTACTTGTAAATATATGAAGTTAATTGTATGAATACACACCATCAAATCAAATATAGATGCTCTGTAAGTGGCATCAAGAATCAAACTTCAAGTCATCAAAGCAAAATGAAAGAATTTAAAGTAAAAACAATTTTTTAGCTAGATTTACAAACATTAATAAGTAAAAGTAACTCAATATATTAGAATTAACCTTAGGTTAATTCAATGTGAGCACACCCGGTAGGGCGGTGTGCTTCTGTTTTTGATTCTATTTAAAATTTTCCTAGACCTAAAATCAAATCAAAGCATAATTATATGAAACGATGAAAACTCTACAAAATACAATAATTGTATAACTAAAGTATATTACAGAACTATTTCTGCAACAAACAAATTATACATACACATACATACATATATCTTTGATTAAACTCGAGACTCTTGTTATAGAAAATCTTAAGCAGACATTTTTAATTTGATGTTGTGACGATGGATTATTATTATTATTACAATCATTTATTTATTATTATCCGTCTGGTGTATACACTATAATTGCTGACGCATGCCCGCTAAAAACTAACCACATGCCCCACAAAGTGGGTCACGTTCTCGCCGCGTATGGCAAAGAAGAATGGATGATCCGCCCGAAAGAACTTTTGCCGAGAGGAATTGCTAATCACAATGGGCTTATAACCTGCAAAATATTGTACATCAAGTGCTTATTAATTCTCTTTAATAACTGATAATATTGCATTACTTACCTGTCGCCGGCTGGGGCAACTCTGAACCTGAGCCCGATTCGTTTAGGTCAATCCGCAGCTTGTGAAGGATATCGACAATTGGCTGACTCGCGACTGAATGCAAGTGCTTGAAGTTGGCTGAGGAGCCAAAAATCTCCGCAAAACCCAACTGTAAACAAGAAATGCGAGGGTCGTATCAATAGGTATTGTTCAAAGAAAAGGCTTATATTATATGAATGATAAATTGGTTTTCAGCAGCCAAGGCATGTCATGAGGACTTATTGACCAACCCTCGCATACGTTAAATTCAATGTATTCTTGGGTTCCACAGTAAATGCAATTATGCGAGCTTTTTACCCACCTGCTTTAGCGCCTGTCGCAGACTGCACTCAAAGTCGATGCTAAACTTGGGCAGCAACACCTGAACGCTCTCCATTTGCATACGCTGCTGCAGTGCGCCCAGATCATGAGCGCGCAGTTGGGTTTCCAGCTCTGCCAGGGCCGCGGCGTCGCGCTTGTTGGGCAGGATTAGCAGCATGGCCAATTCGTCGGCATGCTCATAGGGCAGCTCAATGGCGCGGGCGTTTAGCTCCCGCAGCTCCGCGTACTTGACAAACATGTCGTCATCGAAGAGCATGGGCACTGGCTTAGGGGCGCCTGTGGAGCTGTGAAAGTCGTATAGACCCGTGCGATAGGCACTAAAGGGCAAAAACCATTTGCTTTGAATCCTCGCCGCGAGCAGCAGCAGCAGTTGTGCCGCTTGGCTCACGTTCACCTGGAGCGGCTGCTGCCAGTTGCCGCCGCCAATGCTGGCCAAAAGATTATCGCTAATGTAGCGGCGCATTTTCTCAGACTGCTGAAGGTCGAGGCACTCGGCCGTTGCATGGAAATATGTTTGTGCAATTTTCTGAAAGTCATCCGCAATGCTCGTGCCGGCGCTGGCCTGCAGTAGCAAGCGATTCTGCAGCTGAATGCGTGTATCCTTGTCGACAGTCGCTGCAGCTAGCTCTGCAGCATAGAAATTGGCCATCTTGGCATTGCTGGGAAAGCGCTGCTTCAGCTCCAACAGCCTCTGCAGCTCCTCAGCTGTCGCGCCATCGGAGCCCAGGTAGAGCAGCGCCAGCGTCGCCTCCAGCAACAGTGGCGATATGATGACATTTTCATCTGTAGCTGCGGATGCAATGCTGTGGAAAATCTCAGCTCCAAGACTGATTTCGCGTGGAGCACCAGACGCAGTGAGACTAGGAGCAGCACTCATTCTGACAGACCTGGCTGCGTTAACTACGGAGAGCTGTAATTAAAGGAAATGTGAGTCTAACATCTCTAGAGGCCAAAAATGATAAATCACTGCAAAATCAGACTTAATATTTCCGTGAAATTCTTATACTTATTCTCTCCGCGCAGAGATATGACGTTCCAAAACGACATAACTCCGCGCGGAGATATGACGTTCCAAAACAACATAACTCCGCGCGGAGATATGACGCTCCAAAACGACATAGCTCCGCGCGGAGATATGACGTTCCAAAACGAGATAACTCCGCGTGGAGATATGACGTTCCAAAACGACATAGCTCCTTCATAAAACGACATAGCTCCTCGCGGAGATATGACGTTCCAAAACGAGATAACTCCGCGCGGAGCTATGTCGTTTTGGAACGTTATATCTCCGCGCTGAGGTATATCAAGAATATATATACTTTATGGGGTCGGAGAAGGGTGAGTTTTAAAAGATACTTTAGCTTACTACTTTTCAATATCTATGCAACATATGAACATATATATGTTAGTAGTACTTGTAGTATTTGGCGCATTTTATTTGTATCAGTACTCCATTATAAACAAATTTCAAAAGAGAACTTAAAGCTCTTCGAATATGATCTTGCTCGTAAATAGCATAATGTTTACGATACATTGAGTATAATTCTAGTAGATTTGCCCTTCTATTCAAATACGACTTCCTTTATTGCGTCCAGCACAACTTTAAATATCTTGACATGACCTTATGTTTTCAGCTAAATATAAGATATACATTGTAGTAGAAAGTATACAAAATATTTATATCTATTCAACTATAATGTTATTATGCTGCAATTGTATAGCGAATACTGTAAGGCACTATTTTTATAGCTTCCCTCATTGTTTCAATTATGAACATAGATCCCATACCGTTCGCGTTCGACGCCTTTGATTCAATTAAAAAATCTTTCAATCGGCCAAAAAGTTTGGCCGTGGCCTCAAAACTGCTTTTCCTAATAAACATTGAATTTCAATTTCTTCCGTTTCACTGGGCAAGCAAAAAGCAAATGAAAATCGGCGGAGTCGAGAGTGCTCGACCTGCAGATACCACTTATCCATAAACTGAACACATACCTAACAAAGTCCTAACTTCAGAATATTACGTATTGCTAACTTAAAAATGCATTCTCATTCAAATAAAATATTTCTAAATTTTTTAAGTAACTAAATTCTTATCTAATCTTTAAAAACTATGTACAGTTATCTAAATCTAATGTAAACAAACTTCAATCTACTTACTTAAATTATTAACACACTTTCAGTAACCCATTTGAACCGTGATATGAGTACAGGGTATAACAAGAGATTCACCAAGAAGTAACAAAGTGAAAAACAATGGGCCGAGAGAATTGCCAGCAAACACAAAAACTTGACACGATTCTCGGGTTAGCCCAAAAAGTACACAACAACCCAGAACGGGAAAACTTTTTGACATTGCTCGGCTAAACAAACATACATACACACACACACACACACACACATATACTCTTACATATCTATTCGGCAACTTTTAATCTCACGCGAATCTCTCGAATTTCTCTCAACGTATTGCTAAATGATTTCTGAGTGCGTGCTCTATGCCGCCTCCACAAAAACAATAGATAAAACTACGTTCGGAAGATCCATGGAAATGTTCTTTTATAATAGAATACTTAAACTAAGAGAAATGATTGATGCACATATTATAGAATGTTTAAGATTTCGGTTAATCTATTAATTTAATCAAAATGCCCAGAGATCTATTAGTGAATATTATCTTAGCATAAGTGTTGTTATATTTTAGCAATTTGTGCAGGGTATTAGAAGAGTCTGCTTTAACGCGCCAGCTGCAAATTTGGCCTGCTTTTAAAGTATTATAGCACTACTCGGCGTACTCTTAAATGTTTATTGTTTATTTTGGGTGTGCCAATTTTTGTGTGTTTTCTTTGGGAAATTAATTACATCATGAATTTGTCAAAAGTGTTTTTCTTGGCGTCTAAGCCTTAAACAAAACGCAATATACACCCACACGTCGTGCTCATATTTATATTTTGCAAAATATAGAGCATGTTTCCAGCTGACGCTTGGTCCGACTGGCAGATGGTTAATGCTCACTAGATTCTCAATGGCTGAGCATGAGGTCACAAAGTCTTTTTTGTAGTGATCATTATCTTCGTCAACGACAATTATCTCGATTAGATATAAAGAGCAAGACGTGCTGCTGCACACAGAAATCCGAGCATATACTTATAGTATATGTGTATACTAAATATACATATATATATGTATATAATATTTAAGTTTTTATAAACTATAAACATTTTAGAATTAAAGCGTAGTTCCAAAATAAATTCATATTGGTAATTATGAAGTGCAATATTTATTTTTAGGTCTTATAATCACTTGAACAGCATTAAAATTGACTGATCACTTTCATAATAATATTTGTATAGTATACTATATTATGTACCTATTATGTTTCCTGGCGACAAAGTGTATCCACTATTAAATACGAAACGTGAAACAAAAAGTGTATAAAGCGCTCGGGAAAATAAAAAAGTAATTGGCGCCCGCACGCAGCTTCGCACAGAATTGAACTAAACGCTCTTCCGCGCTAAACAAAAAGTTTATAAGGGAATCGTAATTAAATTGGTCCGGCGCTGTTCATTGATGACGACACTTGGACAGCGGATGGGTGATGCAGAGTCGGAAAGCTCTGGGTAAGTTCGAATTTTCTGCAACTACTTTCCGACGCTAAAAATGTAATCTATTTTTATAATTTTGCTGCCGCTTGTTCCATTCAAACGGACGCTAACGACGCCGACGCCAAAGACGAACTGCGCGAACTGCGGCTGGCTGTGTCCGCCCGTCTATTGGGGCCCCCGTCAGTTTCTGTGGCCATTATAATGTTGTTTTGGCACTGGAACCACTAGAATTGCCGCTGATTGGGATGCTGCACGCCAGCGATGCGACGCCTGATTGAATTGAGTCATCCAGCAGCTTTCGCTTTGTTTTCATAGTTCCATTGTTTAATCAGCTTATCTAATCTGGCGCATTTGGGTCGTTATACACTAAACGGCAAAGCTGTTTTCTTACATTGGATGACAACATATGTATGTATGTATGTATGCATGTATGTATGTATGTATGTATGTATGTATGTAGCCCTGCGTATGTACGCAGGATGCATTTTACTACATTTAAAATATTCATTTACAGTTTTATTTCAATAGTTGCTTAATTTAAATTGGGACTCTTGCTTATCCCTCACAATTTTCAGTTCAAGGCTTCAATGCAGTACTTTTTTTTACAATAGGATGAGGACACATTTATTAAATTCGTTGTTTGAAAAACTTGCATGAAAAGCGGTAGTGTGGTCGAGGATTTCACAAAATACGATACATGTTCATAAATAAATAAACTAACAGCCTAAATATACATATATATCCGAAAGAGGGTATTTCAAAGAAATTAGCACACTCAAAACAGTTCATTTGGCCATGCAAACGCAACAGGCAGCGTCCTGACCTTGTATACTGTGTTCTAATCTTTTAAATCACAACTTCCTGCCTACCAGCACAGCTGGGCAGGCGCTTAGTGGTTGTGTGTGTATGTGGGTGTATTCGTGTGCGAGTGTGTGTATTAACAGGCGAAAAACAAAAAACACCAAGAACGCGCCTAAGATGCGTTTTCATGGCCGCATGCGGGACAATGCGGAAATGCACAACAAACAATGTTATGTTTAGGTATAGGTATAGGCATTGGTCATATAGTAGAGTAAGGATTTGCCTCTTCCTCAGCCTTTACGGCATTGGGTTTTGGAGTGTGCATCGGATTGACAAACTCGAGAAGTGTACATCGCGTGTAGATGGTGTAGGCGCGGTCGCATAAGAACAAAAAAATGGTGTGGTGTACTGTGTTTGTATGTGTATTGATGGCTGGCACATTAGAAGGTATAACCGCCCTCCGGCGCCTTGGGCTGCGTGGCATTAAACTCCAGTGCACCATTTACCTCCTGCGGCGCTAGCTCCTGCTCGGCCTCATCGTCACCAGTGTTGAAATAAGTATCTATTATGGCATAAGCCTTTTTATAGACTTCTTCGTTTTCGTGCTGCTGCAAAGCTTCCAGCTTGTCGAGGCCGCCTAGTTCCTCGACCATCAGGCATAGATTCTCAGTGCCACCCAGCTTCTCGGCGAGCGCAAACAGATTCGAAAGACCAGTTTGCACCACTTTGATGGTGCGTGGATCCTTAGCATCCAGCAAATCTATGAATGGCTTCAATATCTTGAACTTCTCAATGAGGTCTACAATTTGTTCGGGAGTACCCGAAGTGGTTGTATTTGTCACCGCCCAGGCGGCCTCCTTTTGTGCCTTGAAGTCTCCCTTCTCCAGTACATGGCGTATCTGCTGGAAGATACCCGCGTCAATGACTGCCTGAATCTGTTTCTGATTACCGGCCGTAATGTTGCTCACTGTCCAGGCAGCCTCCTTTACTATATTGCCTTTCGAGTGTTGCAACAACAAGCCAAGCTTGGGCAAGCCACCAGCAGCTATGACCACATCGGTCTGCAAAGAGAATGATGGATGAGTAAAGCACATCGATTACTAACAGCCGTTTGTTAAGTTGACCGACCTGTTGATCCGTGCCAGTGACTATGTTGCCGACACTGCGCAGTGCCGGCACAATTATGCTGGGCTCGTCGGTTTGCAGAAGATTTACCAGGCGTGGCACTGCATCCGTATCGACCACCGCTTGTATCTTGTTGTTGTCATCATCTGTCACATATGACAGCGCCCAGCACGCATCGGCCAACACCTGAATGTCCTGGCTGACCAGCAACTGCGACAGCACTGGCAGCAGACGCTTTACTTGCTCAAAGGGCGGCGATGGATTCTTGTTGCGGCACAAGTTCGACATGAGCCAGACAATGTTGCGGAGAAAGGATAAAGGCGTCTCATTATTGATTAAACGCAGAATGCCATCGATGACATTGTGCTGGATTACGATATCACGTGCCGCAGCGCCGTCGCCCGCAATATTGCCCAACGCCCAAACGGCCTGCTCAGCAAGATTAAGCGACTTCGACTGGAGGAGTTCAATGAAATGAGGCACTGCATTCTGCTCGATGACGCAACGCGTCTGCTCCGATGTACCTGATGCGATGTTGGTCAAGGCCCAGGCAGCCTCAAATTGCAGAATGGTGCTGACCAAAGCAAAGAGATCGAATGAGTTCCACGCTCTAACCGAAGGAGTATTGTTCTCAATAACTTACTTGGAGCTTTGAAGGAAGCGTATACAGATTGGAACAATGCCATGTCCGATCATAAGATCAATGGGTGGATTACGCTCGCGGCTAAGCATCTTTCGCGCCTGCTGCATACCCACGAATTGGCGTTCCGAATCCTCGCTGTTCATAGCCGCCACAATCTCATCAACCGACAGCAGCACCGGTGACTGTCCATTTAGTTCCTTCAGAGGCGAGGTTAGATCTTCATCGTTGATGTTACGGCGCTTGAACATCTGATCCTCCTTCTTAGACTTGCGCAGCTCGATGGTCACCTCATGGCGACGCATGCGCGAGTCCTATGCGTCGAAAGTGAGGTTAAATGCGAATGCAGTTTTAAAGATCGCGCCACTTACCTGCGTATTGAGAGTGTTGGCCTTGTAGTGGCCCTGGCGTGTGCTTGCATCCGATTTATTCATGTTGAAATAATTTAAGGTATTTGTTTTTGCTTTTTGGAATAATTTAAAAATTTGTTTCTGCTACGATAACAAGTGTACAGCTGAAAAGAAAAATGTGCGCTGTGAGCCTGCTCAAAAATGTGGAAGATGTCTGAGGTTGAATTCAAGGGCTGTTTCGATTGCCTCACACATACAAACGCACGCGCGCGCTCAAAAGTGCGTTTGTGTGCGTACTTTTGGCATTTCTTTTGTGCCTGCCAATTTTTTCGTCTACCTTTTTCGCGCGCAGCAGAACCGGCGGCTTCACAAGGCCAAGCCAGCAGCAACAAAGCAACAGCTGCGGCTGCGTTTAACTGTGCTTGAGAAGACCGCGACGGAGGAGACAGACCGAGAAGCACACCGCCATTTGCGTGAATTGTGCTGTTGCAAATTTTGCATTTTGTTTGCAGCAAACACTTACCTTTTATTTTAGCCGTATATTAAAATATGGTTCACTGAATGGGCGTGCTAACTCTTTCTAAATAATTTCACATAAAATTTCCAAACTTTTACCTTAACTTCAAATTTTGAGTAGAACACCAAATTTGTGAACGTGTTAACGCGTTTAAAATCTGAATAAAACTGTGAGATGTTATAACTGTAATACAGAATATCGCAGGGAATATGACTTCAATGCCTGCTTTGTGCTCCAAAAGTTCCGTTTAATTTGAACGAGATGCTTGACTTGTCTAGGGATGCTTAAACTATATCGATATATTGATATTTTGTAAAACAGCGTGCGATATTTCTACGCCGATCTCGATTTTTGCTTCAATTTATACTGAAAAATTTATTTTTATTGAAATATTGTGATTAATCTACCGAAATAATACTTATTTCTAGAAATCAGATCCAGTGCGAAATAATTAATAATGCTAGAAGTGGCTAGTGCTAAGAAAAAACTCAAAATGGTACACTTTTAAATAATCAGCTGGTAGCGCGATCAGATCATTCGACAGATGGCGCTATTAACCTTTTTTTTTTTGTCAATTATGGTACGTGTTATTCCTATTATTAGTATTAGTACATAATTGACCGGTTATATTATCTGTAAGTAAACCAGATTAAACCAAGTATTATACTCTACTCTTATTATGGAAAGTTTGCCTGTTAAGCATGTCGCTCACAAATTGAATGCGAACGCACAGCTAAAATAGAATCCACACGCTTGCAGCTTGGACACTTACCATCCACATGAGCGGAATCTGCAAATTCAGCAATGCAATGCTTTTACTCGGTTCAGAATGTGAAAGAGGGTCTATTGGTTTTATACAATGTCCGTCCGCCTGGTCGGATGCACCTGACTGCAACGATATTAAGTTATTCTATTCCCTATTCCCAAGTTATTTTTTTACAACGGAAACGTAATACTCTTTTGAGGATTAGGAAGAGAGATAGTTTAGAGCTTAACGAAAACGTAAGTACAGTGCGCGCCTAATTAACGAATTTATACTGATCAAATTGATAGTGCCCGACTGAAAGATACCTTGCTCCAGGATCCAAAATTCCGTATATTTCCTGAGCCTATCTCAATGGGAAAATTCACCAAATATATGTATTCAAAGGAAAGGCCTTAGGCCGTAGGAGCCTCAAAAGTGAAACATTATCATGGATTTATATACATATACTATACTCTATACAAAATATTTTGTGCCTGCAACTCTTATAATAACTAAACATGTTCAAAAACTGGTTCAGTATATATTATAGACTTATATGTACACATATATTTGATTTTCGATTTCAGGTAAACGAGAACTTGTTTTCCGAAATTTGGTGCTACTAGTTTCATCCTCGAGACCGAATACCGACGGGCAGATGGATCGAATTAGCTATATATGTTAATTAAGAATATATATATATATATATATATATATATATATATATATATATATATATATATAATTAATCTATATATTATATATATATATATATATATATATATATACCCTAAGACGATCAGCATAATTAACAAACTCTTTTGTTTTCCGTTGCGTACAGAGCATATAAATCGACAATTTTATATAATTCAACAGATTTTTCTTTGCAAAAACCTTTTTCAACACTTATTTTATATTTCCATATTATAAATATTTCCATATTTATTGGTAGCTTAAAATTGTCATAGGGCTTATTACTTACATTTTCTAGTATGCAAAATTTTTGTACATAAGACTCCACTTGCAATGGATAGATGACACTTATTAAATTTTCTTCTTTTCGGGACTCGCTATAGTTAATAATTTAAAAATCAACATAAAATAGTAAATGTTTTTTTTTTCTTTTGAGGAAAATATACTGGGATGCTATTGAAGTCGTTCACATGACATGCTATATGATGGGGAGAAACATTCCCGGAAGAGAGAAGAAAGGATTGAATGGAAGTAAACAATTTGGGCTAGGAATGTATACACGGTTTTAATCTCAACAAAATATATGGAATATTCAGGTGCTTAATGATGGATCACAATCTAAGCGGACTTGTTGTCCTGCTCCTTGTCCTCTTCGTTAACGGCAGCTGGGGCAGCGGTGGTGCTGCTGGACTCCTGGGCGGAGCGAGCCTCCACCACATCGGAATCCGAATCATCGGACGTGGCGGCAGGGGCTGGTGAAGCGGATGGGTAGGGTGGGAACTGCTGATCCTGTGGATAAGCCTGCTGCTGCTGCTGTTGGGCATCAGAGTAATCAACGGGTGCTGGCTCCTGATCGGGCTGGCGTGGTGCTTCCACAACTTCGCTTTCCTGCTCGGCACCAGCCTGCTGTTGTGGCTGTAACAACTGCTGTTGTGGCTGGAACAGCTGCTGCTGTGGCTGGAACAGCTGCTGCTGTGGCTGGAACAGCTGCTGTTGTGCTTGTGGATAGTATATGGGTGCGGGCAGAACACTGGGAGCAGCAACTGCAGCCGGGGATACAACGGGAACTGGGGCAACAGGTGCCACAACGGCAGTACGGGCAGCCACCACAGGCTCACGCTGCACCACCGCATTAAAGCCATTGATGTCATCGGCCGTGTAGGTTACCGTACGCTTGTAGCCATCGGCATCAAGGACGCTGTAGGAGCCAACCACATTGCCGCCGTCTCGGCTCTCCGTTTGGCTCTTAATGTCGCCGGTGAGGGAATCATGCACACCATACGAGAAATCGTAGCGGGGAGCAGACTCGAGTTCCACTTGCTTGACAACCGGAGCGAGAGGAGCAGCAGCAATAGTTTTCACAACGGGTGCAACAGCAGCCACAGCCGCAGGAGCCGCAGCATAGGTTCTCACAACGGGAGCAACGGCCTTTACGAAGGGCGTGGGCACAGCATAGGACTTGGTGTAAGCCGGCGCAACGGGCAGCACAGTCTTGGCCAGCACAGGAGCCGTCGCTTGCTGGTAGAAAGCGGCAGGCGCAGCATGGTAAAAGGTAGGAGCTGCCTGGTAGGTGGCATACGCAGGATGGAAGCCCGAGTAGGTGGCTGCAAAGCCACCCAAGCAGCAGCCGGTCAGAGCCAAAAGCGACAGAGCAGTCAAAAGCTGATGATGAAAAGAAGAAGACAAACATAAAAACTAACAGATAAAAGAAAATCGAATCTTGGGCTCAGTTCATGCAAAAGAAAACGCGACTTTGCATTCTTAAATTCGGGTGAATAAATTTAAGATCAAACAGGAATTGCTTAAGAAACAGGGCCCGAAAATATGTTATCCAAGGTTAAAGTGCGTTCCTATCCGAAATTCGAATGGTAATTGGAATCATTTGGCTCTTGTCTGGCTGACAACGTATTCCTAGTAGATCTAGGCACTTACTTTGCTTGCCATGTTCTTGTTAAGTTTTCTTTGCTATTCGATTTGAAAGACAGACACACGTGTATTAAATAAAAAACACACACGCGGGCGCAGAGATTGGGCGAGTTTTAGATAGGTAACCGTCGGGTTTCGTCCTTGGCCGACGTTGACACTTGGCGTTGTGAGCGACGCTTGGTTAATGATGTGGTCCGGGCTGCGTGCATGTCACTTTATATGGAGCAAGCGGATGCCTAGAATCAGCATTGCCATGCCCACAGACACACAGGCACTGTCCAGCTGCACCCACACGCTGACAACGTGCCAAACCGGTAATAAGTACCAAAAGTACACGGGCATTAAAGTATCTCATAGATACGCGTTGACAATTGTGACAATTGCGAAGCAAACTGGTTTCGTTTTGGGCTTTAGCTTTGTTTTCGGCTCTTACAAAGTTCGCTTTAACTATGCTTTGGTTTTCAAGTTCAACGCTATCGGCGCTTCCTTGTAGGCCTATTGACAATTATTTAATTAAGCCGATAATGGTCAACAATGCAAACTGCGCTCTTCGACTCCCTCCATGCCCACTGCCTATTCAAGCATCCCCCAATCAGCGCTTGGCTTACATCACATTTTCAGTTTTTGCACTTGAAATTTAAAATTTAGTGCGCTCAACTTGTCAACCATTGTCTACCGTTGAGGAACTGTGCACCCCAACCGCTTCCCTTCGCAGCCTCTACCTTTGGCTCTGGCTCTGGCTCAAGTCAGTCTTGCCGTTAGGTGATTTGTCCGTCTGTCAACACCTTTAGCTCTTTTTTTATTTTTACCTCGCTTCTCGTTTGTATGTCAGCGACATTTGCTTCATTTGCTGCATGAGTTTCAGTTTCAGTTTCAGTTTCAGTTTGGGCTGTTATTTTTTTTAGGGAATGTATTTGCTCCATTTTCGTGCTGTGTCCATGTGCCACATGCCAGCATTTTGTTTACTTACTTGTTAATTGTTGTATTGTCCGTGTCTTCACTTTGGATATGCCAACCGTAACTCAACCGATACCATAAATAGCTTTAAGTCAGTTCAAGTTTAATCCATTCACAACCACCAGTAGCTTTGCATGCTATGTAAGAAAAGAAGATATCTCTGAAATACAAATTCATCTTTCATATTCAAAACACACCATTTTATTTCAAAAGTATCTGTGAGATACACAAGTATTACCTATTTAAGTATACTTGAGACACATCAGTATCTAAAAGTTACAAAAGTATCTGAAACATACAAAATTATATACTTGCGATACCAAAGTATCTTTCATACACAAAACACGCCCATATTTCTTTACGCGGCTTTTACCAAATCTTCAATACAGTTCTTTTACCTTTTATGTAGAGAATATTTAAACACAAAACATATGAGGAAAATAAGTTCTGAGCTTTGACATACTTAATGGTGTTCAGCATGAAACACTTCCATCAATGGGCAGCGGCTGTTGCCTTCTGGTAGAATTAATAATTAACCAACCTAATTGGCTGCAATTTTAATTAAAAATCGGATACATGAATCACAAAAGCTTGAAGGCTGACCACAAAAGGTTTTTCTAGCATAAGGGCCCATACAAAAAAGAAAAGAAAACTGTCAACTCATTTATTGGCTTAAATCTAATTAAACAGCAAATAAGTTCAAGGAATTTCGGAACCTATTCTATAGGCTTTTTTTCCCACAGACACCTAAAAGGAGAGCTTCGTTTCCATTCAGTTAAAAATTAAAAGTGCGTAAAGCGTTTATAAGTGGATTTCGTGTCCAACTCCGGAGGTTGATGCATTCTATTTTGCTCGAGCATTAAATGCCAATTACTGCGTTCAGGCACGTAGCCCCGGACGCATAAAGACGCGTAGGCAGACGGATTCAATTGCTTGCAAAAATATGTGCAAGTAAACGGTATAAGATGGATGGCATAAAGTATAGTACTCGCAAAAAGCGAAATGTTGAAGGCTTGAACTTGAACTCGAGCCAAAAAGACTGCATGCAGTGTGACAAAAATCATTTTAAACACATTACTCATAAATCGAAATGCCGAGGTAAAAAACAATCTGAGAAGCTAGGAAAAGAATATTCAAAGAGCTAGGAATACTCTAGTTAACAAGGGGTTCAAATATCTTTGATATGCGGCCTCTTTTTTAAATTATAAATTTATTTATTGGCTATAAGGATTATTTTGTATTTTATTATTATTATGTTACAACTATTGCCAGCAATCAAACACATCACGCCGAAGAACATTATATCAAAAAGGACAAGCAGCGAGGATAACTGAAGGGTTTTATTAGCTATATGCTTTTTTAAAGAAAGTGGACTTGGATAAAACAGGGCAGCCTTAATGCAAAATAAATCTAAAAGGTCGACATTGAAGTAATGCGATGTGGAGATGGGCCTGATAAGGAACCATTTTTTTGGGTTTTCAGTTCTCAGCACAAAAAAAAAGATCAGTTTTGTTATTTTTAATATCGTATTTACCTAGAACTAGAGTGCATTTTCCACAGTGTAGGCCTGTTGTAAGAAGAAGCATGTTAGCCATGAGCAGCTGGGACAGGGTGACTCCTTTCTACTGGAGCACTCCAACTCTTTTTTAATCATTATGATTATTTTATTCAATGGAAAAAAATAAAAGAATTCTGTATACTTTTATTTTGTCCTGCGTATAGGAAGCTGCCGTTAATGATTCCTCCAGGCAGTTCCATTTAATGGCAACGGCGAGAAGCGGAAATCGTGGTAACGGAAATGCACCGAATCAAATAGGAATGTGTTTGAGTGCAAATCGAGTATATTCACGGGTAACGTAGACACTTTGACATTTGACAAATACTTAACACTATTTGCCTGGCTTAATAAACTCGTTTTCGTTGACTTTGCCGCCACAAACGAAGGGGCTGGCCGGGCAGAACAGGGTATCGCTCATAGATGCTGGAATGCAATGAACAAAAAAAAAACCCCAACCAAGGACTGCGGATGGGGACTGGGGTCTGGGGTCTGGGGGCGGCCAATGTGCTGTGTGTCGGGCTGTAAAATAGCAGAGATACGAGTACGGCGGCAATGATTGATTGCACGTTAAAGCTCGAGAGCATCACATCATTTCCTTTTTACACTTGACAGGAAATGCATTTTTAGCTAGCGAAATGAGCAACGTGTATATCCGAGGAAGAGAGAGACAGAGGAAGAGAAAGAGGGAGATAGAAAGAGAGAGAGAGATAGAGGCAGATAGCGAGAGATCATCGAGATATACAAAATCACAGCAAGTGGCGTGAAAAGGTAAAAAGTGGGCGACAGTTGCTGCAAATGCATTCAAAGGCATTTCCACAGACAATTTACACAAAAATCAATGTGTGAGGGACACGTCATTGAGCAAGGCATCCAAATGGAAATGCTGCCAAGGTCCTATGCTGCAATAGCGACATGCCTTTAAGTTGAAAGCCATCCACGTCAACAAACAGGATTTGTGCCAAACTTCATTGGCTCTGGCAAGGAATTTAAGCCAATTAAGTGTCATGCGTTAATACCTGCTCAGATATCGATCTAAATTTCCCATTGACAAGCAAATCCAAGCTCATAAACACCTTTCCGCATTCTGTGAATGAAGTATTCATCGTGAAACTATGGAGCGCCATAATTGCCCGTCAGCTGGCAAAGACAAACGACCCGAGTCGAATCGCATGTATGGCAAACATTTTGTCTGTTGAATAGGTCCACAGACAATGGGGGGGGCTGCCCCCGCTCTCTGCTGTCCCACACGTTCGCTCAACTATACAGATTTGTTTGTCGCCAATATGCCGGTCGAAATAATCCATCAAAATTGGCGTTGAAATGGAAATCCACATGTGCGCAGAGAATTAACAGCGTGTAGGCAGAATGGGCAAGACGAAGAAAAACCAAACAAGAAAATGAAAAGCGAATAGTGAAAATCTGTCTGGTTTACCATAATCAACTGTGTAAATAGTTAAACAAGTAAGAGGCTCTAGTCGAGACCTCCCGACTAGGGGATACCCTGAACCGTCTTCTTCCAACATCAAATGCATATTTATATTCTATTTTAGAAGCTATATGTCAAGTTTGGTGACTCTAGCTCTTATTATTTACCAAAATTACCCAAAAAACAGGATATCGATATCGATTTTTATCGATTGCTTGGAAACGGAGTAAGTTATCGATTATCGGAAGCAAACTCGATGTGCGCAGGCACTAGGAGGACCTACATCTAAAATTTCAAATCTCTAGCTCTCATAGGTTCTGAGATCCTTGCGTTCATACATTAGGACAGACGGACGGACGGACAGATAGACGGACATGGCTAAATCGACTCCGCTATTGATGCTGATCAAGAATATATACTTTATGGGATCGGAGAAGCTTCCTGCTGCCTGTTACATACATTTGGATTTTGCACAAATACAATATACCCTTATACCCATTTTTGATGGGTTCAGGGTATAATCATCGAAAAAGTTTCGATTTTCGCATCGACCTCTATTTTGAAAAAAAGCGTGATTATTTGGAAGGTCATATCTCCGCGCGGAGTTATGTCGTTTTGGAACGTCACATCTCAGTTTCAAGCTGCTTGAATATTTTTTTTTTTTTTCTATTTTATATATCTGGTTTTCATCATTTTATTAAAAGCTGATAGAAAACTTAATTCATTCAGTCAGTCGGAAACACAAGAAAAAGAATTGATTACATAATATCATAAATATTTTTGGGTGCAAGGAGGAAAAAGAAACAATTGGAATCCACATTATCAAGAAGTAGCATAAGTTTAAACTACAGTCTTTCCCAATTTTTTTTAAAATACTCTATTATTTAGTGTGGGCAAAATATTGAAAAACAAATAAAATACAGGCAGCATAAAAAAACACTAGAAATGAAACTATTTACAATCTGAATCCTTAAAAAAAACTACCATAAATAAATTAAAATTGTTATCTCTCGTTTTGCATAAAAACATATGTTTTGCTCATAAAATATTTAAATAAATTAAATTAAATAGAAGGCA